AAATCCAGAAAAATCCCCCCAAAATCCAAAAAATCCAAAAAAAATCCCCAATTTTTTTTACCTCCATCTGGGAGATGTCCGAGGAGATCTTCACCACCTTCTTCTCCTGGATCCTGGAAAAGATTTGGGAAAAATGGGAAAAGTTCAGGGAAGCTCCGGGAGAATTTGGGATCCACCCCTTTCCCAAGGATTTGGGAATTTCTTTGGAATTTGGGGATTTCCCTGGGATTTGGGAATTTCTCTGGGATTCGGGAATTTTTAGGGTGGGAAAAGCGCCTGGAATTGTGGGGAAAGAATTCCAAAGGGTTGGGAATGTTGGGAATTCCAAATCCCAGGAAATCCCAAATCCAGGGAATTCCAAATCCCAAAATTCCAAATCCCAGGAATTCCCAAATCCCAGGAATTCCCAAATCCCAGAATCCCAACCCCAGGAATCCCAAATCCAGGGAATCCCAAATCCCAAAGAATCCCAAATCCAGGGATTCCCAACCCCAGGGATTCCAAATCCAGGAATTCTCAAATCCAAGAACCCCAAATCCATAGATTCTGAAATCCAGGAATTCCAACCCCAGGAATCCCAAATCCCGGAATCCCAAATCCCATGGAATACGAAATCCCACAGAATTCCAAATCCAGGAATCCCAAATCCCACAGAATCCCAAATCCTAAGGAATTCCAAATCCCAGAATCCCAAATCCAGGGAACCCCAAATCCCGGAATTCCAAATCCAGGGAATTCCCAATCCCAGGAGCCCGGCCCCGTTCCTGAGCTTTTCCCGGGAATTCTCACACGTCTGGTGATTTCAGCGGCGCCTCCTCCACCTTCCCGGGCGGCTCCGGCGCCTTGGGCTCCTCCTCCTGAAATCCGGGAAAACCCATGGAAATCCATGGAATATCCATGGAAAATCCATTGGGAAATCCACGGAAAATTCACCAAATCCATGGGAAATCCATCAAATCCATGAAAATCCATGGGAATCCCATCAAATCCATGGAAAATCCACAAAAATCCATGGGAAATCCATCAGATCCATGAGAAAACCCAGGGAAATCCATGGAAAATCCATCAAATCCAGGGAAAACCATGGAAAATCCATCAAATCCATGGGAAATCTATAAAATCCAGAGAAATCCATGGGAAATCCAGGGAAATCCATGGGAATTTTTCAGAAAATTCATAAAATCCCAGGAAAGTCCACAAAAATCCATGGGAAATCCATCAAATCCATGGGAAACCTATGGGAAATCCATGGAATCCATGGGAAATCCATAAAGATCTATGGAAAATCCATAAAATCTACCAGAAATCCATAAAATCCATGGTAAATCCACGGAAAATCCAAAGAAAATTCATCGGAAACTCCTAAAATCCATGGGAAATCCATGGAAAAGCCACAAAATCCCCCCCAACCCGTGGCCATTCCCAAGGAAAATTCCCAAATCCAGCCCCAAATTCCCGGATTTCTGCACGTGGATTCCCAATTCCCAATTTTCCCAAGCTCCAGGAATTTTGGGATGCACGAGGAGCCGGGAATAATTCCAGTGCTATGCTCCCATCCCAAATATTCCATGGAAAAATCAGGAAAATCCCCAATTTCCATCTCCTGTCCAGCGGGAAAAATCAATTCCCAAGGTTTTCTTGGCAGAAAATTCCTTTTCCAGGTGGGATTTCTTCCCAAAAAATATCAAAATTCCCCTTTTTTCCCAAAATTCCCCCATCCCAGGGGCTCCAGCCTGGTCTGGGATAATTCCAGGGATGGGAAATTCTGTGGGAATTCTGTTTCAGGCAGGAATTCCATCCCAAAATCCCAAAAATCCCCAAATTCCCCTTTTTTGCCGCCATTTCCCCATCCCAGGGCGGCATCAAACCCAAAACCTCGGATCCCAAAATCTCAAATTCTGGAGATCCGAAGCATCCTGGGCACCAAATCCAGCGGATTTAAACCCCAAAAAAAAGATGGGAAAACCTAAAATTCCACCTGGAGTGGGAATCCACCTCATCCCCATCCCAAACCCCCCGGAAAATCGGGATGATCCCAAAAATCCCCACCTCGATCTCCTCCCCCAGCACGTCCTCCTCGTTGGGCTCCTCCTCGGCTGCAGAGAAAAGCAGGGAAAGGTCGGAGAGGGAAAATTCCCAGGAAAAGGAGGGGTTTGGAGGAGCTGGGGGGAATTTTGGGAATTCTGGAGCTCCCACCGTGCTCCTCCAGGTAGGCCTGGAGCCGATGGATCAGGTCCTGCTTGTTGCCTTTGGCCTCCAGCCCCCGCGCCAGGCACTCCTGCTTCAGCTCCGCCAGCTGGGAATTCGGGAAAACCGGGAATGAGGGAGGAAAACCGGGAATGGGAAAAACCGGGAATGGGAGTGGGAAAAACCTGGGAATGAGAGGGGAAAACCCAGGAATGGGAATGAGAGAGGAATTTGGGAATGAGCTGAAAAAACCCAGGAATGAGAGGGGAATCTGGGAATGGGAAAGAAAGGGAATTTGGGAATGGGAATGAGAGGGGAAATTCGGGAATGGGAATGAAAGGGGAAATTTGGGAATGAGAGGGGAAAAACCGGGAATGGGAATGAGAGAGGAATTCGGGAATGAGAGAGAATTCAGGAATGAGAGCGGAATTTGGGAATGGGAATGAGAAAGGAATTTGGGAGTGAGCGGGGAAAACCCAGGAATGAAAGGGAAAATCAGGAAATGAAAGGGAATTCGGGAATGAGCGGGAAGAACCTGGCAATGAGAATGAGAGGGAATCTGGGTTGAGTCCCGGTTCCCGCCCTCCTCCCGGAGCCCTCACAGCCCCTCCGGCCCCGGTTTTCCCCCAGTCCCGGCTCCCGGTTCCCCCCTCGGTCCCGCGGATCCCGGATCGCCCCTCAGCCCGCGGGTCCCCGCTCAGCCCCGGTTCCCCGGTTCCCGCCCTCCTCCCGGTTCCCTCCCGGCCCCTCCGGTCCCGGTTCCCCCGCGGGCTCCCCCAGCCCCGCTGCCCCCGGTGCCCCCTCAGCCCTGCCCCGCTCCCCTCGGTCCCGGTTCCATTCCCGCTTCCCTGAGGGCCCTCTCAGAACCCCTCAGAACCCCACAGAGCCCTTTCAGGACCCCTCAAAGTCCTCTCAGCGCCCCCTCAAACACTCAGAGCTCCCTTAGGACCCCTCACAGCCCCCTCAGCGTTCCCCAGAGCTCCCTCGGGACCCCTCAGACCCCCCCAAGGCCCTTCAGAGCTCCATCAAACCCTCAAAGCCCCCCCAGAGCCCCCTCAGGGTCCCTCAGATTCCCCCCCCAAGGCCCCTTCAGAGCTCCCCCAGACCCTCAAAGCCCCCTCAGACTCTCAGAGCCCCCTCAGGACCCTCCCAGACCCTCAGAACCCCCTCAAGACCCCCAGAGCCCCCTCAGAGACCCCTCAGGGGCCTCTCAGAGATCCCTCCCAGGGCCACCTCAGACCCTCAGGGACCCCTCAGGACCCCTCCGAGCCCTCTCAGAAGCCCCTCAGACCCTCAGGGATCCCTCATAGCTCCCTCAGAGTCCCCTCAGGACCCCTCAGACCCCCCGAGCCCCCTCAGGACCCCTCCGAGTTTCCGGCCCGTTTCCCGCCGTTCCCCCGCGCGCTCCCTCCGTCCCAGTCGCTGTCCCCGCGCTCCCCCCGCGGGCTGTGGTGGTTGCCGGGCTCTGTCCGTGCTGTTCCCCCGCGGTTTTCCCAGCTCCGTTCCCGCTCCCAGCGGCACCTTCAGCTTGTGCAGCTCCACCGGCTCCGCCGCCATCTTGGCACCCCCCGCGCCGGCCCCGCCTCTCCCGCCGCTCCCACCAATCAGCGCCGCGAATCCCCCGCCGCCCCGCCCAGATCCGCCGCTCGCCATTGGTCAGCGCTGCCGGCCGCACCCGCCGGTGATTGGCTTATCGGGGAATAGAGGCGGGGAGATATTGACTGACGTGCAGATAAACCAATGGAGGTAGAGAGATGCTGGGAGACAGCCAATGGGAAGAGAGGGCGGGAAACGCGGACTTCCGCGAGGTGGGGCCAGGAGCGAAGCGGGGTCATTGAGGGACTGGGGCGTAATTAATTATTAAAAATTATCTCTCTTCATTAAACTATTAATATTGCTAGATAAAATTAGATATTTATTATTTACTAGCTCCGGATAGTGTGTGTTTATTGGTTACAACGTTGCTATGTTTCTTGTGGTATTTTTATTCCTCGAAATGTATCCTTTGTTATGATTTAATTTCTTTATTGCATGATTATTAGTGGAAAGTTGCTTATATTTGCTTTATTAAACTACAATATTGTGCTATATTTGCTTTATTATTATTTATTATTAATAAATAATAATTTGTTTGTTATCTATTATTATTATTTGTTATAAAGTAAGCAAGCAATAATTGTCCTTCAGCGGTGCAAAGCACAAATTTGGGGTCATTTTCCAGAACATTCCAACGTTTCCCACTCCTTTCCCCTCTCCAGGCGCTGCTCCCAAGGCTCGCTGCTTTATTCCCTTATTGAATTTATTAAAAACTCCCTTTATTTATACTACTATTTAACATTATTGTGTTTTTCTTCCTGCAGCTCCTGAATAACAACACCCCCGCCATTAATAATTAAAACAACTTAAGTAATTATAAATGAAAATTATTAAAAGTAATAGAATAATTTAATATAATCCTTTTGGGGGGGCGGGGGGGGGGGTGTGTGTGGTGCCGCCATGATGGATGTGGCGACCGCCATGATTGATTGGGGCAACCATGATGGACGAGTCCATCATGTACGTGTGGGCAGCCGCCATGACGGCAGCGGCCGCTTCCCCGTCGCTCCAAACCGCATCTCCCGCACTAACCGGACACGTCCTCCCCCCACGGGTCACTCCCGGGCCGCTCCGGCCCCGCCACAACCCCGGTGTGGCCTGAAGCGCAGCCAGCGCCGCCTTGCCCACACTCAAGATGGCGCCGCTCCCTGATCCCTCAGCAGAACCGCCAACATGGCGGTGCCCATAACGGAGTCGGTGACGTCATTCTCATTCCGGCGCGGGCCGGAAGAGGCGCGGCCATGGCGGCGCGGAGCTGGTGAGGCCGCGGCGGCCTTGGGGACCTCGGGGGGAGCTTGGGGACACCGGGGAGGGGCTGAGGGGAGGGCGGGGGGGCCGGGATGGAGCCCGCGCCAGGCCGGGGTTTGGGGCTGGGGGCGCCGTGAGGGCCCCGCGGCCTCCTTGGGCCCCCCGGTGTCACCTCGGTGTCACCAGACTCCCCAGTCCCCCTCAATGTTCCCCTCAGTGTCTCCTCTGTCCCCTCAGTGCCACCTCATTGTCCCCTCAGTGTCCCCAGTCCCCCTCCTGTCACCCCCAGTGTCACCTCAGTGTCCCCACCCTGTCCCCAGGCCCCCCCAGTCCCCCTCAGTGTCCCCCCAGTGTCCTCAGTGCCACCTCAGTGTCCCCAGACCCTCTCCTGTCACCCCCAGTGCCACCTCAGTGTCCCCACCCTGTCCCCAGACCCACCCAGTCCCCCTCAGTGTCCCCCCAGTGTCCTCAGTGCCACCTCAGTGTCCCCACCCTGTCCCCAGTCCCCCTCTTGTCACCCCCAGTGTCCCCCCAGTGTCCCCTCTGTCCCCTCAGTGTCCCCCCAGTGTCCCCAGCCCCTCTCCTGTCACCCCCCTGTCCCCTCCCCTGTGTCCCCAACCCCCCCAGCTGTGCTGTGACCCCTGGGGTGGCACTGAGGGGACACTGAGGTGACATTTCTGTGTCCCCAGATGCCACCATGGCCACCAGCCGCTCGGAGGACGAGGAGTCGCTGGCGGGGCCCAAGCGGGGCCCGGCCACCCCCGCGGGGACTGTCCCCAAACGGCGCAGCTCCTCCAGGTGACACTGGGGACACTGGGGACACCCAGGGGACACTGGGGACACCCAGGGGACATTGGGGACACTGGGGACACAGGACAGGGACTGTCCCCAAACGGCGCAGCTCCTCCAGGTGACACTGGGGACACCCAGGGGACATTGGGGACACTGGGGACATTGGGGACACCCAGGGGACACTGGGGAGGGGACGCTGGGAGGGGACACCAGGACACAGGAGGGGACACGAGGGGCGTTGGGGGGTTTGAGGCTGCCCAGTCACTCCCAGTCCATTCCCAGTCACTCCCAGTCCATCCCAGTTCCATTCCAGTCTGTTCCCAGTCAATCCCAGTCACTCCCAGTTCCATTCCAGTCTGTTCCCAGTCCATTCCCATTTAATCCCAGTTACTCCCAGTCAAACCCAATCCATTCCCAGTCCATTCCCAGTCCATCCCAGTGGGTTCCCAGTTGCTCCCAGTCCATTTTAGGTTCATCAAGAGGAGGAAGTTCGATGGTCAAGAGCAGCCTGGCCAAGGCCCCAGTGCCTCCCAGTCCATCCCAGTCCATCCCAGTCCATCCCAGTCCATCCCAGTCCATCCCAGTCCATCCCAGTCCATTCCCAGTCCATTCCCAGTTGCTCCCAGTCGCTCCCAGTTGCTCCCAGTTCATCCCAGTCCATTTTAGGTTCATCAAGAGGAGGAAGTTTGATGGTCGAGAGCAGCCTGGCCAAGGCCCCAGTGCCTCCCAGTGCCTCCCAGTCCCTCCCAGTCCATCCCAGTCCATCCCAGTCCATCCCAGTCCATTCCCAGTCCATCCCAGTGGGTTCCCAGTTGCTCCCAGTCCGTTCCAGGTTCATCAAGAGGAGGAAGTTTGATGACGAGCTGGTCGAGAGCAGCCTGGCCAAGCTCCCAGTGCCTCCCAGTCCATCCCAGTCCATCCCAGTCAAACCCAATCCATTCCCAGTCGCTCCCAGTTGCTCCCAGTTGATCCCAGTCCGTTCCAGGTTCATCAAGAGGAGGAAGTTCGATGACGAGCTGGTCGAGAGCAGCCTGGCCAAGCCCTCCAGGGCCAAGGGGGGTCCCGAGCCCCCCCCCAGGCCCGGGGGAGGGGCGGTGGGGGGTGGGGGAGGGGCGGCCCCCGAGCCCCCCCCTGGCGACAGGAAAAAGGTGAGGGGGGGAAACGGGGGGGGGAAACGGGGGGGGAAAACCGGGATTTTGGGGAAAAAAGAGGTTTTTTGGGGGAAAATAGGGGATTTTTGGGAAAAATGTGTGGATTTTGGTGGGAATTATGGGATTTTGGGGGAAAAAAGATGGGATTTTTGGGGGGAAAATGTGGGACAGCCCCAGGTGCCACGCACCCCCTGTGCCCCCCCCCGGTCTCTTGGGCCGTGCCCCCCCCCCCGGTGCCCCACAAGTGCCCCCCAGGACCTTTCAGGTGCCCCCCAGGTGCCACCCACCCCCTGTGCCCCCCCAGGTGTCCCAGGTTGTGCCCCCCCCACTCAGTCAGGGCCATCCTGGGACCCCCCAGGACCCCCCAGATGCCACCTGGGACCCCTCAGGTGCCACCCAGGATCCCTCAGGTGCCCCCAGGACTCCCCAGATGCCACCTGGGACCCCTCAGATGCCCCCCAGGACCCCCTCAGAACCTTTCAGGTGCCCCCCAGGTGCCACCCACCCCCTGTGCCCCCCCAGGTGTCCCAGGTTGGGGCCCCCCCCATTCACTCAGGGCCATCCTGGGACCCCCCAGGACCCCTCAGGTGCCACCTGGGACCCCTCAGATGCCCCCAAGAGCACTCAGGTGCCCCCCAGGTGTCCCAGGTTGTGCCCCCCGCACTCAGTCTGGGCCATCCTGGGACCCCCAGGACCCCCCAGATGCCACCTGGGACCCCTCAGATGCCCCCCAGGACCCCCCCAGGACCTTTCAGGTGCCCCCCAGGTGCCCCCCACCCCTCTGTGCCCCCCCAGGTATCCCAGGTTGGGGCCCCCCCCATTCACTCAGGGCCATCCTGGAACCCCCCAGGACCACTCAGGTGCCACCTGGGACCCCCCAGGTGCCACCCACCCCCCGTGCCCCCCCAGGTCTCTCGGGCCGTGCCCCACCCGGTGCCCCCCGGGCCCCCCCCGGCGCTGCCCAAGCGGCTCAAGAAGGGCAAACCCAGCCCGGCCCCCCGAGACCTGGGCAGGTGGAAAGCAGCCGACGACCTCCTGCTCATCAACGCCGTGCTGCAGGTCAGGCACCCCTGGGGGCATTTGGGGGACCCCCACCCACCTGGGGAACTCCCCGAATTTGGGGGACCCCCCCTTAATTGGGGGGATTTGGGGGGGATTTTGGGGGGAGCCCCAAGGAAGGGACCTGGGCCACCAGTGAGGGGTTGTGCTCCACAGCTGGGGAGGTTTTGGGGACTCTTCCTCATCTGGGGGATTTCGGGGACCCCACCCACCTGGGGGACCTCCCATAAATTTGGGGGACCCCCCAATTTGGGGGAACCCCTCTAAATTTGGGGATTTTGGGGGGAACCCTCAGAACGCTCACTTGGGATCCAACCACCTCCTGTGCTGCAGGTGAGGCACACCTGGGGGGCTTTGGGGGGGATTTTGGGGGGATTTTGGGGCTCTCTCCTCCCCTGTGAGTTTTGGGGTGCCCCCAGCCCCCTCAGGACCCCCCCAATGAGCTGTTTTATTTTTGGGGATCCCCCCCAGACCAACGACCTGAGCTCGGTGCACCTCGGGGTGAAATTCAGCTGCCGCTTCAGCCTGCGCGAGATCCAGGAGCGCTGGTACTCGCTGCTCTACGACCCCGTCATCTGCAAGTGAGGCAAATTTGGGGGGTCCCCGGGGGTTTTGGGGGGTCCTCAGGGGGTCCCGAGGGTTCCACGGGTGCGGGGTGGTCGTGGGATTTGGGGGTACCCAAGGGGACACAGGTGTGACACCCGTGGGACACCCATGGGACACCCAGGAGCGCTGGGAGCTTCTGCTTTAGGACTCCTGGGGGGTCTCAGGTGTCCCCAAAGGGGTCTGGGGTGTCCCAGGGGTGTCACACACATGTCACACACATGTCACCCATGTCCCCAGGCACACGTGCCAGGCCATGGGGCTGTCCCAGGGGTGTCACACACATGTCACACATGTCACACACGTGTCCCCAGGCACGCGTGCCAGGCCATGGGGCTGTCCCAGGGGTGTCACACATGTCACACACGTGTCCCCAGGCACGCGTGCCAGGCCATGGGGCTGTCCCAGGGGTGTCACACATGTCACACACGTGTCACACCCGTGTCCCCAGGCACGCGTGCCAGGCCATGCGCCAGCTGCACCCCGAGGCCGTCGCCGCCATCCAGAGCCGGGTCCTGTTCAGCAAAGCCGAGGAGCAGCTGCTGGCGCGGGTGCCATCGGTCAGTGTCCCCAAACGTCCCCAAACGTCCCCAAATGCCATCGGTCAGTGTCCCAAATGTCCCCAAATGTCCCCTGGTGTCCCTTGGTGTCCCCAGTCCCCACTGCCATCCCTGGACACCTTCCAGGACCTGCTGCAGCGCCACCCTGCCGGGTGTTTTACCCTGCCAGGACCTGTCCCCTGCCCTGTCCCCATGTCCCCAAGTGTCCCCACACGTCCCCAAGTGTCCCCACATGTCCCCTGGTGTCCCCAGAGCCCCGTGCCCTCGCTGGACACCTTCCAGGACCTGCTGCAGCGCCACCCGGCCGTGTTTTACCCTGCCAGGACCCCCAAGGCCCTGCAGCTGCATTGGCAGCTCCTGCGCCAGTACCACCTGCTGCAGGACCAGACAGGTGGGGGCGATTTTGGGGGGTCCTGGGGGGGTTTTGGGGGTCCCAGGGGGATTTTGGGGGTCCTGGGGGAATTTCAGGGGGTCCTGGAAGGGTTTTGGGGGTTTTAGGGGGAGTTTGGGGGTCCTGGAAGGGTTTTGGGGGGGATTTGGGGGGAATTTTGGGGTGTTTTGGGTCCCTGGGGGATTTTGGGGTGTTTTTGGGGGTCCCAGGGGGATTTTGGGGGTCTCAGGTTGGATTTTGGGGTGTCTGACCCCCCAAATCCCCCCCCCCCCACCGCAGTGCAGCCCCTCCCCAAGGGGGATCAGGTGCTGAACTTCTCCGACGCCGAGGAGCTGCTGGATGACAGCAAACTCAGGTGGGGAATTTGGGGGGCTGGGGGGGTTTGGGGGGCTGGGGGTGAATTTGGGGGGTCTGGGGGGATTTTGGGGAGTCTGAAGGGGATTTCGGGGGAGTTTGGGGGGAATTTGGGGGGTTTTGGGGAATCTGAGGGTGAATTTGGGGGGTCTGGAGGGGAATTGGGTTTTTTTGGGGATTTGAGGGTGGGTTTTTTTTTTTTTGTTTTGGGGGTTTTTTTAGGGGTTTTTCGGTGGTTTTGGTGTCCCTGTGTCACCTCTCCCCTCCCCCCCAGGGACGTTCGGGACGAGGTCCTGGAGCACGGTGAGAGCCCCGGGAGCTTCCAGAACCTTCCAGAACCTTCCAGGACCTTCCCTGACCCTTCCAGACCCTTCCCAAACCTCCCAGAACCTTCCTGACCCTTCCAGAACCTTCCTGACCTTTCCAGAACCTTGTGTCCGTCCGTCTGTCCGTGCAGAGCTGACGGTGGCTGTGTGTCTCTCTGTCTGTCCGTCCATCTGTCCGTGCAGAGCTGACGGTGTCTGTCTGTCTGTCTGTCTGTCTGTGCAGAGCTGACGGTGGCTGTGTCAGTCAGTCACTCTGTCTGTCCGTCTGTCCGTGCAGAGCTGACGGTGGCTGTGTGTCTGTCTGTCTGTCCGTGCAGAGCTGACGGTGGCGGACCGGCGGCAGAAGCGCGAGATCCGGCAGCTGGAGCAGGAGCTGCAGCGCTGGCAGGTGCTGGTGGACTCCATCACAGGTGGGCACGGATGGACGGACGGACAGACGGACGGCCCTGGGGCTGTCTGTCTGTCTGTCCATCCCTGTGTCCATCCTTGTGTCCATCCCTGGGTCTGTCTGTCCGTCCATCCCCGTGTCCATCTGTCCATCTCCTCTGCCCCTCACTGTCCCCTGGCTGTCCCTCTCTGTCCGTCTGTCCCCCGGTGTCCCCCCGAGTGTCCGTGTGTCCCTGACCGTCCGTCCGTCCGTCTGCCCGCAGGGATGAGCTCCCCGGATTTCGACAGCCAGACTCTGGCGGTGCTGCGGGGCCGCATGGTTCGCTACCTGATGCGCTCGCGGGAGGTGCGGCCCCAAAAACGCCCCAAAATAACCCAAAAATATCCTCGAAATATCCCCAATATACCCCAAAAATATCCCAAAAATACCACAAAAAATATCCCCAAAATATCCCCAGAAATATCCCAAAATGTCCTAGAAATATCCCAAAAAGATCCCAGAAATATTCCCCAAAATATCCCCTAAAATACCCCAAAAATGTCCCTAAAAATACCCCAAAAATATACCCAAAATTACCCAAAAATACCCCTAAAATATCCAAAAATATCCCCAAAAATACCCCCAAAATATCCCTACAATACCCAAAGATTACCCAAAAACCTCACCTGGGACCCCAAAATACCCCAAAAAAGTCCCTGAAATATCCCAAAATACCCAAAAACCTCATCTGGGAACCCAAGAATATCCCAAATACACTAAAAACACCCCCAAAAAACCCTGTGAGAACCCCCCCAAAACCACTGGAGGAACCCAAAAAAACCCCAAAATCCCCCAAACCCCCACAAAAAAAACCCAAAACCCCTAAATATCCCAAAATATCCCCCAAAAAAACCCAAAATATTAAAAAAAAAACCCCCAAAATCCCCCAAAAAAACCTCAAAAAAAACCCAAAAAACCCTAAAAAAAACCCTAAGAACCCCAAAAACCCATCCAAAACCGCCCCAGAAACTCCCAAAAAAATCAAAAAACCCCAAAAATCCCCAAAATCCGCCAAAACCCCCCCAAAAACCCCCAAATTTCAGATCACACTGGGCAGAGCCACCAAGGACAACCAGATCGACGTGGACCTGGCGCTGGAGGGGCCGGCCTGGAAAATCTCCCGCAAGCAGGGTGGGATTTGGGGGAAATTTGGGGGATTTTTGGGTTTTTGGGGAAAATTGGGGGTTTTTGGGGGGATTAGGGTTTTTTGGGGGTTATTTGGGGAGGGTTTTGGGGTTTTTGGGGGGATTTTGGGGTTTCTTGGGGTTTTTTTTTGGGGGGGGAGGGTTTTGGGGTCTCCCAGGGATTTGGGGGGGATCCTCAGAGGGAATTTGAGTTTTTTGGGGTTTTTTTTGGGGAGTTTCTTGGTGGTTTTTTGTGGATATTTCTGGGGAGGTCCCTGACAGATTTTGGCCCGAATTTTGGGGCGATTTTTGGGGCGAATTTTGGGTTTTTCTCCCCGTTTCCTCCACCAATGCTTTCCTGACCTTTCCGGAACCCTTTGGAATTTTGTGAGCCGCTGGAATTTGCGGGAATTTCGGGAATTTTGGCTCTCCCAGGGGTGATCAAGCTGAAGAACAACGGGGAATTCTTCATCGCCAACGAGGGCCGGCGGCCGATCTTCATCGACGGCCGCCCGGTGCTGGGGGGCTGCAAATGGAAACTCAGCAACAACTCCGTGGTGGAGGTGGGGTCGGGGGGTCTGGGGGGATTTTGGGGGGTCCTGGGGGGTTTGAGGGGGATTTGGGGAGGTTTGAGGGGGATTTGGGGGAGTTCGGGGAGGATCTGGGGGGATTTCAGGGGATTTTGGGGGGGGTTTGGCAGCATTTGCGGGAGATTTGGGGGTCCTGGGGGCATCTGGGGGGTCCTGGAGGGATTTTGGGGGGGTCCTGAGGAGGTCTGGGGGGGTTTGGGGAGGATTTGGGGGAGTTTGGGGAGGATTTTGGGGGATCGTGAAGGGGGGGGTTGAGGGGGTTTGGGGGAAATTTGGGGGATCCTGCGGGGGGGTTGAGGGGGATTTGGGGGGATTTGAGGTGGATTTGGGGGACATGTGGGGGGTCCTGGGGGGATTTCAGGGAGATTTTGGGGGTCTGAGGGGGTTTTGGGGGGGATTTGGGGAAGTTTGGGGGGGTCCTGAGGGGGTTTTGGGGGCTTTGGGGGAGGATTTGGGAGGAATTTTTGGGGGAAATTTGGGGAGTTTTGGGTATTTTGAGGAGGGGTCTGTGGGATTTTGGGATATTTTGGGGATTTTTGGGATTTTGAGGAGGGGTCTCTGGGATTTTGGGGATTTTGAGGAGGGGTCTCTGTACGATTTTGGGGATTTTTGGGTATTTTGAGGAGGGGTCTGTGGGATTTTGGGATTTTTGGGGGATTTTTGGGATTTTGAGGAGGGGTCTCTGCCCCCCCAGATCGCCAGCCTGCGCTTCGTGTTCCTGATCAACCACGAGCTGATCGCGGCCGTGAGGAGCGAGGCCGCGCGGCTGGGACACCAGTAAAAACCAGTATAAACCAGTAAAAACCAGTATGAGACCAGTAACACCAATAAAACCAGTAACAAACCAGTATGGCTCCGGTATAACCAGTAACCCCAGTACAACCATGAGCTGATCGCAGCCATGAGGAGCGAGGCCGCACAGCTGGGGCACCAGTAAAAACCAGTATAAACCTGTAAAAACCAGTATGAGACCAGTAAAACCACTATGAGACCAGCAAAAACCAGTATAAACCAGTAAAAACCAGTATAAACCAGTAAAAACCAGTATGAGACCAGTAAAACCAGTATGAACACCAATCAAACCAGTAACAAACCAGTATAACCAGTATGGCTCCAGTATAACCAGTCCCAGTGTTCCCAGTTTGGAACTGGGAAATTCCCAAAAATAAAAATTCCCATTTTTTTTTTTTTTTTAAAGCTCCCAAGTTTTTATTGGAATTTTCTCAAGTTTTCGGTCACTGAAAAGGGGAAAAAAATTAAAAAAAAAAAAAAAAAAAAACAAAACCAAAACAAAATAAACAAACCCAAAATTTGGGGAAAAAAAGGAAAATTGGGGAAATTCCCTGAAAATTCCCCAAAAAAACTCCTGAAAATTCCCGAAAATTTGGGGCTGGGATTGGGGTTTGCAGAGGGGGGGGAATCCCAAATTTCCAAGGGAAATCCCAGATTTTCAAAGGGAAATCCCAAATTTTGGGGTGAAATCCCAAATTCCAAAGAGAAAAATCCAAAATTTTGGGGAGAAAATCCCAAATTTCAAATGGAAATCCCAAATTCCAAAGGGAAATTCCCAATTTTTGGGGGAAAATCCCAAATTTCCAAAGGGAATTCCCAAAATTCCAACAGGAAATCCCAAATTTCCAGAGGAAAATCCCCAAATTATGGGGGGGAATCCCAAATTCTAAAGGGAAAATCCCAAATTCCAAAGGGAAAATTCCAAATTCTGGAGGCCCCCCAAGTCCTGGGAAGGACCCCCAAAAATCCCAAATTTCCCCCCAAAATCCCAAATTTCCCCTAAAAATTCCAAATTTTCCTCCTAAAATCCCAAATTTTCCCCCAAATCCCAAATCCCGGCTCTTCCCTCGCTGCCAGCGCAAGGTTGGGGTCGAGATTTTTGGGAATTTTTGGGGGACAAATTTTGGGATTTAGCCAAAATCAAACCCCAAAAATCGCAGTGGGAAAAACACGGGAAGAGGAGGGGGAAAATGGGAAAAAAATTGTGGAAAAAAGGAAAAAAATTGGGGAAAAAATAGGGAAAAAGAGGAAAAAATGGGGGGAAATAGGAAAAAAAAGAGGGAAAAAAGGGGAAAAGTGAGAAAAAAGATGGAAAATAGAAAAAGAGAAAAAAATCGAAAAAATTAGGAAAAAAGGGGGAAAATGGAAAAAACAAGAGGGAAAAAATGGGGGGGAAATGGGAAAAAAGGGGAAAATTGGGGAAAAAAGGGGGAAAATGGGGGGAAAAGAAAAAACTTGGAAAAGGAGGAAAAATTATGAAAAAGGGAGGAAAATGGAAAAAATAAGAGGGAAAAAAGGGTGGAAAGTGGGAAAAATAAGGAAAGAAAGGGGGAAATTTGGGAAAATGAGAAAAATTGGGAAAAAAAGGGAAAAAAGGGGGGAAATGGGAAAAAAGAAGGAGAAAAGGGAAAAAGAGGAAAAATGGGGGAAAAAAGAGGGAAAAAAGAAGGAAAAAATGGAGGGAAAAGGGGGAAATGCAAAAAAAAAAAGGCAGAAAAATGGGGGAAAATGGAAAAAAGGGGGAAAAGGGGGAAAAAGTGGAAATTTGGGAAAAATGGGAAAAAGAAAGAAAAAGTGGGAAAATTTAGGAAAAAATGCAAAAAAAAAAAAAAAAAAGGGGGAAATGGCACCGAGTGGGAATTGTAAACGTTGCTGGGCTGGGATCCCAAATCCCAAAATCCCAAATTTCAAATTCCCAAATCCCAAATTCCGAAGTCCAAATTCCAAATCCCAAATCCCAAAATTCCGAATTCCCAAATCCCGAATTTGGGATTTTCAGGAATTTCCCCTCTCGGGGCGGCTCCGGCGGCTCCGGCCGGGTTTGGGGTCCCCGGAATTTTTGGGGTTTTGGGGGGATTTGGGGTTTTTGGGGTCCCCAGGAATTTTGGGGGTTTTGGGGTCCCCAGGGGATTTGGAGTTTTTGGGGTTTTCGGGAATTTTGGGGTTTTTGAAGTCCCCGGAATTTTTGGGGTCCCCGAGGCTTTTGGGGTTCCCGTGGGATTTGGGGGTCCCAGAATTTTTGGGGTCCCCAGGGGATTTGGGGTTTTTGGGATCTCCGGAGTTTTTATGGTCTCCGGAATTTTTGGGGTTCCCGGGGGATTTGGGGGTCCCAGGATTTTTGGGGTTCCCAGGGGATTTGGGGTTTTCAGAGTTTTGGGGGTTTTTGGGGTTGGGGTCCCCCAGGATTTTGGGGTCCCCGGGGGATTTGGGGGTTTTGGGGTTCTCTGGGGATTTGGGGTTTTTGGGGTTGGGGTCGCCAAGGTTTTTGGAGTCCCCGGGGGATTTGGGGTTTTTGGGGTCCCCGGGGGATTTGGGGTTTTTGGGGTTCTCGGGGTTTTTGGGGGTCCCCGGGGGTCGGGGTCCAGCTGCTCCCGGCGCTTTCCGGCTCCTCTGGGGGGGCTGCAGGAAAAAGGGGGAAATTATCCCAAATCCCAGAGAAAAACCCTGAACCCCCAAATTCTGGGAAGGATGGGAGAGAAAAGGGGGGAGAGGCTGAATCCCAAATCCCACCTGGCCCCTCCGATCCCAATCCTGATCCCAAACCCAAACCCAGTCCTGATCCCAAACCCGATCCAAACCTGATCCCGATCCCAAACCCGATCCTGATAACCCGATCCCAAACCTGATCCTGATCCGAACCCCGATTCCAAACCTGATCCCAAACCCGATCCTGATCCCAAACCCGATCCCGATCCCACCCCAATCCCGATCCCGATCCCGTTCCTGCTGTTCCCGCCCCACCTGTGGGGCCGGGGTTGGCTCTGCTGGGGCGGCGCCGTCCTGGGGGGATCCCGGGAATTCCGGGGGGGATCCCGGGGCCGATCCCGTTGTTGATCCCGAGGATCTTGGGGCCGATCCCATTGGGAATGCCGGGGCTGATCCCGGAGCCAATCCCGTTGCTGATCCCGAGGATCTTGGGGTTAATCCCGAGGATTTTGGGGTTGATCCCGTTGTTGATCCCGTTGTTGATCCCGTTGCCAATCCCGCAGATCCAGGGCCGGAGCTGCAGCGGGAGCGGCTGGAATAGCTCGGCCTGGGGTGGGAAACTGTGGAGAGAGGGACTGGGAGCACTGGGAGCACTGGGAATGGGACTGGGAGCACTGGGAATGGGACTGGGAGCACTGGGAATGGGATTAATGGGACTGGGAGCACTGGGAACACTGGGAATGAGACTGGGAGCACTGGGAGCACTGGGAATGGGATTAATGGGAGCACTGGGAGCACTGGGAATGGGATTAATGGGAGCACTGGGAGCACTGGGAATGGGATTAATGGGACTGGGAGCACTGGAAGACCCCAGCCCCTGCCTGGAACAGGAGAAATTCCCACGGAATTTTCCCAGATTTTCCCGGAATTCCGGACCCACCTGTGCCGAAGGCGCCAATGCTGCCCCGCAGCCCCTCCAGGTCGCAGCCGAAGCGCCCGGCCCGGCCCAGCTCCTCATCGAACTTCCGCTCGCTCACAAAGTGCTGGAAAAATGGGAATTCTGGGAATTCCAGAGGGAATTTCCACCAGAATTCCCACCCAGAATGGGGCAGGGAACAATGGGAATTCTCCATGGGAATTCTCCCTGGGAATGGGGCGGGGAACAATGGGAATTCCACCGGCCTGGCCCAGCTCCTCATCGAACTTCTGGGAATTCCAGAGGGAATTTCCAATGGCAATGTGGCAGGAAAAAAAGGGAATTCTTACTGGGAATAGGGCAAGGAAAAATGGGAATTCTCCCTGAGAATGGGGAAGGGTAAAGCAGGAATTACCATGGGACTGGGGTCAGGAATTCCCACGGATTTGGGCTGGAATTCCCATGGGATTTGGGCCAGAATTCCGAGGGGATTTGGGTCAGAATTCCCACAGGATTCAGGAATTCCCACGGGATTTGGATCAGGAATTCCCACGGGATTTGGATCAGGAATTCCCACGGGATTGGCATCAGGAATTCCCACAGGATTGGGGCCAGAATTCCCATGGATTTGGATCAGGAATTCCCACAGGATTTGGATCAGGAATTCCAAGGGGACTGGGGCTGCAATTCCCACAGGATTCAGGAATTCCCATGGGACTGGGGCCAGAATATTCACGGGATTGGGATCAGGAATTCCAATGGGATTGAGGCTGGAATTCCCAGGGAATTGGGGGACGGAATTCCCATGGGACTGGGATCAGGAATTCCGGGAATTCCGGGCTGACCTTGATGTCTGCGCGCAGCTCCTGCAGCTGCTCCTCCGACATGGCCGGGGCGGCCTCGGTCAGAGCGCGCAGAGCCTCGGCCCGGCGCTGCCGCAGGGAGAGCAGGTCCACTGGAAAAAACGGGATAAAACACCGGGAATTCGGGAAAAACGGGAACAGGCACCGGGAATGTGGGATAAAACACCGGGAATGTGGGAAAAAACACCGGGAATTTGGGATATAACATCGGGAATTTGGGATAAAACAGCAGAGCCTCGGCCTGGCGCTGCCGCAGGGAGAGCAGGTCCACTGGAAAATGGGAATTTGGGAATAGAATCCGGGAATTTGGGATAAAAATCAGGAATTTGGGGAATTTTCCTCACTTGCTTCTGCCTTGACTTTGTCCATCTCAGCCAGCAGAGCCACCTCCCGATCCATGAGGCTGCAAATAATGGAAAAATTGAAAAAATGGGAAAAAAACAGGGAAAATAGGGGGAAAATGGGGAAAAAACAGGGGAAAATGGAGTGGAAAATAGGGAAAAGGGGGAAAGGGGGGAAAAGGGGAGGAAAAGAGAGGAAAAAGAAGGAAAAAAAGGGGGAAAACAGGAAAAAGAGGATAAAATGGAAAAAAGAGGGGAAAAAGAGGGAAAAAGGGTGAAAAAAGAAGGAAAAAAGGAGGAAAAAAGGAAAAACTGGGTCGGGAAAGCGCCGCAGGAATTCCGGGAATCGCCGCCAGAGGGCGCCGGAGCCGCGGGAAAATCGGGAATTGCGGCCGGGAGGGAGCAGGAGGCGGAATTCCTGCCCGAATTCCCGAAAAATCACCCCGAAATTCCCCAAATTCCCCACATTCCCCCCAAAATCACCCAAATTCCCCTTAAATTCCCCCGAAATTCCCAAAATCCCCCCAAATTACCAAAATCCCCCCAAAATTGCCCAAAACCTCCCAAAACTTCCCCAAAATCTCCAAAAAATTCCCCAAAATCCCCCGAATTCCCAAATTTCCCCAAAATCCCCCCCAGAATTCCCATTTTCCCGGGATTTTGGGAGTCCTGACCAGCTCTGGATCTCTCCGAAGGCCACCCGGACCTTCCTCAGGGAGGTCTCGACCTCCTCCCGCAGCAGCGCCCGGAACCGCGCCAGGGCCACGGAGCAGCGCTGCAGATCCTTCAGGGAGCGCTCCAGGCTGCAGCCTGGGGGGAAAATTGGGATAAAATCATGGGAAAATGGGAAAGAAAATGGACAATTGGGAGAAAAAAACATGGAAAAATGGGGATAAATGGGAATAAATGGGAAAAAACATGGAATAAATGGGAATAAAATGGGAATCAATGGGAATCAATGGGAATAAGCCTGCAGGGAGAGCTCCAGGCTGGAGCCTGGGAAAAACAGGAATAAAATAATGGAAAAATGGGAATAAAACCTGGGAAAAACAGGGAAAATGGGAATAAAGATAATAAAACATGGAATAAATGGGAATAAATGGGAAAAAAGGAATACTTTCCCCCTGATTTTCCCCATTTTCCCCCTTTTTATTCCAAATTTTTTCCCATTTCCCCCCATTTTCCTCCAATTTCCCCTTTTTTCCCCATTTTCCCCCCATTTATTCCCATTGTTTTACCTTTTTTTCCCATTTTTCCCATTCTTCCCATTTTCCCATTTTCTCACCCATTTTCCTGCCGCCGGGATCGCTCCGGGCCGGGGTCGGGGGCTGGGCTGGGGCAGGAAAAGCCGAAATTCCGTTCCCGAGGCCTGGGAAAAGCCAAAATTCCCAGAAAATTTCACCCCTGAAAATTTATCCTGAATTTTCCTGCAGAATTCCCAAATTTACCCTGAAATCCCCAAAATTCCCCCCAAAAATCCAAAAATTTCTGCCTCAAATTCTAAAATTTTCCCCAAAAAATCCCCAAATTTGCTCCAAAATTCCCAAATTTTCACACCTAACATCCCAAATTTCCCCCAGAATCCCCAAATTTCCCCCTCAAATTTCCCCCAGAGTCCCCAAATTCCCCCTAAGATTCCAAAATTTCCCCCAAAATTCCCGAATTTCCGGGACCTGGCAGCGACTCCAGGGAGGGGCAGCGGTTGCCATGGAAACCGTTGATGGAAATTTCCAATTTTCCCAGGTTTTTTTCCAGGTTTTTTCCCAGATTTTCCAACTTTTCCTCCTGCCCAGGGCCGGGCGGGGCCTTGGCTTTGGGTTTCTTCTTCTTGTTCTGGGGGAAAAAAAAGGTGGAAATGGGAAAAATCAGAAAATTGGGAAAAAATGGGAATAAAAGGAAAAAAATTGGGAAAAAATGGGAGAATAATGGGAAAAATGGGGGATTTTGGGGGGGATTTTTTGTGGGGTTTTTTGTGGGGATTTTTTTTTTAATTTTTTGTGGAAATTCTGGGGATTTTTTGGGAATTTTTTGAGGATTTTTGGGAGATATTTTGGGGTTTTTTTTGCGGATTTTTGGGGAATTTTTGGGTGATTTAGGGGGATTTTTTGCAGATTTTTTGGGGGATTTTTGGGGAATTTTTCAGGGGATTTTTCGAGGGATTTTGAGGAAATTTTTGGAGGATTTTTTGGGAATTTTAGGGGCTTTTTGGGAAAATCTTGGGCGATTTTTGGGGGGGAATTTTGGGGAATTATTTGGAATTTTTTGCCTTACCTTTTTTTTCCCAGTCACCGTCCATTCCTTGAGCACCTCGCTGGCATTCCCTGAAAAAAAAAAAAACGGGAAAAATTGGGAATGAGGGGCGGGAAAAAAAAGGAGAATTCCCAAAATTCCATCCCAAATTCTCTTGAATCCCAAAAATTCCCTCCCAAACCCCCCCCAAATTCCCTCCCCAGCCCCCCAAACCCCAGAATTCCCTCTCATCATTCCCAGAATTCCCGGAATTCCGGGATTGTTTGGGAATTCCCACCCTCCATGAAGGCCTGCACGGCTCTGTCCACGGCGTTGTCGAAGTGCTGCAGCACCAGAACGATCTCGGTGTTGCTGCGGTTGGGAACCACGGCCCGCACGGCCTGCACCTGGAAAAACGGGGAAAAAACAGGGAAAAATTGGAAGAAAACATGGAAAATGGGGAAAACTGAGAAAATCCATGAGAAATCCATGGGAAAATGGGAAAAACTGGGAAAAAAACATGGAGAAATGAGAAAAATAGGGGAAAATATAGGGAAAACCAGGGAAAATCCATGGGAAAATCCAATGGAAATCCATGGGAAAAAAAAACATGGGAAATGGTAAAAACAGGGAAAAATACAGGGAAAAAATGGGAAAAACAGGGGGAAAACATGGGGAAAATACAGAGGAAAAAAAGGAAAATCCATGGGAAACCCATGGGAAATGCGAAAAAAACAGGGGAAAACAAGGAAAATCTGTGGGAAAACAGGAAAAATCCATTGAAATCCACGGGAAAAACAGGGGAAAAAACATGGGAAATCCATGGGAAAAACATGAGAAAAACAAAGGAAAATGAGGGAAACCCATGGGAAAACCAGGAAATAACACAGGAAAATCAGGGAAAAACACGGGAAAAACATGGAAAAACAGGAGATAAATCAGGGAAGAACACGGGAAAATCAGGGGGAAAACACAGGAAAACATGGGAAAAAATCTATGGGAAAATTCCTGGGGAAAATCCCTGGGAAATTTATGGAAAATCCCGGAAAAAGGAGATGTTTGGCACCTTTTCCTTCATGTTCTCGCAGGCGCCGCCCTGCGCCCGCACGGCCCCGGAGCGAGCGTCGAACAGCACGGCACAGGGACCTGCGGGAAACGGGATGTGGGAATTACCGAAATTCCATGGAATTCCTGAGCCAAAACTCCCTGGGGATGCTGAGAAAAATTCCCGGAATTCCATGGAATTCCCTGGGAATGCTGAGCACAAATTCACAAAATTCCCTGGGAATGCTGAGCCAAAATTCCCTGGGAATGCTGAGAAAAATTCCCACATTTTTCCCACAAAATCCCAATTTCTCCCCTGAAATCCCATTTTTCCCTCAAAATTCCCCATTTTCCCCCAATTCCCCCCAAAAAATCCAAAATTCCCCCCAAAATATCCCTTTTTTTCCTCTAATTCCCCCCAAAATTCCCATTTTCCCCCAATTCCCCCAAAATATTCCAATTTCCCCAAAAAATTCCCTGTTTTTCCCCCTAATTCCCCCTCGCCCCCCCCGCCCCCCCCAAAATCCCAATTTTTTTGGGATCATCCCTTAGGCTCCATCTGGCAAAGCAAATGGGAAAATGATCCCAGAAAATCCCAAATTTTCCCTCGGGAAAAGGGCTGGAATTGCCTCTCAATAATTCATTAAAAAGCAAATAAAGACAAACGAGGCCCCTCCAGGGAAATCTTCCCCAAATCCCACCAAAAAAAAAAAAAAAAAAAAAAAGAAAAGGAAAAAAAAAAGGGAAAATCCAGGGGGGAAAAAATCCCTGGGAAAAATCCCTGGAAAAAAAGGGGAGAAATTGAGGGAAAAAGGGGAAAATTGAGGGGGAAAAGGGAAAAATCCTGGGAAAAGAAGGGGGAAAATCCTGGAAAAAAAAAAAAAAGGGAAAATTCCATGGAAAAATTCCCTGGGAAAAAGGGTAAATATCCAGTGGAAAATTCCTTGGGAAAAGGAGGAAAATCAAGGGAAAAAAGGGGAAAATCCCAGGAAAAAAAAGGGGAAAATCCTGGAAGAACAAGGGGGAAAATCCTGGGAAAAAAAGGAAATATCCAGGGGGAAATTCCCAGGTAAATGGAGGAAAATTGAGGAGAAAAAAGGGGGAAAATTTTGGGGAAATTCCTGGAAAAAATCCCTGGAAAAAAGGGACAAAATCCAGGGGAAAAGGGGAAAATCCCTGGAAAAAAAAAAGGAGAAAATCCAAAGGAAAAAAGGGGAAAATTCCTGGGAAAAAAAGAGAGAAATCCAGAGGAAAATAGGGGGGAAATCCCTTGAAAAATCCCTGGAAAAAGGGGGAAATTCCCTGGAAAAAAGGAGGGAAATCCCTGGAAAAAAGCGGGAAAATTCCATGGAAATAGTGAGGTTCAAAAATGGGATTTTGGGGATTTTTTTTGCCTTTAAATTTGGGGTTTTGGGGGGAATTTTGTCTAAAAATCAGGGAATTTTCCCAATTTTCCCACATTTTTTCCTGATTTTGCCTTATTTTCCCCTTATTTTTCCCCCAATTTTCTACTTTTTTCCCCAATTTTCCATGATTTTTTTTCAATTTTCTCCAATTTTCCCTATTTATTCCCAAATTTCCCCCCATTTTTTCCCAATTTCCCCCCATTTTCCCTTCATTTTTCCCAAATTTTCTCCCCTATTGTCCCAATTTTCCCCCTTCCAGCTCTGAAAATTCCCCCCTCCCCTTTAACCTTTTCCCAACCCCATTAAAAATTCCCAGATTTTGGGATTGTTTTGGGCTCAAATTCCAAATTTTGGGGTTTTTGGGAGCTCCTACCTTTGGGTTGCTGTTTCTTGGACATCTTTGGGTGCAATTCCAGAGGTTTTGGAGCAGAAATTTGGTGATTTTAGGGGGTTTTGAGATGTCCAAGAGAAATTTCCTGGGGAAAAAAAGAAAAAAATGAATAAAAAATTAAATGTGAGAGAGAGAAAATAATAAAAAATCGGGAATGAAATTAAAAAGTCCTGGAATTTAAAAGTCTTGGAATAAAAACCCCTTGGAGAGCCCTAAAATGCCTCAGAGCCCATAAAAAGAGCCCCAAAAAACCCACAGAAATCCCAAAAAACTCCTCAGAGATCCCAAAAATCCCCCCATAAAACTGCTCAGATCCCCCAAATCCCCTCAGCACCCCAAAATCACCTCATAAAACCCCTCAGAGCTCCCAAATCTCCTCATAAAACCTTTCAGACTCCACCAAATCCTTCTCAGCACCCCCAAACCTCCTCACAAACCCCCTGAACTCCTCCTCATCCCCTCACAAAACTCTTCAAACCCCCCAAATCTCTCCAGACCCCCCAAATCGACTCAGACTCACCCAAATCCCCTCAGCACCCCCAAACCCTCTCACAAAACCCTTCAGACTCCCCCAAATCCCCTCACAAAACCCCTCAGAGTCCCCAAATTCCCTCACAAAACTGCTCAAACTCCACCGAACCCCCTCACAAATCCCCTCAGCACCCCCAAATCCCCTCAGAAACCTCCTCAGAACCCTCAAAAACCCTCACAAAACCCCTCAAACCCCCCCAAATCCTCTCCAGACCCCCCCAAACCCCCTCATAAAACCCCTCAGAACCCCCAAGTCCCCTCACAAAACCGCTCAAACCCCACCAAATCCTCCCCAGGACCCCCCAGATCCCCTCAGCGCCCCCCTCCCCCTCACGAGACCCCGCAGTTCCGCCCGCCCCGTTCCATCCCAACCCCTCGGCCGGGCTCCCCCCGGTGACTCCCGGCCCTCCGGGGCTCCCGGGGGTCCCGCACTCACCGGGGGCTCCGGGGGTGTCCCGGGGGTCCCTCACGTTCCCCCCCGGCCTCACCCGCGACGTTCCGGGCGGGCGCCGCGGCCCGGCAGAGCCCTCAGAGCTCGCCAGCCAATCAGAACTCGGGTTTCACCCTCCAGCCAATCAGAAAGCGTCACCCTCAGCATTTTCACCAATCAGAGTGCGGAAAAGCTCGGTTTGTCCCGCCCTCCTCCCGCCGCCATTCAGAGAGAAGCGGGGAGGAGGCGCGAGGCAGCCGTTAGCCAATGGTAGAGCGGATTTGCCGCTAAGCCACGCCTACGCCTTGCAGACAACCAATCATATCGCCGGATTTCCAAACCACGCCTTTTATGGGTGGAGCGGCGGGTGCCGAACGTGGACGGAAATTGCCGAGAGTGGCGGAAACGCCCGAGCGCGCTCCGGAAACGGCCGAAGCCGCTCGCGCCGCGAAGATCCGAAGGTCGAGAGTTCGAATCCCCGGCCGGAAACGGCGACATCGGGGACGCCCCAAAAAATGGGGGGACACCCCAAAAACGGGCAGGGATCGGAGTGAAATGTGGGGGCTGCAGTGGTCAGACCCCCCTCAGTGCGCCCCCAGCTTCATAAACGACCCCCAAACCCCCTCTCCTCATGAGCCCCCCAAGTACCCCCCCATTTTTGGGGTTCCCCCCATTTTTGGGGTCTGATTCCCCAGTTTTTGGGATCCAATTCCCCCCAGTTTTTAGAGTCCAATTCCCGATTTCTTGGGGTCCAACCCCCCACGATTTTTGGGATCCAATTCCTCATTTTTGGGGTCCCGCTCCCCATTTTCGTGTCCGCCCCCCCCCCCATTTTTCGTGTCCCATCCCCATTTTTGGGGTCTTATAACCCATTTTTGATCTCCCATTCCCATTTTTGGGGTTCCATTCCCATTTTTCAGCTCCCATTTCCCATTTTTGATCTCCCATCCCCATTTTTGGGATCCCCCCCATTTTTGGGGTCTCATTCCCCATTTTTAGGATCCCCCCCATTTTTGGGGTTCCATTCCCATTTTTCGACTCCCATCCCGATTTTTGGGATTCCCCCCCCCCATTTTTGGGGTACAACCCCCCATTTTTGGGACCCCCAACTCCCCATTTTTGGGATTCCCCCCCCATATTTTGGTCTCTCATTCCCATTTTCGGGGTCCCCCTCCCCTTATTCCCCCCCCCCGGTTTCCTGCCCCTCCCCCTCCCCTCCCCTCCCCCCCCCGGCTCCCGCGGGACCCCCGGGCACGCTCGGCTGGGCAGGGGGGAGGGGGCGCATCAATCCCGGCCTGGCAGGGACGGGGGGGGGGATGGGATTTGGGGGGGCTCGGACACAGCTGGGGGGGGTTTGAGTCATTTCGGGGGGGTCCAGACACATCTGGGGGGTTTCTCCACATCTCCCCCCAAAATCCCCCCAAAATCCCCCCAAATTGCCACAAAATCCCCCCAAATTGCCACAAAAATCCCCCCCAAATCCCCCTAAAATCGCCCCAAAATTGCCCGAAAATCCCCCCAAAATTGCCCTAAAATCGCCCCAAAATCGCCCCAGATCCCCCCAAAATCTTCCCCAATAGCCGCAGGCCGGGCTGGGGGGGGGGGGGGGGGCCCCCCCGGGGGTGGGGGAGGGGCAGGGGGAGGGTCCCGCCCCCCCCCCGATCGATCGAGGCAAATCCTGACATTTCCAAATCCCGGGATTCGCTCCCGATCGATCCGGGGGGGGGGAGGGGAGGGGAGGGAGGCGGGCTGGGGGGGGGAGGGGATGGGGGGGCTGCAGGGACCCCAAAATGGGGATGGGACCCCAAAAATGGGAAAAGACCCCCAAAAAAATGGGAAAAGACCCCAAAAAATGAGGGGAAAAAAATGGGGAGGGGAACCACCAAAAATGGGAAAGGACCCCAAAAATGGGAATTTATCTCCCAAAAATGGGAATGGACCCCCCAAAATGGGGAGGACCCCAAAAAATGGTGCATGGGGGGACATAGGGGGGACACAGCTGGGCACACTCGCACATCTGGGCACACACCTGGGCACACATCTGGACACACATCTGGGCACACTCATCCCCCCCCAGCCGCAGGAATTGGGATTGATGCTGCCTGAATCCCAAAAAATCCATCCTGAAATCCCAAATAACCCGTCCCAAGCACCCCAAATCCCAGAGAATGAACCCCAAATATCCCAATTAACCCATCCCAAAACCCCAAATATCCCACCCCAAAATCCCAAATAACCCATCCCAAATAACCCATCCCAAATAACCCATCCCAAATAATCCGTCCCAAAATCCCAAATAACCCATCCCAAATATCCCAAATATCCCACCCCGAATAAATGGGATTTAACCCGTTTTTAATAGCGGGGGGGACCAAAAATCCTAAAAAAAACCCCAAAACCGGGACCCCCCCCCGCCCTAATTGGAGCTGGCGACATTTCCTGAATCCCAAAGAATAAATCCCAAAATCCCAAAGAAAAAAATCCCAAATATTCCACCCTAAACCCCCAATAAATGGGATTTAAATTGGATTTTCAATGACGCGGGGGGGGAAGGGGGGCGAAAAATCCTAAAAAAACCCCCAAAAACCGGGACCCCCCGCCCTAATTGGATGCGCCGACATTTCCTGAATCCCAAGGAATAAATCCCAAAATCCCAAATCCCAAAATCCCAAAGAACGAGCGGAGAATCCCAAATGAACTTTGGGATTTAACCCGACCCCATTTATCTCCCGCCGTCATCGCCGGGGGGGGGGAGGGAAAATAAATCCTAAAATTCCCCCCCGGGACCCCCCCCCGCCCTAATTGGAGCTGTCGACACCTCCTGAATCCCAAATCCCAAAGAATAAATCCCAAATCCCAAAGAATGAATCCCAAATAATGAAATTATAAATAATAAATCTTAAATAAACGGCGCTGTCTGGGGCGTTTAACCCGATCCTGACCGCGGAAATCCTAAAAAAACACCAAAAATCGGGACCCCCCCTTCTCTAATTTGGGTTCCCGAATCCCAAATCCCAAAGGACGAATCCCAAATCCCAAAATCCCAAAGAATGAATCCTAAATAATGAAATTATAAAGAATAAATCTTAAATAAACGGCGGATGTCTGGGGGGTTTAACCCGATCCTGACCGTGGAAATCCCAAAAAAGCCCCCAAAAATCGGGACCCCCCCGCTCTAATTGGGGCTCCCGAATCCCAAAAAACCAATCCCGAATCGCAAAATCCCAAAGAATGAATCCCAAATAATGAAATTATAAAGAATAAATCTTAAATAAACGGCGCTGGCTGGGGGGTTTAACCCCATCCTGACTGCGGGAGGGGCAAAAATCCTAAATAAAAACCCCCAAAAGAGCCCCCCCGGCACTAATTGGGGTCCCCGAATCCCAAATCCCAAAAAAACCAACCCCCCAAAAAAGAAAGAATCCCAAATATTTCATCCTATATATTTAATTCTATATATTTAATTCTATATATTTAATTCTATATATTTAATCTTAAATATTGAGTCCCAAATTCCCAATAAAATGGGATTTAACCGCTCCTAATCGCGGGGGGGGGGCCGGAAATCCTAAATCCAGTGTCCCCCCACCAGTGTCCCCAAATGTCCCCCCATTGTCCCCCCACAGCTGTCACTGTCCCCCCCCTCCCCGAATTGTCACCCCCGAATTGTCACCCCCGAATTGTCACCCCCCGTGTCCCCCCCTCGGATCTGTCACCCCCAAATTGTCACCCCCGGATCTGCCACCCCCGAATTGTCACCCCCGGAATTGTCACCCCCGGAATTGTCACCCCCGGAATTGTCACCCCCGTGTCCCCCCCTCGGATCTGTCACCCCCGAACTGTCACCCCCGGATTTGTCACCCCCCTCCCTGAATTGTCACCCCCCGAACTGTCACCCCCGTGTCCCACCCCCGGATCTGTCACCCCAAGAATTGTCACTCCCCCCCTGGACCTGTCACCTCCCGAATTGTCACCACTGACTCTGTCCCCCCACCCTCGGATCTGTCACCGCCGAATTGTCACCCCCGGAATTGTCACCCCCGGAATTGTCACCCCCCGAATTGTCACCCCCCTCCCTGAATTGTCACCCCCGTGTCCCACCCCCGAACTGTCCCCCCCCTGCTCTGTCCCCCCCGTGTCCCCCCGCTCTGTCCCGGGGGTCCGGCGGTGGCAGCTGCGGACCGAGGTGGTGGCGCTGCCACCGCGGGGGGGACACGGGGACACGGGGCCGCGGCTGATGCGTTATTCATGGGCTGGTGCCACCGGGGGGGGCACGGGTGTCGCCTGTCCCCAACCCCCCCGGGGGACACACGGGTGTCGCCTGTCCCCAACCCCCCCCACGAGGGTTTTGGGGGGGACAGAGGTGACAAAAGCGAGAGGGAAACTGAGGCACGGATGGGGGGGACCCCCACCCAGGAGGGGGTGAGACCCCCCCGGGCCTGGTGGCATCAATTGAGGGACCCCAAAAATGGGGCTGAACCCCCCAAACCCCGGCGCCACCAGATGAGGGACCCCAAAACTGTCCCCAGACCCCCCCAGACCCCAGTTCCACCAACCCAGGGACCCCCAAAACCCCCAAAACTCCGATGCCACCAACCGAGGGACCCCAAAATTGTCCCCAAACCCCGATGCCACCAACCCAGGGACCCCAAAATTGTCCCCAAACCCCGATGCCACCAACCCAGGGACCCCAAAATTGTCCCCAAACCCCCCAAATCTGGTGCCACCAACCCAAGGACCCCAAAATTGTCCCCAAGCCCCCCAGACCCCAGTTCCACCAACGGAAGGACCCCCAAACCCCCCAAACCCCCGTGCCACCAACCGAGGGACCCCAAAACTGTCCCCAAACCCCGGTGCCACCACCCCCAGACCCCCCCTCGGGTGACAGCGACAAAATTGGGACCCTCCCCCCCCTCTGTCCCCTCTGTCCCCACCCCCCTAATTAGCGCTGCCCTTTCTCCTCCCCGCTAATTAATCCCCCAATTAAGGCCGGGGGGCTCGGGGGGGCTCGGGGGTGGCAGTGCCACCTCTGTCACCGCTGTCACCGCGGTGTCGCCGCTGTCACCCCCCCCAGGGATGCGCGGGCACGGAGCGAGCATCGATCCCCCCCGAGGGAGGCGCGGATGTCGCGATTGTCGCGATTGATCGGCCCCGAGGGGACGCGCAGGGGGAAACGGGTAAAAAATGGGTAAAAAAATGCATGGGAAAAATAGAAAACGGGTAAAAAAATACCAAAAAATAGAGAAAATGGGTAAAAATACACATGGGAACTATAGAAAATGGGTAAAAAATAGTGGGGGGAACACTGGAAATGGGTAAAAAAATAATAAGAAATAGAGAAAATGGGTTAAAATGGGTGGGGAAAAATAGAAAATGAGTAAAAAATAGGGGGAGATAGAGAAATGGGTAAAAAAATGCATGGGAAATAAAGAATGGGTAAAAAATAGGAGGCAAAAATTAAAAAATGGATTAAAATGGAAGGGGGAGTAAAAAAGGAGGAAAAACAGGAGGGGAAAGATAGAAAATGGGTAAAAATGGATGGGGAAAATAGGAAATGGGTAAAAAAATGAATGGGAAATATAGGAATGGGTAAAAATGGGTGGGAAAATAGAGAATGGGTAAAAATAGGGGTGGGAAAAATAGGAATGGGTAAAAAAAGCATAGGAAAATAAAAAATGGGTGAAAAAATATTAAGAAATGGAGAAAATGGGTAAAAATATACATGGGAAATAGAGAATGGGTAAAAACGGGTGGGAAATACAGAAAATGGATAAAAATACACATGGGAAACACAGAAATTTGGTAAAAATGGGGAGGGGGATATAGGAATGGGTAAAATATACATGAGAAATACTAAAAATGGGTAAAAATCGGTGGGGAACACAGAAAATGGGTAAAAAATTAATGGGAACACAGAAAATGGGTAAAAAATAATAAGAAATACAGAAAATGGATTAAAATATACATGAGAAATACAGAAAATAGATAAAAAACGCATGGGAAAAATAAGAAATGGATAAAAATGGGGGGAAATAGAAAATGGGTAAAAAATTAATGGGAAAAATAGAAAATGGGTAAAAAATAAGAAATACAGAAAATGGGTAAAAATATACATGGGAAATATAGAATAGGTTAAAAATGCATGGGAAATACAGAAAATGGGTAAAAATATACATGGGAAATATAGAATAGGTTAAAAATGCATGGGAAATACAGAAAATGGGTAAAAATAGGGGGGAAATAGAGAATTCACAAAAGAGCACATGGGAAACACAGAAATGGGTAAAAAATACATGGACAATACAGGAATGGGTAAAAAATAGGTGGGAAACTCAGAAAATTCATTAAAGAGCACATGGGAAATGCAGGAAATGCATTAAAAACGGAGAAAATGTGTTTAAAAACACAGGAAATGCATTAAAAAGCCACAGAAAACACAGAAATTTCATTTTAAAACCAGAAGATTCATTTTAAACCACCTGGAAACACCAAAAAAAAAAATTCATAAAAACATTAAAAACCCCAGAAAATTCATTTAAAAATCACACTGAAAACACAGAAAAATTCATTAAACCCTGAAAATTCATTTAAAAACCCACAAAAATCTGCATGTGAATGACCGGGAGGTGCAGGAAATGCACAGGAAATGCAGGGGGAACTCAGAAATTGAACAGGAAGTGCAGGAGATGCAAAAAATGCAGGAAATTACCAGGAAATGCAGGACGTGCACGGGAAATGAACAGGAAGTGCAGGGACTGAGCAGGAAGTGCAGGAAATGAGCAGGAAGTGCAGGAAATGAGCAGGAAGTGCAGGAAATGAACAGGAAATGCAGGAAATGAACAGGAAGTGCAGGAAATGAGCAGGAAGTGCAGGAAATGAACAGGAAGTGCAGGAAATGAGCAGGAAGTGCAGGAAATGAACAGGAAGTGCAGGAAATTGACAGGAAGTGCAGGGACTGAGCAGGAAGTGCAGGAAATGAGCAGGAAGTGCAGGAAATGAACAGGAAATGCAGGAAATGAACAGGAAGTGCAGGAAATGAGCAGGAAGTGCAGGAAATGAACAGGAAGTGCAGGAAATTGACAGGAAGTGACAGAAATGAACAGGAAGTGCAGGAAATGAACAGGAAGTTCAGGAAATGAACAGGAAGTGCAGGAAATTGACAGGAAGTGCAGGAAATGCACCCAGAAGCACCCAGTGAATGCAGAAAGTGCAGGGCAGGAACCGGAAGTGCAGGAAAGGCAGGGAATGCACCCAGGAATGCACCCAGAAACACTCACACTCACAGCTCACACATGGGATCACACACGGGATCACACACAGAGCTCACATACATGTACAGAGCTCACACACGGAGCTCACACACATGTACAGAGCTCACACACGGGATCACACACATGTACAGAGCTCACATTCACATGGGATCACACATGGGTCACACATGGGATCACACACGGGATCACACACGGGATCACACACATGTACAGAGCTCACACACGGGATCACACATGGGATCACACAGGGGATCACTCACAGAGCTCACACACATGTACAGAGCTCACACACGGGATCACACACGGGATCACACACAGGATCACACACCAATCACACACGGGATCACACACACAGCTCACACTCACACCTGTGCACACATTCACACCCGCGCACACTCACACCTGTCTGGGCCCTGCACACTCACACCTGCCCTATCACACCTGCACACTCCCCACGCACCCCACATGTTCCCCCTTCACCCCACCAACCCCACGCGTGTCCCCCTTCCACACGCGTGTGCAAACCCCCCCCTCCCCCCCTTCAGAGACCCCCGGTACCGGGTGGGGCCCCCCCCGACCCCCGGGATGTCCCGAAATCCCCCCGGAGGGGGGGGAACACCCCGAGCCCGCTGCGCCCGATCCCCCGTTTGCACACTCACCCCCCGTTTGCACACTCACCCACCCCCCGTTTGCACACTCACCCCCCACTTGCACACTCACTCACCCCCCGTTTGCACACTCACCCACCCCCCGGGCCCCCCCGCCGCCGGCCGCTCCCCGCCCCCGCCGTGCCCGGGGCCGTCGGGCGGGGCGGGCGGAGCGGGGCTCGCTGCGGGCGCGGCGGCGGCACCGGCCGCAGGTACCGGGGGGGGGCCGGGACTGGGGGAGGGGGGTCCGGGATTGGGGGTGGGGGTCCGGGATTGGGGGTGGGGGTCCGGGATTGGGGGTGGGGGTCCGGGATTGGGGGGGGGGAGGTCCGGGAGATCCGCCCCGACCGCAGGTACCGGGGGGGGGGGTCCGGTATTGGGATGGGGGTCCGGGATTGGGATGGGGGTCCGGGACCGCGGGACAATCCCGGGGGGAGGGACACAATCCCGGGGGTGCCGCTCCCCGCGTGTCTCTCACGGGAACTTGGGGAGAAGTTGCCCCGCGCGTCGTGGCGGGGCCATCGTGGCTCCATCCCGGTTCTTTCCCCGTTCTTTCCCGGTTCCATCCCAGCTCCGGTCGTGGCTCCTTCCCGGTTCCATCCCGGCTCCGCTCGTGGCTCCTTACCGGCTCCGGTGGCGGCTCCTTCTCGGTTCCATCCCGGCTCCGGTGGAGTCTCCATCCCGGCTCCGGTGCCGGTTCCATCCCGGTTCCATCCCCGCCCCGGTGCCGGTTCTATCCCGATTCCGGTGGCGTCCCCGGTGCCGGTTCTATCCCGATCCCGGCTCCGGTTACATCACCAGCTCCCACCCCGACTCCGGTCCTGGCCGCTGCAGGAGCTCCGCTCCGACTCCGTGTCCGGCCGCGCTCCCGGTGCCGTTCCCCTCCGACACCACCGGCTCCGGTTCCGTCCCCTCCGCCAGCGCCGCTCCCGGCTCCGCCCGCGGCCCCGGCCCCGCTGCCGGTCCCGTCCTCGGCCGCAGCCCCGGCCCCGCTGCCGGTACCGCCGCCGGCTCCGCCCGCAGCCCCGGCCCCGCTCCCGATCCCATTCCCGGTTCCCGATCCCATTCCTGATCCCATTCCCGACTGCTGATCCCATTCTGGGCTCCTGATCCCATTCTGGGCTCCCGATCCCATTCCCGGCTCTCAATCCCATTCCCGGCTCCTGATCCCATTCCCGGGCTCCTGATCCCATTCCCGATCCCATTCCCGGGCTCCTGATCCCATTCCCGATCCCATTCCCGGGCTCCCGATCCCATTCCCAATCCCATTCCCGGCCCAGCCCCTCTCTGGGTTTCACCCCCGGCTCCACCCGCAGCTGCAGCCGCTGTCCCCATCCCTGTCCCTGTCCCTGTCCTCATCTCCAGCCCCATTCCCAGCTCCGTTCCCTGGCCCTTTCCCTGTCCCCATCCCCATCCCTGTCCCTGACCCCATTCCCTTTCCCATTCCCTGTCCCATTCCCTGTTCCCTTTCCCTGTCCCCGTCCCCATCCCTTTCCCATCCCCTCCCCATCTCCAGCCCCATTTCCCACCCCATCCCCATTCCCATCCCCTGTCCCTGACCCCATCCCCATCCCATTCCCTGTTCCCATCCCCATCCCCATCCCCTCCCCATTCCCAGCACCATCTCCAGCCCCGTTCCCTGTCCCTGATCTCATCCCCATCCCCATTCCCATCCCCATTCCCTGATCCCATCCCCATTCCCTGTTCCCATCCCCATCCCCATCCCCATCCCCGTCCCCCCCGTCCGCCCCGCACCCCCGGCCTCCCCGGGCGGCCTCCCGCCGCCTCCCGCCGCTCGCCACCATCGCTGCCAAGGGCGAGCGGGACCTGCTGGCGCTGGCCGCGCCGGGGCTGAGCCGCGGGAAGCGAGTGGCCGCCGTGGCCATCGGCGTGGCCATGCTGCTGCTGCTGCTCGTGGCCATCCCGCTGCTGGTGCACGGCTCCAAGGCGGCCGCGCACTACGAGATGCTGGGCAGCTGCCGCATGGTCTGCGACCCCTACCCCGAGCTGCCCCCCGCCTCTCCTCCTCCTCCTTTCCTCCCGGGAGCCAAGGGCCAACCGGGCCGCAAGGGCCGCTCCGGTCTCCGCGGGCCACCGGGGCCACCGGGCCCGCGGGGACCTCCGGGAGAACCGGGCCGGCCGGGTCCGCCGGGACCTCCGGGACCGGGGCCGGGCGGGTACATCCCGTCCTTCTACAGCCCAAAAATCGCTTTTTACGCCGGCTTGAGGAAACCGCACGAGGGTTACGAGGTGCTGCGCTTCGACGACGTGGTGACCAACGTGGGCAACTACTACGAGCCCTCGAGTGGCAAATTCACCTGCCCCCTGCCCGGCATTTATTTCTTCACCTACCACGTCCTGATGCGCGGCGGGGACGGCACCAGCATGTGGGCCGACCTGATGAAGAACGGGCAGGTAACGGGACCCCCGCGGGAACCCCCGAGCCGCCACACCGGTTTGCAGTCTCGGTTTTCAGCCCCCCGGTTTTTACCTCACGATTTTCATCCCCCCGGTTTTCAGCCCCCGAGCCCCCAGCCCGATTTGCAGTCTCGGTTTTCAGCCCCGGTTTCCATCCCCGCGGTTTGCATCCCTCGGTTTTCAGCCCCAGTTTTAAGCCCCTGTTTTCAGCCTCGGTTTTCAGCCCCGGTTTTCACCCCCGAGCCCCCAGCCCTTCTTGCAGCCCCCGGTTTTTACCCCACGGTTTGCAGCCCCCGAGCTCCCAGCCCGGTTTGCAGCCCCGGTTTGCAGCCCCCGGGTTTCACCTCCTGTTTTCAGACCCGGTTTTCACCCCCCGGTTTGCAGCCCCGGTTTTTTAGCCCCGGTTTTCAGCCCCCCGTTTTCACCCCCCGAGCCCTCAGCCCGATTTGCAGTCCCGGTTTTCACTCCCCGGTTTTCAGTCACGGTTTTCACCCCCCGGTTTTCATCCTCGGTTTTTATCCCTCCGTTTTCTCCCCCTGGTTTTCACCCCCCGGTTTTTAGTCCCCCGGCTTCCAGTCCCGGTTTTCATCCCCGGTTTTCTCCCCCCGGTTTCCAGTCCCGGTTTTCTCCCCCCGGTTTTCACCCCCCCCGGTTTTCAGCCCCGGATTTTTCAGCAGCCTCGGGGTTGCTGTTTTGGCCCACGGTGGTTTCCCTGTTTTGGTTTGGGTGATTTCAGATTCTCATCCGGGTTCAATCCGTTCCTGATTTCCCATCCTCGCTTCTGCTCCATCCCAAATCCCCACATCCCATTTCCCCCATCCCAATCCCCCAAATTCCCATCCCAAATATCAAAATTCCCATCCCATTTCCCCCATCCCAACCCCCCAAAATTCCCATCCCAAACCCCCCAAATTCCCATCCCAAATATCAAAATTCCCATCCCATTTCCCCCATCCAAACCCCCCAAATTCCCATCCTGCTTCCCCCATCCCTGATTTCCCACTCCCAGTTCCTCCACCCTGCCCAGTCCCCAGATCCCATTTCCTCCATCCAATCCTGCCCAAAATTCCCATTATTTCCCCCATTCCCTATCTTCCCATCCCTATTCCCATCCCCACATCCCATTTTTCTCATCCAATCCTGCCCAAAATTCCCATTATTTCCCCCAATCCCTATTTCTTATCCCCAGATCCCATTTCCCCCATCCAATCCTGCCCAAAATTCCCATTATTTCCCCCATTCCCGATTCCTCAGATCCCATTTCCCACACCTAATCCTGCCCAAATTCCCATTATTTCCCCCCAAATTCCCTATTTCCCATCCCTAGATCCCATTTCCTCCATCCAATCCTGCCCAAATTCCCATTATTTCCCCTCAAATTCCCTATTTCCCACCCCCAGATCCCATTTCCTCCATCCAATCCTGCCCAAAATTCCATTATTTCCCCCATTCCCTATTTTCCCATCCCCATATCCCATTTCCCACACCTAATCCTGCCCAAAATTCCCATTATTTCCCCCATTCCCTGTTTTCCCATCCCTACATCCCATTTCCCCCCAGTCCTGCCCCAAATCCCATCATTCCCCCCCCAAATCCCATTATTTTCCCTCCAAATTCCATATTTTCCCCCCTAAATCCCATCATTTCCCCCCCAAATTTCCATTATTTTTCCCCAAAATTCCATAATTTCCCCCCCACACACTCCCTTTGTTCTCTCATCCCGGATTTTTCCATCCATTTATTCCCGAAAAAAAAAAACAAACGGGAAAACCAAACCGAGATTGACCCGGGCTGGTCCCGGGGGGCCCCAGGCTCGTGGCCAGTGGTGAGGGACCCCCCCCCGAGCGGGAAAGGGAGGGGAAAAATGGGAATTTGGGGGGCAAATGGGGGAAAGTGGGAATTTGGGGGGGGAAATAGAAAATAATGGGAATTTGGGGGGAAAATGGGAATTTTGGGGAAAAAATGGGGGGTAATGGGGGAAAAATGGGAATTTTAGAGGAAAAATGGGGGGAAATGGGAATTTTGGGGGGATGGGATGGGGGAAAATGAGGGGAAATGGGAATTTGGGGGGAAATGGGGGAAAACGGGAATTTAGGGGGAAAATGGGAATTTGGGGGGAAAATGGGGGGAAAAATGGGGAGAAGTGGGGGGGAAATGGGAATTTTGGGGAAAATGGGGAAAAATGGGGGGAAAATGGGAATTTTGGGAGGAATGGGATGGGGGAAATTGGGATGTGGGGTTGGGAATGGGGAATTTGGGATGTGGAGAGGAGGGTGGGGGAAAAATGGGGGGGAAATGAGGAATTTGGGGGGGAAATGGGGGAAATGGGAATTTTGGGGGAGATCGGATGGGGGAAATGGGAGGTGGGGTTGGGGAATCAGGAAAAGGGGGGAGGGGATGGGGAAATGGGAATTTGGGAATTCGGGGGGGATTGGATGAGGAAATTTGGGAATTTGGGGCCTCAGTGGGGAGGGACCGGAATTGGGGAATCAGGAAAGGAGCCAGAGGATGGGAAAGAGGGGATGGGACGGGGGGTGCCAGCCCTGTGCCCCTGCCAGGTGAGGGGGGTGCCAGGTGAGCTGGGTACCAGGTGAGGTGTGTACCAGGTGAGCTGGGTGCCAGGTGAGCTGGGTGCCAGGTGAGCTGGGTGCCAGTTGTGCTGGGTGCCAGGTGAGCTGGGTGCCAGGTGTGTTGGGTACCAGGTGTGTTGGGTACCAGGTGAGCTGGGTACCAGGTGAGGTGTGTACCAGGTGAGCTGGGTACCAGGTGTGCTGGGTGCCAAGCCCGTGCCCCGTGCCAGGTGCATGCCAGGGGGAGTCAGTGCCAGGTGAGGTGTGTGCCAGGTGAGGTGTGTACCAGGTGTGTTGGGTACCAGGTGAGCTGGGTGCCAGGTGTGTTGGGTGCCAGGTGAGCTGGGTGCCAGGTGTGCTGGGTGCCAGGTGAGCTGGGTACCAGGTGTGCTGGGTACCAGGTGTGTTGGGTGCCAGGTGTGTTGGGTGCCAGGTGAGCTGGGTGCCAGGTGAGCTGGGTACCAGGTGAGTTGGGTACCAGGTGAGCTGGGTGCCAAGCCCGTGCCCCGTGCCAGGTGCGTGCCAGCGCCATCGCGCAGGACGCGGACCAGAACTACGACTACGCCAGCAACAGCGCCATCCTGCACCTGGACGTGGGCGACGAGGTCTGCGTGCGCCTGGACGGCGGCAAAGTGCACGGCGGCAACACCAACAAGTACAGCACCTTCTCCGGCTTCATCGTCTACCCCGACTGAGCCCGGGGCACCGGGACCCCCGGGACCCCCCGGGACCACTGGAACCCCCCGGGATCCCCCCTGGAACCGCGATCCTCCGGGACCCCGCCCGAGCCCCAAGTACAGCACCTTCCCCGGCTTCATTGTCTACCCCGGCTGAGCCCGGGGCACCGGGACACCCCCGGGACCACCGGAACCGGGACAGCCCCGGAACCTCCCTGGAACCGCAATCCCCCGGGACCTGGAGTGACCCCCAAGTCCAGCACCTTCCCCGGCTTCAGCATCGACCCCGAGTGACCCCCGCGACCCCCCTGGAACCGGGACACTCCCCCGGAACCCCCCCGGGCCGCCTGAACCCCCCGGGACCCGGAGTGACCCCCAAGTCCAGCCCCTGCTCTGGCTTCAGCATCAGTGACCCCAAGTGACCCCGGGACCACCGGGACACCCCCGGGACCCCCCCCAGACACCCCCGGGACCCCGACTGACCCCCCCGGGACGCCCCCAGGATCCCCCCGGCCCCGCCACCGCCGGTGACAGCGATGACACCCCCGCCCCCCCCCGGCACAGCTCCGCCACGCCCTGAGCGCGACAGGCGACAGGCGACACCCGGCCCGCATGGCAGCACCCCCAAGGGGGGCGGGGTGTCCCGGTTTGTCCCAGTCTGTCCCGGTTTGTCCCAGTCTGTCCCCAATAAAAGCGTCGGGGTGGCTCTGCCTCTGCCTCTGCCGGGGGGGTGACACAGGGGACAAGGGGGTGGCACAAGGGACAGCCGGGGGAGGGGACACAGGGGTGACACAAGGGACAGCCAGCCAGGCGGGTGGCGGCACGTCCAGGCTGGCCAGAGATGTCCCCACAGCTTTTGTGTCACCCCGCAGTGTCACGCCTTATCACCTCCCCCGCTGCAGCGACAGCGACAGCGACAACGGCAGTGACAGTGACAGACACCCCGCGGCTGTGCAGGGACAATGCCACCCCCGTGGGGACACCGCTGGCACTGGGGGAGGGTGGCAGCACCACCCTGAGCCTGGTGGGACACAGGAACCCCACGGCCCTGTCCCCAAGTGTCCCCAGCCCGGCCCCGGACGTGCCACCAGCCCTGTCCCCAGTGTGTCACCAGCCCTGTCCCCAGCTTGTCACCACCCTCATCGCCATCCCCAGCCCTGTCCCCTCCTGTCCCCGTCCCTGTCCCCATCCCACCCATGTCCCCTCCTGTCCCTATTCCTGTCCCCATCTTTGTCCCTTTGTTCCCCCATCCGTGTCACTGTCCCCATTCCCCGTCCCTGTCCCCTCTTGTCCCCATTCCTGTCCCCATCCTTGTCCCTTTGTCCCCCCATCCTTGGCTGTCCCCATCCCATTTTCATCCCTGTCCCCATCCTTGTCCCTTTGTCCCCCCATCCTTGGCTGTCCCCATCCCATTTTCATCCCTGTCCCCATCCTTGTCCCTTTGTCCCCCCATCCTTGGCTCTGTCCCCATCCCATTTTCATTCCTGTCTCCATCCCCGTCCCCCTCCTTGTCCCTTTGTCCCCCCATCCCTGTCCCTGTCCCATTTTCACCCTGTCCCCATCCCCAAACCTGTCCCCAATCCTGTCCCCCTCCTTGTCCCTTTGTCCCCATCCCAATCCCATCCCTGTCCCTGTCCCCATCCCTGTCCCCTCTTGTCCCCATCCCTGTCCCCGTCCCTGTCCCCGTCCCCTCCCGTCCGTGTCGCTGTCGCCACCTCGTGGCCGCTGCCGGAATGACGCGGCTGCCGGGGGGGATTGGGGGGGCTTGAGGCCAGGGTCCCCCCCCACATTTTGGGGTCCACTCCCCCATATTTTGGTGTTCCCCCCATATCTTGGGGGTCCCTCCCGATATTTTGGGGTCCCCTCCCCATATTTTTGGGGTCCCCAGGCCCCCCCCAAACACCCAGACCCCTCGGAGCTGTCTCTCCTTTATTCCAGGGCTGCTACAAAACAGGGGGGGGGATCGGGATTTTGGGGGGGCTGCACCCCCAAATCCCGGATTTTTTTTGGGGGGGGTCACACCCCCAAATGCCCAGCGCAGTTTCGGGTGGGCTGCACCCCGAAATTTCAGGATTTTTTTTGGGGGGGTTAGGCCTTGGCCCCCGCCGGAGCCGCCGTCAGCGCCTGCAGCTTCTGCGCCAGCATCTCCAGCACGGCTGGGGGGGCAGCGTCAGGGACACCCCAAAAACGGGGGTACCCCCAAATCGGGCACCCCGAAACTGGGGGACCCCAAAATCTGGCACCCCAAAAACGGGGAGAGGTCAGGGGGACGTGAGGGGAACCCCAGGGAGCGCGTCAGGGACGCCCCAAAAACGGGGAGGGGAAAGGGAAACCCCAACAACCGGGCATCCCAAAAATGGGAGGGACCCCAAAACCAGGGAAGGGTCAGAGGGACCCCAAAATCAAGAGGGGTTGGGGGGGGAAATGGGGTCAGGAGGGAACCCCAAAAGTGGGGAGGGTGTTTCTTGGGGTGTTTGGGGGGCTCCTGGGGAGTTTTGGGGCTCAGGAAGGATTTGGGGGCGGTCCCTGGGATGTTTTGGGGGGTCCCTGGGCAGTTTTGGGGGGTCAGGGAGGATTTTGGGGGATCCCTGGGCAGTTTTGGGGCTCGGGGAGGATTTTGGGGGTCCCGGGGGGTTTTTTTGGGGTGCCCACCCTGCTTCATGGCGTGCTTCTCCTGCAGGGCCGGTTGGATTTTCTCCATCTGCCGTGTCAGGAATTCGATTTTGCGCTTGAAAAACGCCCGGGCGTCCTCGGCAGACTGGGGAAAAAATGGGAAAAATTGGGAAAAATTTGGGAAAAGTTGGGGAAAGACGGGGAAAAACGGGAAAACTGGGATGCAAATGGAGGAAAATGGGGAAAAAATTGGGGAAAATGGGGAAAAAATAGGGGGAAATGGGGAAAAACAGGGTGGTAAATGGGGAAAACTGGGGAGAAAATTAGGATGAAAATGGGGACAATTGGGTGAAAAATGGGGAGGGGAATGGGGAAAAATGGGAAAATTGGGGGGAAATTGGAAAAATGGGGAAATGGGGAAAATTAGGGGGGAAAATGGGAAAAATGTAGGGAAAGTGGGAAAATTGGGGGGAAATTTGGGAAAATTGGGAAAAATGGGGGGAAAATGGGAAAACTGAAGAAAAATTGGGGGAAATGGGAAAATTGTGGAAAAATAGTGGGGAAATGGGGAAAAATGAGGTGGGAAACGGGAAAAATCATGGTGAAAATGGGGAAAATAGGGAAAAACAGGGGGAATGAGGTGTTGGAAAGGGGGTGGGCACGTGGGGGAGGGAGGAAATGAGATGGAGAGGTGGAAATGGGGGTCCCCAGCCCCCCAAATCCCCCTGAATCCCCCCAAATTTCCCTTCCTCACCTTCTCCACGTAGTAGCCGGTGCCAACGTCCACCAGGACCGTGCGCACGTCCTGCAGCTTGCCCGGCACGTACATCTGGGGGGGTCATGGAAAACGGGGGGCCACGGGGGGCTGGGGGGTTTTGGGGGGCTCCCGACCCTCCCCAGGGGTTTGGGGGGGTTCAGAGCCCCCCAGAGGGGGTTTGGGGGAGCAGGAGAAGCACAAGGATACGGAGCTGGTGAGCGGCACAAGGAGGTCCTTGCCTGAGGAAAGGGGGTCAGGGTAGCAAAAAACGGCCCGAAATGCCAAAATCTGAGCCCAAAATCCCGAAATCTGAGCTCAAAATATGACCCCAAAATCTGAGCCCATCTGAGCCCAAAATCCTAAAATCTGAGCCCAAAATCCAACCCCCCAAAAAAACACCTCAAAGTCCCAAAATATGAGCCCAAAATCCCAGAATCTGACCCCAAAATCCAAGCTCAAAATCCCAAAATCTGAGCCCAAAACCGAACACCAAAATCCCAAAATCCAAGCCCATCTGAGCCCAAAATTCCAAAATCTGAGCTCAAAATCCGAGCACAAAATCTGAGCCCAAAATCCGACCCCAAAATGGCAAAATCTGAGCCCAAAATTGGATCCCAAAATCCAACCCCAAAATCCCTCCAGGGTCTGTGGGGATTTGGGATTTTGGGGAACCCTCCCCGGGATTTTGGGGACCCTCCTGAAGATTTGGGGACCCCCCAAAATTCATGATCATCCCACAGCATCCACAACTCCCCTCCCCAATTTGGCATTTTGACGCCCCGGATCCAGATTTGGGGACCCCTCCCCAGGATTTTGGGGACCCCCCCCGGGATTCTGGGGACCCCCTGGCACGCGGATTTGGGGTTTTTGGGGTGCCCTCACCCTCGTTGCCCTTGTGAAGGACGTTCAGGCACTCCTTGGCCTCCACAAACTTGGTCTGCACCACCTTGAGCTGCGCCAGGGACGAGGACAGGAACTCCACCTCCTGCGGGATTTGGGGGGGTCCCCGAATTGTTGTGGGGGTCCCCGAATTCTGGAGGGGATCCCCGAATTGTTGTGGGGGTCCCCGAATTGTGGGGAGACCCCCGGGGCTGGGATTTGGGGCTGGGAGTTCAAAAGAGGCGACCCCGGGATGAAGACGAAGAAATAGTTTTTTTTGGGGGGGGGCCCAAATTTTGGGGTGTCCTCGAATTGTGGGAGCCCCCCCAGATACTCCCAAATTCTCCTCCAGCCCCCCATGATCTGCCCCAGCTGTGACCCCCAGGCTTGGGACCCCCAAAAACTCCCCAGAATTCCCCAAAATCCCCTCAGAACCCTTCGAAATCCCCCCAGGACCCCCAGAAATTCCTTCAAGACCCCCTGAAATCCCACCAAAACTCCCCGGAATCCCCTCAGGACCTCCCAAAGTCCCCTCAAGATCCTCCAGGACCCCACAAAAATCCCTCAAGACATCCTGAAATCCCCTCAAAACCCCCAGGACCCCCTCAGAACCCCCAGAATCCCCTCAGAACCTCCAAGGACCCACCAAAATTCCCTCAAGACCCCCCAGAATCCCCTCAGAACCCCCCGAGATCCCTTCACGACCCCCGAAATCCCCTCAGGATCCCCGAGATCCCCTCAGGACCCCCGGGATCCCCCCAAAGTCCGCTTCAGGACCCCCCAGAATCCCCTCAGACCCCTCCCAGGACCCCCAAAAATCCCCTCAGGACCCCCAGGACCCCCTGAGATCCCCTCAGAAGCCCCCGAGATCCCCTCACGACCCCCGGGATCCCCCCAGGACCCCCCAAGACCCCTCAGAACCCCCCGATATCCTCTCAGGACCCCTCAGAACCTCCCAAAACCCCCTCACGCCCCTCCCCACACCCCTCCCACCCCAACTCCTTCCCCAACCACGCTCCCCCCACACCCTCCCCCCTCACGGGACCCCTCCCCACGACCCCCAAACCTCCCCCAGAGCCCCCCGGACCTGCTCCAGCTGCCCTTTGAGCAGTTCCAGCTGCGGCAGCCCCAGCTCGGCCACGCTCACGGCCTGCGCCATCTTGGCCCGCCCGCGCCGCCCTCAGCCGGGCCGACAGCGCCCCCTGGCGGCGCGGAGGACCCAGCGGCATTCCCGCCAAAACAGCGCCCCCTGGCGGCGCGGAGGACCGAGCTAGACAGCGCCCCCTGGCGGCGCGGAGGATTTGGGGGGTTCAGGGGGAAACTTTTTGGGGGCTCCAGGAAATATTTGGGGTTGCAGCAGAAATTTGGGGGTGCAGCAGCTTTATTGTTGTGAAACGGGCAAATAAAAGCAAATTTTGTTCCAAAATTTGGTTAATCTCATAAAAATCCAAGCAGATCCAACCCCTCCCACCCGCAACCCCCCTCATCCCTTCAGACACCCCAAAAATCCCCGCGGGGGCAGGGGAACCCCAAAAACAACTGGGGACCCCCCCCAAAATGCACATCATGTAATGGAGGGGACCCCAAAAATATCAAAGGGAACCCAAAGGGACCCCAAATCTTCCTGCCAACCAATGGGGGACCCCAGAAACACCAAAGGGACCCCAAAAGTGCCAAAGGGACCCCAAAAATGCCAAAGGGACCCCAAAAATGCCAAAAGGGACCCCAAGGGACCCCAAATCTTCCCTCCAACCAATAGAGGGACCCCAAAGATGACAAAGGGACCCCAAAAATGCCAAAGGCAACCCAAAGGGACCCCAAATCTTCCCTCCAATCAATGGGGGACCCCAAAAACACCAAAGGGACCCCAAAATCAGCAAAGGGACCCCAAAAATGCCAAAAGTCCCAAAGGGACCCTAAACCCTCACTCCAATCAATGGGGGAACCCCAAAGATGCCAAAGGGACCCCAAAAACCACTAAAGGGACCCCAAAAGGACCCCAAAAAGCCAAAAGGGACCCCAGAGATGACAAAGGGACCCCAAACCCTCACTCCAACCAATGGGGGGACCCCAAAAGCCCCAAAGGGACCCCAAAGATGGCAAAGGGACCCCAAAGATGGCAAAGGGACCCCAAAAACCACTAAAGGGACCCCAAAAGGACCCCAAAAAGCCAAAAGGGACCCCAGAGATGACAAAGGGACCCCAAACCCTCACTCCAACCAATGGGGGGACCCCAAAAGCCCCAAAGGGACCCCAAAGATGGCAAATGGACCCCAAAGATGGCAAAGGGACCCCAAAAGCCCCGAAGGGACCCCAAAAGCCCCGAAGGGACCCCAAAGATGCCAAAGGGACTCCAAAAGCCCCGAAGGGACCCCAAAAGCCCCCCGAACCCCTCAGCGCAGGCACACCGGGAGCCCGTAGGCCACGGGCGCGGCCCCGATCAGGGATTTGAGTCTGGGGGCGCCCCGGGCCTGGGCCAGCTGGGCCAGCAGGGGGGTCCCGGGGCCGCCCCCCAGCCACCCCCGCAGCAGCGCCCCCGCCAGCCGGTCCAGGTCCCGGTCCGTGACGTCCCACAGCGTGCCCAGAGCCAGCGGGCTGGGGAACCCCAAAAATTGGCGTTAGAGACACCCCAAATATAGAGAGAAACCCCAAATAGAGACCCCAAATAGAGACCCCAAATAGAGAGAGAAACCCCAAATAGAGACCCCAAATACAGACCCCAAATAGAGAGAAATCCCAAATACAGGCCCCAAATAAAGACCCCAAATACAGAGAGACCCCAGCGCCAGTGGGCTGGGGAACCCCAAAAAACAGCGTTAGAGACACCCCAAATAGAGAGAGAAACCCCAAATAGAGAGAGAGAGACCCCAAATACAGAGAGACACCCCAAATCCCAAATCCCAAACCCCCAAGCCTCATTCCCCGTATCTCCAATCTCCAAATTCCCAAACCCCAGATCCCAAACCCCAAACCCCAACCCCGCACTCACCACCCGGCCAGGACGAAGTTGAGGATGGTTCCTGAGGGCTCCAGGAGCCCCCGCGGTGCCAGCGCGGCGCTGGAGCAGCCGAAGAGCAGCGCCACGGCCCGGCAGGGTCGGCGTGCCAGGCTGTGCCCGTCCAGCAGCCGCGCCCCCGCCCCGTGCCCGGCGTAGCTGGGGGAGAAAACCCCAAAATTTACCCCAAAACTGACCCCAAAACCAGCTGGCAGTCCTCAAAAAAACCCCTAAAAAAATAACACCAAATCTGACCCAAAATCCGACCCCAAACCCGGCTGTGCCAGGCTGTGCCCGTCCAGCAGCCGCGCCCCCGCCCCATGCCCGGCGTAGCTGGGGGAGAAAAACCCAAAATTTACCCCAAAACTGACCCCAAAACTAACCCAAAACACAGCACCAAACACTGACCCAAAATCAGCCATAAATCTGACCCTAAATCCAGCCCCGAAAACTGACGCAAATCCCCTAAAATCCAACCCCAAACTCTCCAAATCTCCTCAAAATCCAACCCCAAATCCCCTCAAAATTCAGCCCCAAATCCAACCCCAAAATTCAGCCCCAAATGGCCCCAAAATCCAGCCCCAAACCCCCCCAAAATCCAACCCCAAATCCCCCCAAATTCCAACCCCAAATCACCCCAAATTCCCCCAAATCCAACCCCAAATCAGACCCAAATCCCTCAAAATCCAACCCCAAATCCACCCAAAATTCAGCCCCAAATCCAACCCCAAATGAGCCCCACAATCCAGCCCCAAACCCCCCCAAAATCCAACCCCAAATCTGCCCAAATCCAACCCCAAATCAGACCCAAATCCCTCAAAATCCAACCCCAAATCCAATCCCAAATTATTCCCAAATGACCCCAAAATCCAACCCAAAATCAGCCCCAAATTTCCCCCAAATCCAACCCCAAATCCTCCCAAAATCAGCCCTAAATCCCTTCAAAATCCAAACCCAAATCAAACCCCTAACCAGCCTCAAATCCCCCCAGAATTCAACCAAAAATGACCCCAAATCCCCCCAAAGTCCCCCGAACCCCGTTAATTTTGGGGTGTCTCACATGTAGAGGTCGCGTTCGCCCAGCGCCTCCTGCAGCTGCTGCGGGCTCGGTGCTGCCCCCGACACCCCGCGCCAGCCGGGCTGGCTGGAAATCCAGAAAAATTGGGAAAAAACGGGATAAAATCGGGAAAAAATGAGAAAATTGGGATGGGAGAAGGGAAACGGGGGAAAAACCGGGAAAAAAAATGGAAAAACCCAGGAAAAAACAGGGAAAAATCCAGGTAATTTTTGGGTCCCCGGGGTATTTTGGATTCCCAGGTTGATTTTTGGGTTCCCAAGTTAATTTTTGGGTTCCCAGTTTGATTTTTGCATTCCCAGGTTGGTTTTGGGTGTCTTTAGGTTAATTTTTGGGTTCCCAGGTTGATTTTTGGGTTCTCAGGTTGGTTTTTGGGGTTCCCAGGTTGGTTTTTGGGTTGATTTTCGGGGTTTTAGGTCGTGTTTCAGGGTTCCCAGGTTGATTTTTGGGTTTTAGGTTAATTTTTGGGATTTTGGGTTAATTTTTTGGTTCCCAGGTTGGGTTTTGGGGTTCCATGGGGCGGTTTTGGGGTTCCCAGGGGTGTTTTGGGTTGATTTTTGGGGTTTTGGGTTAATTTTCGGGGTCCCACCTCTGGAACCAGGCGCGGAACCGCTCCTCGGTGCCGCCCAGGTCACGCTGGGGGTTCAGCACGTAGAACGCGCTCTGGGGGTCCACACCCCGGCCCAGCACCGACCCTGCGTGCTGCGGGGACACAGGTGTGACCAGGTGTGTCACAGGTGTGCCACAGGTGTGCCCCAGGTGTGTCACAGTCACAGGTGTGTGTCCCTGTCCCCAGGTGTGTCCCAGGTGTGCCCAGGTGTGTGTCCCTGCCCCAGGTGTGTCCCAGGTGTGCCCAGGTGTGTGTCCCTGCCCCAGGTGTGTCCCCAGGTGTGTCCCAGGTGTGCCCAGGTGTGTGTCCCTGCCCCAGGTGTGTCCCCAGGTGTGTCCCAGGTGTGCCCAGGTGTGTGTCCCTGCCCCAGGTGTGTCCCCAGGTGTGTCCCAGGTGCCCCCAGGTGTGTCCCAGGTGTGCCCAGGTGTGTCCCAGGTACATACCTGCTGTCCCAGGCCGTATCTGAGCAGGAAGCGCAGCCCCGGCAGCCGCGTCACCGGAAGGTTCCGGAGCGTCCCGGAGCTCTCCCAGGGCAGCCGCTGCAGGTGCTGGGAGACAGAACCGAGAGTCAGGGGAGGAGGAGGAGGAGGAGGAGGAAGGCGAGAGAAAAAGGATGGAGAAAAGGAAAAGAAAGGTGAAGAAGAGGATGAGGAAGAGGAGGAAAAAAAAGAGGTGAAAAGGAGGAAGAGGAGGAGGAAGAAGGAAGAGAAAGAGGAAGAAGAAGGAAAAGGAGGAAGAAGAGGGGGAGAAAGAAGAAGGAGAAATAAGGGAAAGGGAAGTGGGAGCAGGGAGAAGAGGAGGAGGAAGAGGAGGAGGAAGGGGAGGAAGGCCGGCTCACCCTGTCCAGCAGCAGCACCAGGGACCCCGCGCTGCCCTCGGGCTCCTCCCGGCGCCGCTCCAGGGCCTCGTCCAGCAGCAGCCGCGCCCGCAGCGGCCGGGCCGGACAGAGCGCCGCGGCCAGCAGCCGGACATCGGCCGGACACAGCCCCGCCAGCAGCGCCTGCGGGCACGGGGACATTCCATGGGAATCCCCAAAAAAATCCGGGATGGGAACCCCAAAAAATGGGATCAGTAAGCCAAAATGTGGGGCAGAATACAAAATGTGGGGTTAACACCCCAAATCCCAGCTCCAAAATCCCAAACCCCAAACCCTAACTCCCAAACCCCAATTCCCAAACCCCAATTCCCAAATCCCTAACTCCCAAGCCCCTAAATCCCAATTTCCCAAACCCCAATTCCCAAACCCCAAGCCCCAAACCCCAGTTCCCGAACCCCAAACTCCCAATCCCCAAATCTCAAATCCCAGACCCCAAATCTCTAACTCCCAAATTCCCAAACCCCAAATCCCAAATTCCCAACCCCCGTACCCGGAGCAGGGCTGGCTCGGGTCTCTCCCAGCCGCATTCCCGGAGCTCCTGGAGCAGCTGAGCCAATTCCTGCTCATCCAGGACAGAATTCTGGGGGTCCCGGGGCAGCAGCAGCCCCCGCCAGCACCCCAAAACCTCCGAGTCCAGGCTCTGGATCAGGCTCTGGGAAAGGGAAAAATGGGAATGGGATCCCCACCCCAAAAACTCTGGGGAAAGGGAAAAATGGGAATGGGATCCCCACCCCAAAAACTCCGGGAATGCCAGGGAAATCCTACAGGAATCCTTAAAGGAATCCCAGCAAAAATCCCAAAGGAATCCCAGGGAATCCCAGGGGGTTTTGGGGCAGGCCAAGCCCTGCATTCCTGAGGGATTTTCCCGGATTTTGGGGAGTTTGGGGGTTTTGAGGTCCCACCTGCATGCGCAGGTCCAGGCGGGATCGGCATTCCCGAGGGATTTTCCCAGATTTTGGGGATTTTCCCAGATTTTGGGGATTTTCCCGGATTTTGGGGATTTTCCTGGATTTTGGGGAATTTGGGGTTTTGGGGTCCCACCTGCATGCGCAGGTCCAGGCGGGACCGGCATTCCCGAGGGATTTTCCCGGATTTTGGGGATTTGGGGTCCCACCTGCATGCGCAGGTCCAGGCGGGACCGGCGCTCCCACCACTCCTGGCGCTCGGTGCAGGCGTTGGCCTCGCGCTGCTCCCGCTGGATCCGCTCCAGTTCCCGCAGGATCTCGCTCAGGGGGGCCTGGAATTGGAGAGGTGGGATTTGGGAACCAAATTTTGGGATGGGGAAGGGGTTTGGGATCCAAATCCCTGAAATTCGGGATGATCCCACTGGAATTACTGCAGAACTTCGCTCAGGGGGGCCTGGAATGGGACAGGAGGGGTTTGGGATCCAAATTCTGGGATGAGGAGGGGTTTGGGATCCCAGTCCTGGGATAAGGAGGAATAAGATGAGGAAAAGGATGAAAACGAGGACGAAGATGAGAATGAGGACGCGGATGAAGATGAGGAGGATGAAAATGAGGATAAAAATGAAGATGAGAACGAGGACATGGATGAGGATGAAGAAGAGGAGAATGAGGATGAGGACATGGATGAAGATGAGGATGAAGATGAGGATGAAGATAATGATGAGGAGGAGGACGAAGATGATGAGGAGGATGAAGATGAGGACGAGGAGGATGAAGATGAGGAGGACGAAGATGAGGACGAGGAGGATGAAGATGAGGACAAGGAGGATGAAGATGAGGACGAGGGTGATGAGGAAGCTGACCTGGCCGCGCCGGGTGTCGATGCGCACGCTGAGCGGCTCCGCGCCGCGCTCCAGCCGCGTCAGCAGCAGCGCGTCCCCGGCGGCGCCGGGGCTGGCACCGGCCAGGCACAGCTGGCACACCGTGACGCCTGCGGGGACACCCCAAATCTGGGGAAATTTCCCCAAAATTCCACCCCATGGAATCCCCAAAACCCAAATTCCAACCATTCCCGCCCCATGGAATCCCCAAAACCCAAATTCCAACCATTCCCGCCCCATGGAATCCCCAAAACCCAAATTCCAACCATTCCCACCCCATGGAATCCGCAAAATCTAAAAAATCCCCATAATCTGAATTCCAACCATTCCCACCCTGTTCGAGGACACCAAATCCCCAAACTGGGAATTTGGGATTCCCCAAACTGGGAATTTGGGATTCCCCAAACCAGGAATTTGGGGTTTCCCAGTACTGACCGCTGGGAATCTTCTGGAGCTGCTCCCGGAACCGTTCCCGCTCTGCCGGCCCCAAACCTGCGGAGCTGAACTGGAAAAGCTCCTCCAGCTCGGCCAGGTGGGACTGGGAATCCTCGGAATTTTGGGAATCCAGGGAGAGGCCCTGGAGCTGGTCTGAGATGTCGCCTCCGGCTGCCGCTTTCCTCTTCTTCCTGTGGGGTCATCCCAAAATCCCATGGGATGGGGCCAGCGGGAGGGGGATTCGGGATGGGGATTTGGGATGGGGGTTTGGGATGGGGATGTGGGATGTGGGATATGGGATATGGGATGGGGATTTGGGATGGGGATTTGGGATGGGGGATATGGGACAGGGATTTGAGATATTGGATTTGGGATGTGGGATATGGGATTTGAGATGGGGGTGTGGGACAGGGGACGTTGCGATGGGGACGTTGGGACAGGGGACATTGGGATGGGGACACTGGGATGGGACACTGGACAGGGACAGGGACACTGGACAAGGACACTGGACAAGGACACTGGACAAGGACACTGGACAAGGACACCGGGAAGGTGACACTGGACAGGGACAGGGACACTGGACAGGGACACTGGGCAAGGACAGGGACACTGGACAGGGACACCCCGGGAAGGTGACACTGGACAGGGACACTGGACAGGGACCCTGGACAGGGACCCTGGACACTGGACAGGGACACCGGGAAGGTGACACTGGACAGGGACACTGGACAGGGCCCGGCAGGTGCCACCCCGAGGCGCCCCCGACCCACCGTGCCCGGGCGTGGACGATGGCCAGCAGCTGGTGGCGCAGGGTGACACCCAGGGACTCGGCCAGCAGCCCCGCGGTGGCCAGCGGGTCCCTGTCCCCAAGGGCCACCGCCAGCAGCTGGCACAGGCGGCCGTAGAGAGAGCCCGGCGGGCAGTGAGCCACCCACGCCAGCGCCTCGGCCAGCAGCCACCGCACCGCGGCCAGCGAGGGGTCAGTGGTCAGCGAGGGGTCAGCGGTCAGCGAGGGGTCACCTGTGGGGGGACAGAGGGGTCAGTGGTCAGTGAGGGGTCACCTGTGAGGGGACAGAGGGGTCAGCGGCCAGAGAGGGGTCACCTGTGGGGGGACAGAAGGGACAGAGGGGTCAGCGGTCAGTGAGGGGCCAGCAGTCAGCGAGGGGTCACCTGTGAGGGGACAGAGGGGTCAGTGGTCAGTGGGAACAGGAGGGGTCAGGACAGGAGGGACAAAGTTTGAGAGCAAGAAAGGAAAAGTTTGGGAGGAACAGTTTTGGGGAAGAAGAAGAAGGGAAAATTTGGGGGAAGAAGGGAAAACCCCAAAATCCCCCAAATCCCAACTGCTCACTGGGCTGGGATCCCTCTGGATTTGGTGGATCCCCCTTATCCCAAATTCCTGGGATTTCCTTGCTGGCTCCACCTGGAAAAGACGGGGCAGTTTTGGGGTGAAAAAAGGCAATTTTGGGGTCACCGAGGTGAAATCCCTCCCCAAAATTCACCTGGGGGCAGTGGGGGGAGCTCGAAGCTCATTTCTTCCTCTTCCTCCTCTTCCTCCTCCATGGCCCTCAGGGGGTCCCGGTCCTCAATCCCAGAGAATTCCCAATTCCTCTTTTCCTCCAAAATTCCACTTTTTGGGGTCCTCCTCTCCTTCTTTCCCCAGCGGGGACCCCTGTTTTCCTTCATTTCCAGAGTTTTTTGGGATTTCCCCTTTTCCTTCTTTTCCACGTTTTCCGCTTTGGGATTTCCACGTTTTTCCACATTTTCCATTTTAGGATTTCCTGTTTTTTCCACATTTTCCACTTTGGGTTTTCCCCTTTTTTCCCTCTTTTCCATTTTAGGGTTTCCCGTTTCTTCCACATTTTCTGTTTTGGGATTTCCCCTTTTTTCCACATTTTCCACTTTAGGATTTCCTGGTTTTTCCACATTTTCCACTTTAGGATTTCCTGGTTTTTCCACATTTTCCACTTTGGGTTTTCCCCTTTTTTCCCTCTTTTCCAGAGCCGTTTGGGGGCTGCCATTTTCCTGCTTTTCCACATTTTCCACATGGTTGATTCCCCTTTTTTCCCTGTTTTTGGGGGTCTCTGGCTCCTTCCGGGGCCGCCCCCGCCGGGGCCGAGCCGCAATTCCCGGAGAATTCCCGGGGGATTTTTGGGGCTGAATCCTCCTCTGGGCACAGGAATTTTTGCGGGTGGTTTTGGGGGGATCTGGGGGGATTTGGGGCTCCTCGGGGTCGCTGTCACTGAATGTCACCTGAAAAAAAGTGGGGGACAAAGGGGTTCAGCCTGGTATTTTCAACCCAAAATTTCCTTTCCCCCCCAAAATTTTCCCTCCTCCTAATCTCCCCCCAATCATTTCCCCCCGCAAAATTTCCATCCCAAATTTCTCTTCCAATTTCCATCCTCAATTTCTCTTCCCAAAATTTTCCCTCCCTCTGATTTCCCCCCTAAATTTCCATCCCAAATTTCCCTCCTCCCAATTCCCCCCCTCCAAAATTTTCCCTTCTCCCAATTTTTCCCCCCAATTTCCCTTCCCAATCATTTCCCCCAAATTTCCCATCCCAAACTTTTCTCCCAATCATTTCCCTCCCAAATTTCCCTTCCCAAACTTTTCCCCCCCAAATTTCCCTTCCCGAAATTTTTCCCCCCAATCATTTCCCCCCAAAATTTCCCTTCCCAATCATTTCCCCCCAAATTTCCAACCCCAAACTCACCCTGATCCGGGACTTGACCCTCCCGGGGATTTTGGGGGCCCTGCGGAGCCGGGAGCTGCCCCCGGGCGGGGAGGGCTCCTCGCTGAAGATGGTGAAGGGGGTCCTGGGCCCCCCAACCAGCGCTTTTGGGGGCGCCCCCGATTTGGGGTGAGGGGTGCAGGGCCCCCCCGGCCTCAGGACAATGAGGGGCACCTCGGGGTCCGAATCCCCCAGGGCGAAAATGTCCCCAGTTTTGGGGGGTTTCGCTTTTGGGGTCTTCCCCGCCTTGGCTTTGGCGGCTTTGGCTTTTTGGGGTCTGGTTTTTGGGGGAGCTTTGGGGGTTTTTTGGGGTTTTGGGGGGTCTGGGGTGGGTGGGGGATAGGGGGTCCAGGCCTGGGCTAGGATTTCATCGGTGGAGCAGCCGCGGGCGGTGGCCACGCGGCCGAGGGTGGCCACGGCTTTGGCCAGCAGCAGAGTGGCCACGGCCACCCCCAGGCCGGACACGGGGGGACGTTGGGACCCCAAAAGGGTCAGGCCCCGCTCCAGCTCTTCATCCCAAACTGGGGGGCATTGGGAGGGACTGGTCAGGCTCTGCAGGGCCAGCGTGGAGTAGCCGGTGGCCACCAGCTCGGCCAGCGGGCCTGGAGGGGACGGGGCAGTGTCCCCAGCAGGGTCCCTGTCCCCAAAAGTGTCCCTGTCCCCAGCGGGGTCCCTGTCCCCAAAGGCGTCCCCGTGGCCAGGGTGGCCCTGAAGGTCCCTGATCCCACAGGGGTCCTGCAGGTCCCTGTCCCCAGGAGTGTCCCTGTCCCCAAGGGTGTCCCCATTCCCAGGAATTCCCCTGCCCCTAAAAGTGTCCCCATTCCCAGGGACATCCCCATTCCCAGGGACATCCCCATTCCCAGGAGTGTCCCCAGTCCCAGGAATTCCCCTGTCCCTGACCATGTCCCCATTCCCAGGGACATCCCTGCCCCTAAAAGTGTTCCTATTCCCAGAGGGATTTGGCAGACTTCTGTCCCCATCCCCAGTGACACCCCCATTCCCAGGAATGTCCCCATTCTCAGAAATTTCCCTGTCCCTAAAGGTGTCCCCATTCCCAGAAATTGCCCTGTCCATAAATGTGTCCCCATTCCCAGGGACACCCCCATTCCCAGAAATTGCCCTGTCCATAAATGTGTCCCCATTCCCAGGGACACCCCCATTCCCAGAAATTCCCCTGCCCCTAAAAGCGTCCCTAATCCCAGAGGAGCCCCGCAGATCCCCGTCCCCATTCCCAGAGGGGTCTGGCCGACTCCTGTCCCCATCCCCAGCAACTCCTTTGTCCCTGAACGCGTCCCCATCCCCAGAGGGGCCCTGTAGACCCCTGTCCCCCTCCCCAGGGACGTCCCCACGGCCCAGCCCCGCCGCCCGGACGCAGCCCCACGCCCGCCGCGCCAGCCGGGCACCGGTGCCGGCGCACCGCGGCAGCGCCCGCCGCGCCAGCGCCAGCCCCGGTGCCACCGCCCCGGCCGCCAGCCACGCCCGGGCTTGTGCCAGCTGCCAGCGCAGCCCCAGCGCCACCAGGGCCGGGTCGGAGCAGGAGGAGCAGGGACATCCCCAGCGGTGCCTCAGGAATTCCAGACTTTTCCAGCATTTCCTTTCCTCCTTCAGCTCCGGCGAGGCCGTCAGAGCGCCCGGCGGCTCCGGGAGCGCGGCCGGAGGAGACGCCAGCACGTCCAGGGAGGGACCCTTCAGGAATTCCTCCTCGTCCTCGCCGTCGGGAAGGGGATCCAGGGGTTTTCTCTTCTCCAGGTGGCTCTTCTGGAGCTGGATCTTGGCATGGCGTGGAGGTTCCCAGAGGGGTTTGGGTTCTGGAATGGGAATTCAGGGAGGATTTGGGGTTTGGGGTCATGCAGGGAATGGTTCCCGGCAGGGCTGGAAGCTGGAAGGGATGGAAGGGAAAATTTGGGATTTTCCAGCCCAGAAAACTGGATCGGACTGTTCTCAATGGACTTTAACTCTGGAGGGGATGGAAGGGAAAATTTGGGATTTTCCAGCCCAAAAAAGGGGCCCAGAAACCTGGATCCAACAGTTCCCAGATGGATTTTAACTCTTTGGAAGAAGGATGGGAATATTCGGGAATATTCCCAGACTGGAATATTCCCATTCCCAAACTGGGATTTCCCATTCCCAGGCTGGGATTTCCCCCATTCCCAAACTGGGATTTCCCATTCCCAAACTGGGATTTCCCCTCCCAGTGCTCACCAGTTTGGGGCTGGAGCAGGAACTGGGCGTGCTGGAGGTGGGACTGGCTCAGCTCCAGTTCCCCCTGCTGCAGCTCCAGCTGCGACTGCAGCACCAGGAACCACGTGCACCTGCGGGGAAAAATGGGGGGAAAATGGGAAAAACGGGAAAAAATGGGGGGGAAAATGGGAAAAAAGGTGGAAAAACAGGGGGGGAAATGGGGGAAAAACAGAAAAAATGGGGAAAAAACGGGAAAAAAATGGGGGGAAATGGGGGAAAATGGAGGGGAAAATGGAGGGAAAATGGGGGGAAATTGAGAGAAAATGGGGGAAACTGGAGAAAAAATGGGGGGGAAAATAGGGGTAAAATGGGGGAATAATGCAGGAAACTGGGGGGAATGGGAAAATAGGGGGAAAATGAGAGGAAATGGGGGGAAAATGGGGAAAAATTGAGGGAAATGGAAAAATGGGGGGAAAGGGTGGAAAATGGGGGAATAATGAGGGGAAATGGGGGAAAATGGGAGAAAATGGAGAAAAAGTAAGGGGAAAATAGGGGTAAAATGGGGGAATGAGGGGAAATTGGGGGAAATGGGGAAAATGGGGGGAAATGAGGGGAAAATGGGGGGAAATGAGCTTCTGCCCTGCCTGGGATGTTCACTCGGCTCTTGAGCCACCAGTTCTAAAGGATCCCGATCCCAATCCCAGTGACCCCAATCCCACCCTTGACCCCAGGACTGACCAGCGGGTGGCCTGCAGGTGTCCGGCCAGGGTCAGTCCCTCGCCGCAGAAGGCCCTGGCCCTGCTCAGCACCTCGCAGTGGCTCAGCAGCGTCACCAGGCGCCGGCAGCAGCCCAGGGCGTCCCCCAGCGCCTGCCACTTGTGCACCAGCGCCGGGCCTGCGGACAGTGGGGGGGTACTGGGAGCACTGGGAGGGACGGGGGCACTGGGAGGGACTGGGGACGGGGAGGGGGGGATGGAGCAGGGAGGGGTCCTGGGGGGATGGAGCCGTTCCCAGTGACCCCAGTCCCACCCCAGTGACCCCAATGACCCCAATCCCACCCCGGTGACCCCGATGCCCTCACTGACCGCCGTCGGGGCTGGGCTCCTCGGGCGGGCGGCCGCGGGCGCTGCCCAGGACGCGGCTGCCCAGCAGGGACACCAGGACGCTCCGCAGCAGCTTCTGCGCCTCCAGCAGGGCCACCTCGGGGCTGCTCCAGCCTGGAATGCCGTGGGATCAGCACGGAACTCCCGCCTGGAATTCCACTGCAGGATCCCATTCCCGTTTCCCTGCCCCCTTCCCATTTCCCCGTTCCCTGCCCTGTTCTCATTTCCCCGTTCCCGTTCCCATTTCCCCATTCCTGTTTCCTGTTCCCATTTCCCATTCCCCTGCCCCATTTCCAGTTCCCGTCTCCCATTCCCATTTCCCTGCCCCGTTCCCATTTCCCTGTTCCCATTCCCCATTCCATTTCCTGTTCCCCCATTCCCATTTCCCTGTTCCCATTTCCCATTCCGCATTCCCATTTCCCCGTTTCCCATTCCCATTTCCCTGCCCCGCTTCCATTTCTCCGTTCCCATTCCCCATTCCCATTTTCTGTTTCCCCATTCCCATTTCCCTGTTCCCATTTCCCGTTCCCCATTCCCATTTCCCATTTCCCCATTTCCATATTCCCCAGCCCCGCTCCCATTCCCCCATTTCCATTTCCCATTCCCCTTCCCATTTCCCGTTTCCCCCTTCCCCATTCCCATTTCCCGTTCCCATTTCCCCATTCCCCATTCCCGTTCCCATTTCCCCATTCCCGTTTCCCATTTCCCGTATTCCCATTTCCCCATTCTCCTTTCCCGTTTCCCCATTCCCATTTCCCATTCCCATTTCCCATTCCCGAATTCCTGTTTCCCCGTTCCCATTTCCCATTTCCCCATTCCCATTTCCCGTTCCCAAACTCCTGTTTCCCCATGCCCATTTCCCATTCCCATTTCCCGTTCCCGAATTCCCGTTTCCCCGTTCATTTCCCGTTCCCGAATTCCCGTTCCCCCCGCACTCCCGTGTCCCCACCGTGCCGCCGGATCCGCTCCCGGAGCGGCGCCGCCAGCAGGGCCGGGGGCAGCTCCAGGAAGGCGGCGGCCACCTGCAGCCCCTGGGCCTGGGCCAGGAACCAGCCCCGCGTGGCCCGGCGGGCCTGGAGCTCCTGCAGCGCCTCCAGCAGCAGCGCCACGCCCTGCTCCGCCTGCGGAAACGGGGGGAAAACGGGGAAAATGGGGAAAAAAACGGGGAAAATGGGAAAAAAAATGGGATTTGGGGTCGTGGGGGTGAGCACGTCCCAATCCCATCATCCCAATCCCATCCCAGTCCTTTTATCCCATCCCAATTCTATCCCAATCCCCTTCCTGCAGCAGGGACATGCCCTGATCCGCCTGCGAAAATGGGGAGGGGGGAAAACTGGGAAAAAAAAAACAGGAAAAAGGCAGGAAAAAAGCAGGAAAAAAGCAAGAAAAAACAAAGAAAAAAAAAAGCAGGTAAAAACCAGGAAAAAAACAAGACCAGGAAAAAAGCAGGAAAAACCAGGAAAAAAGCAGGAAAAACCGGGAAAAAAACAGGAAAAAGCAGGAAAAAAAACCAAGAAAAAAGCAGGAAAAAAGCAGGAAAAAAGCAACTGGGTGGAAAAAACATGGGGAAAAAAACCTGTAAAAAAGCAGGATTTGGGATCCCAGGGGACTCTTCTCCCCCCACAAACCCCCAAGCCCACCAATCCCGATTTTTGGTTTTGGGGAAAATCCCTGTTTTTTGCCTTTTTCTGGAGGCAGCAGAGCTGGCTGCGCAGCAGGAGCCGCGAGTGGCGCAGGAGCAGCCGGGAATCCTCGGAGCCTTCGGCCTCATCCAGGCACGATTCCAGCTCCTCCAGGAAAATCTGGGAATTCCGGCCGGGATCAGGGATCAGCAGCACCCCCAGAGACACCCCGGGGGGGGTTCCCCGGGATTTTTGGGATTTCTCAAGGCCCCAGGATGCCCCAAAGCCACTGAAATTATTTTCCTAGGATTTTTGGGATTCCTGGAGTTCCCTGGACTTGTGAAGGGCATTCCCAGATAATTTCCCAGGATTTGGGAAGAACATTCCCTGATTTGAGAAGCACATTCCAGGATTTCCCAGAATTTGGGAAGGATATTCCCAGGATTTGGGAATGCCGGTGGTACCTGGGCCTGGGAAGCACATTCCCAGGATTTCCCAGGATTTGGGAAATTTGGGAATCCCAGCCGTACCTGGGCGGGGCCGGGGCAGCGCAGCTCCAGCAGGATCCGGCAGATCCGGCACAGGGAATTCGCCGTTCCCGCCGGATCGCCGAGGCGCCGGCACAGCGAGCGCAGCAGCAGGAAACTCTCCAGGGCCTGCAGGGGCTGGGGAAAGGGAAAATCCTTGGAAAAAGACCAAAAGAATTCCAGGGAATCCTGGGAACCCCGGGAAAACGCTCCCTGCTCTTCCTCTGCCTGAATGGTCTTCTTCTTCCTCCTCCTCCTCCTCCTCATCCCAAATTCCTCCTTCCTCCTCCTCATCCCAAATTCCCTCCCTCTTCTTCCTCATCCCAAATTCCTTGCTCCTCCTCCTCATCCCAAATTTCCTCCCTCTTCCTCCTCTCAAACTCCCTCTCTTCTTCCTCATCCCAAACTCTCTCCTTCCTCTTCATCCTCCCAAACTTTTTCCCTCCTCCTCATCCCCAAACTCTCCCCATCCCCCTCCTCCCCACTCCCCAGCCCCAGGAATTTCGGGAATTCCGGGATCACCTTGTCCTGGAGGCGGTAGAGCTCGGCCAGGAGCTGCAGGGAGCTCAGGGTTTGCTCGGGGCTCCGCACCTTGGGAATTCCAGGATTTTCCAGCAGCTTTTTCCACAGGGAAAAGGCTTCATCCAAGGGTTTGGACAGAGCTGGGGGCACGCAGGGGTCAGGCAGGGATTCCCGAAAAAAAGCTGATCCCACTTCGGGATCATCCTGGAGAAGTCATTCCCGACCTCCCAGGATCCCAAAAAATCCCTTCCCAATCCAACAGGATCCCAAAAACCCCTTCCCAACATTCCAGGTTCCCAAAAAAGTTCTTTGCACCCCTCTAGGATCCCAAAAATCCTTTTCCCAATCCACCAGCATCCCAAAAATCTCTTCCCAACCTTCCAGAATCCCATAAAATCTCTTTCCACTCTTCCAGGGCCTTCATCCATCCCAGGAAATTCCCAAAATTCCGGGCTCACCGCGCTCGGAGTTGAGGCTGCAGCGGATCCCGAAATCCCGCGGCTCCGGCCGCTCTCCCTCGTGATCCGGATCCCGATCCCAGCCCGGCTCCGGAGCCTGGCCCCGCTGCTCCCGAGCCACGCTCTGCCAAGGGAAATTCTGGGAATGCCCCAAATCCCAAAAAATTCCACCCAGGGAAAGGCAGGAATGCCCCAAATCCCAAAAAAATCGCACCCGGGGAATGCCCAAATCCCAAAAAATCCCACCCAGGGAATGCCAGAAATCCCAAAACATCCCACTCAGGGAATGTCCCAAATCCCAAAAAATCCCACCCAGGGAAAGGCGGGAATCCCAAAAATCCTGGGAAAATCAACCCCAGGAAAGGTTTGGGACACGCAAGGAACTCCGGTATTTTCCCAAAATCCCCCAAATCCCAGAAGAATTCCCAGAAAATTCCTGGAAAATTACTGGCACCTTTTCCATCAGGGCCTCGAGGGTGCAGATGTGGAGCCAGAGCAGGGCCTGGGCGCGCTCGTCCAGGAGCCGATCCCGGATTTGGGAATTGCAGCTCTGGGAATTCCGGGCCAGCGCCTCCAGCAGCCTCAGGGCCTCCTGCACCGCGTCCAGGGCGGAGCTGCGGGGACAGGGATCCCCAAAATCCCGGGAATTCACCCCAAAATCACGGGAACAGAGCCCAGAATGCCAGGAGTGGGATGGGGGATTTGGGATAAAGGGAATGGGATGGAGGATTTGGGATGGGGGATTTGGGATAAAGGAAGTGGGATGAAGGATTTGGGATGGAGGAATGGGATCAGGATCGGGAACAGGATCGGGATCAGGATTGGGATCAGGACAAGGATCAGGATTGGGATCAGGATCAGGGTTGGGATGGAGGAATGGGATCAGGATTGGGATCAGGACTGGGATCAGGATCAGGGTTGGGATGGAGGAATGGGATCAGGATTGGGATCAGGACTGGGATCAGGATCAGGGCTGGGATGAGGATTGGGATCAGGATCAGGGTTGGGATCAGGATCAGGAATGGGATGAAGGATCTGGATCAGGATTGGGATCGGAATCAGGATTGGGATGAAGGATCAGGATTGGGATCAGGATTGGGATGAAGAATCAGGATCAGGGTTGGGATGAGGGATCAGGATTGGGATCAGGATCAGGACTGGGATCAGGATTCAGGGTTGGGATCAGGATTGGAATCGGGACCAGGATTTGGATCAGGATCAGGATTGGGATCAGGACAAGGATCAGGATCAGGATTGGGATCAGGATTGGGATCAGCACCCACCAGTCGGTGTGGCCGCTGAAGCTCTGGCTGCACAGGAGCTGGGCTGGGATCAGGATCAGGGTTGGGATCAGGGTTGGGATGAAGGATCAGGATCGGGATTGGGATCAGGACTAGGATCAGCACCCACCAGTCGGTGTGGCTGCTGAAGCTCTGGCTGCACAGGAGCTGCCCCAGCTCCAGCAGCGCCACCGCCCTGGGCAGGCTCCGGCCGGGGTCCGGCATTCCTGGGGGGTCGCGGCTGCCCCCGGGATCCCGGAATCCCGGCGGATCCCAGGCTCCCTCGGGGTCCCACAGGCCCAGCAGGTCGCAGAGGACGTTGTAGCGCTCTGGCCCCGTGGGGCCCCGCAGGGATTTGTAGGCCTGGAGCTCGGCCAGCAGCAGGAGCAGCACGGTGTCCCCGGACAGGGGTCGGGAATGGGATCGGGACTGGGACTCCAGGGCGTCCCGCAGGGTCCTGGGACAGGAGGAACGGCGGGGTTTGGGTGGGGGTATGGCATGGGGGGAGCTCCGACCCCATCCCACCTTCCCTGGCCTGGGAGGCTCCTGAGTCCCCCTCCCAATCCTACCCCATCCCCTCCATCCCATTCCAATCCCATTCCCCCATCCCAGCCCATCCCAATCCCACACCATTCCAATCCCATTCCCTCCATCCCATTCCAGCCCATCCCATCCCCTCCACCCCAATCCTCTCCTCCAAATCCCCAATCCTCATTCCCCCATCCCAAATCCCCATTCCCCCATCCCAAATCCCCATTCCCCCATCCCAAATCCCCATTCCCCCATCCCAAATCACAAACCGCCTCACCGCAGCCGCAGCTCCTCCGCTCCCTCTTTGGCCGCCTCTGTCTTGATCCTGGCCCAGAGCGCCACCGGCTCGGCCACCAGGGAGTCAGAGATGGGCTGGGAATGGTGGGAGAGTGTCCCCAAATCCTTGGGAATTGTCCCCAGGAATGCATCCTCACTCCCCGGGAAGGTGTCCCCAATCCCCGGGACTGTGTCCCAGGGAATTGTCCCCAATCCCAGGAGCTGTCCCCACCCCCAGGGAAGTGTCCCCCCACCTGGCCGTGTGTCCCCAGGGCCAGCAGCCACTGGGCCACGGCGTCCAGGGCACGCTCGGGCCGGCCCCGGCAGCGCCAGGCCTCCACCTGCAGCCGGAAGCACCTGTGGAGCTGGGGGGGATGGAACGTCGGGAAACCGGAGCCTCGGGAGTCCCGGGATCCCAGTACCCCCAGTATGCCCAGGGATCCCAATGATCCCAGTATGCCCAGGGATCCCGGCATTCCCAGTGATCCCAGTACCGCCAGTACGCCCAGGGATCCCAGTAGCCCATCCCAGTATTCCCAGTGCCCATCCCAGTGCCCCCAGTGCCCCATCCCAGTGCCCATCCCAGTATCCCCAGTGCCCATCCCAGTGCCCCCAGTACCCCATCCCAGTGCCCCCAGTGCCCATCCCAGTATCCCCAGTGCCCATCCCAGTGCCCCCAGTGCCCATCCCAGTGCCCCCAGTGCCCCGTACCCGCTCCGGGCTGACCCCGGCCCAGCCGTAGCCGTGTCCGGCCAGCACCGCCTGGCACAGGGGCTCACACACGGCTCCGGCCGCTTCCGGAACCTTCCGGGCCTGCAGGGCCTGGCCCAGGCGCAGCACGGCCGCAGCTGCGTCCAGAGGGACAGAGTGACCACGGGGACAGCGAGGGGACAGCGAGGGGACAGCGAGTGACCGCCCCCCAGACACAGAGTGACCACGGGGACAGCGAGGGGACAGCGAGTGACCACCCCCCCAGACACAGAGTGACTACGGGGACAGGTGGGGATACCGCAGTGACCGCCCCCTGGACATGGAGTGACCCCCTGGACACGAGAACCGTGGTGGCATATACCACTGGGGACAGGGGGTGGCACTGACCACTGGGGACACGGGGGACGGGGACAGGGGGTGGCACTGACCGGTGACATCGAGGAACTTGCCCCTCTCGGCCTCGGGCAGCCCCTCCAGCCCCTCCAGCATCCAGGTGACGCTCTGGACACAGCTGGCGGTCACCTGGGCCAGCTCTGGCCACTCCGAGGCCTGCGGGGACACCGAGGGTCAGCCGGGACCCCAGAGCCATGGGGGACACGGCAGGACCCCCCAGCCCCCAAATTCTGACCCCACATCCCAGGGGAGAAGCTTCCAGAACCCCCAAAACCCCCTCAAAGAGGATCCATCCCCAAATTCCAGCCCCACACCCTATGGGAGAAAATTCCAGAATCCCCAAAACCCCCTCAAGGAGGCTCCATCCCCAAATTCCAACCCCACATCCCACAGGAGAAGCTTCCAGAACCTCAAAATCCCCTCAAGGAGGCTCCATCCCCAAATTCCAGCCTCACATCCCATGGCAGAAGCTTCCAGAACCCCCTCAGGGCACCTCAATCCCAAAATTCCAGCCCCACATCCCATGGAAAGGCTCCCAGAGTGGATCCACCCCAAAATTCCAGCCCCCAGGGATGCGGATCCGTGCCTGGCAGCGCTGGAAGATTTCATGGATGGCGTTGGAGAAGAGCTGGAGGCCCTGGAACAGCAGCTGCGTCACCAGCACCTGATCCTGGATGGAGTCTGCAGGGACCTGGGAAAAACGGGATTTGGGAATGGGGAAATGGGGAAAATGGGATTTGGGAACGGGGAAATGGGATTTGGGAATGCTGGGGATGTGGAAAATGGGATTTGGGAATGCTGGGAATGGGGAAATGGGATTTGGGAAAGGGGAAAAATGTGATTTGAAGTTGAGGAAAGGCAGGGAAGAGGAAAAGTGGGATGTCGGGATCCAGGAGCTCCAGGAGCTGCTGCTGGGATGGAGAAAAGTGGGATTTGGGGTGCAGGGAAGGGGAAAAGTGGGATGTAGGGATTCAGGAGCTCCAGGAGCTGCTGTTGGGATGGAGAAAAGTGGGATTTGGGACTCCCCAAACTCCAGGAGCTGCTGGGACCAGCACAGAGCAACCCAGAGGAGGAATTCCAAGGAATCCCAACCTTTCTCCTCCTCCTCACCTGTGCCAGCAGCCGCCGCAGCGCCCGGGCGTGGCCCTGGCAGAAGCCACAAATCCCGGGAATCTCCCGGCGGCCGAGGGGCAGCTCCCGGCTGCGGCCCAGCACCTCCCCGAGCTGCGCCAGCACGAACTGGGAACATTCCAGCAGCGCCCACAGGATCCTTCCGGAACGTTCCCGAAATTCCAGCGCCGCCGCCGCCCGCCGCAGGGCCGGCCCCACGGCCGCCAGGCCGGACGCGCCCTTGGTCAGCGCCCGGCTCAGCTGGATCCCGGCGGCCAGCAGCTCCAGAGGGGCTCCCAGGGAATTCTCCGTTTCCAGGGAATTCCCAGTTCTCAGAGGATTCCCAGTTCCCAAAGAATTCCCAGCTTCCAGAGGATTTCCAGCTTCCAGGGGATTCCCAGCTTCCAGGGAATTTCCAGCTCTCAGAGAATTCCCAGTTCCTAGAAGATTCCCAGCTCCCAAGGAATTTCCAGCTCCCAGATGATTCCCAGCTCCTAGAGAACTTTCAGCTCCCAGAGGATTCCCAGTTCCCAGGGAATTCCCAGCTCCCAAAGGATTCCCAGTTCCCAGGGAATTCCCAGCTCCCAGATGATTCCCAGCTCCCGGAGAACTTTTAGCTCCCAGATCTCCCAGAAGATTCCCATCTCCCAAGGAACTCCCCTCTCCCATGGAATTCCCATCTCCCGGAAAATTCCCAAATCCCAGGAAAGTTCTGGATTCCTCCAGGGCCTCCAGGGCCTGGCGGTGCCGCCGGGCCTGGCAGAGGAGGCGGCAGCGCTGCAGGGAGAGCTCCAGGAAGCACAGGGAATGCCGGAGATCCCGAGGGTGATCCCGAGCCTCGTCCAGCAGAGCATCCAGCAGGAATTCCTGCAGCTGCCTGGGGGAGAGGGAAAATTTAACACAGTGAAAATGTCATTTAACAGAGTGAAAACTTCATTGAATTTTGAATTTTTTGGAGGTGAATTAACTGAATTTTCCCTGCCACCTGGCCAGGAAGAATCCCTATGGATGTTTATTAAAATTTAATTTTTTGGAAGTGAATTTTGAATTTTTTGGCGGTGAATTTTGAATATTTTCATTGTGAATTTTGAACTTTTTGGCAATGAATTTTGAATTTTTTGGAGGTGAATTTTTTGGCGGTGAATTTTGAATTTTTTCATGGTGAATTTTGAACTTTTTGGTGATGAATTTTGAATTTTTTTGGAGATGAATTTTTTGGCGGTGAATCTTGAATTTTTTGGAGGTGAATTTTTTCCCTATGAATTTTGAATTTTTTGGCGGTGAATTTTGAATTTTTTGGCGGTGAATTTTGAATTTTCTGGTGATGAATTTTGAACTTTTTGGAGGAGAATAAATTAAGTTTCCTGCTCACCTGGCCAGGAAGAGCGGGCACGCCGCCCGCTGGCTCCGGTAGAGCACGGCGGCCGTGGCCGCGTGCCGGGCAGTGGCCGAGGTGAGGAACGGCGGCCGGAACGATTCCGGCGTTGGCCATTCCCGATCCCGGCATTCCAACAGCACCAGGAACCGCAGCGCTCTCATCCTGGCCACCAACTCCGCCCTGCCTTCCTCGCGTGGCCGTTCCGGCCCGGCCAAATTTGGGGCAGCTCTCCAGAGCACCCCGAAGGCGCCGCTGGCCACGGCGGCCCAATCGTTGTTGCGGTGGCCGCACCGGAGCCGCGCCCGCAGCAGCTCGGCCGCACTCCAGGCGTGGTGTCCCGCCCACGCCGCAGCGTTCCGCAGCACGTGGAACAAAATCTTCTCCAGGTAGAGCTGCGGAGGGTCGGGCAGGAGGCTCAGGTACCCTTGGGTGGCCTCCTGGGCGAGGGCGAGCAGCCGGGTGCCGTGGGCCGGCGAGCCGCCGGGCCGGGCCAGCTCGGCCACGCAGGCGCGCAGGGCGCGGTCGCAGGCAGCCAGGCGGCGAGAGCGGGGCAGAGAGGGGTTCTGGAGGCTTTCCTGGGGGGAAAAGAGGGAATCGGGGTTATTTTCTGGGAAAAGAGGGATTTGGGATCAGAGCTGGGATCCTCAGAGTGAATTTCCTGGGGAAAACAGGGATTTGGGAATCACTGCAGAAACCCTCAGGGATCATTCGCTAGGAAAAGAGGGATCTGGGATCAGAACTGGGATCCTCAGAGTGAATTCCCTTCGAAAAGAGGGATTTGGGATCAGAATAGAGACCCTCACGGGTTATTTCCTTGGAAAAGAGGGATTTGGGATCAGAGCTGAGACCCTCAGGGGTTATTTTGTGGGAAAAGAGGGATCTGGGATTAGGATAGAGAGCCTCAGGGGTTATTTCTCTTAAAAAGAGGGATTTGGGATCAGAGCTGGGATCCTCAGAGTGAATTTCCTGGGGAAAAAAAGATTTAGGGTCAGGATAGAGAACCTTGAGGGGCATTTCCTGGGAAGAGAGGGATTTGAGATCAGAGCTAAAACCCTCAGGGGGCATTTCCTGGGAAAAGAGGGATTTGGGATCAGCAGGGATCCTCAGAGTGAATTTCCTGGGAAAAGAGGGATTTGGGATCAGGATAGGGATCCTCAAGGATTATTTCCTGTGAAAAAAAGGGATTTGGGATCAGAGCTAAAACCTTCAGGGGTTATTTCCCTGGAAAAGAGAAAACTGGGATCAGAGCTAAGAGCCTCAGGTGTCCCACAGTGGGATCCCGAAGTTTTCCTGAGGAAAATCGGGATCAGCCCCTCTCGGCTCACCTGGATCTTCTCCAGGCGCTCCTCGATGCCGGCCCAGCCGTCTGTGCCTCCGTCCTGTCCGGCATTCCCGTCTTTTCCATCTTTTCCATCTTTCTCGGCCATCCCGGAGGCTTCTTGTGTGTGATGTGGGGCTGGGGGGGCAAGGAGAGGTGTGGGACCCTCAGAACCCCCAAATTCAGAACTCCCAAATCCCCCAAATCCAGAACTCCCAAATCCCCCAGACCCCCAAATCTAGACCCCCAAATCCACAGAACCCCAAAATCCCCAAGACCCCCAAATCCAGAGCCCTCAATTCCCCAGAATCCCCAAATCCCTCAGACCCCCAAAATCCCCCAAATCCAGACCCCCCAAATCCCGATCCCCCGAATCCAGAGCCCCAAATCTCCCAGACCCCGAAATCCAGAGCCCCCATCCCCCCCAGTCCCACTTCCTGACGCCCCCAGCCCCATTTCCAGCCCCACTGAGGGTCCCCAGCCCCACTCCTCGCCCCCCACAGCCCCCCCTCCCCTCACAGCCCTCCTGCCTCTCCCCGTCCTCACCGACCCTTCCCGGCTCCCTGAGGGGGTCTCAGCCCCCCATATTGCCCCAAAATTGCTCAAATTTGCCCCAAATTCCCCCCAGTCCCCCCCCCCCCCCGCTCACACTACGCCGCTGTTCCGCCAGGGGGCGGGGCCACCCGCGCGCGCGTTCAAACCGCGGCCGCAGCCAATCAGCGCGCAGCACCGCCCCCAGTGTCCAATCAGCGCGCGGCGCCGTCCCCGATGCGCAATCAGCGCGCGGCACCCTCACGCAGCGTCCAATCAGCGTGCGGTACCGCCCCGCCGCGCGGGGCCTCACGGGAATTGTAGTCCGCGCCCGGGCATGCGCGGTTTTGGCGCGCGGTTCTGTGTAGTGGTGGGCGGGGTCAGCGCGGTGGGGGCGTGGCCTGGGAGGGAAGCCCGGGGGTTGGGGTGGTGACGTCACACAGTATCGCACAGTGTTCCATAATGTCCCATAATGTCTCTCAGTGTCCCTCGGGGTCCCCTCAGTGTCCCAGTGTCCCACAATGTCCCATAATGTCCCCGTGTCCCCTCAGGGGTGGCACAGTGTCCCTCAATGTCCCCTCAGTGTCCCTCTGTCCCCTCCGTGTCCCTCTGTCCTTGTGTCCCTCTGGGTCCCTCTGTGTCCCTCTCCGTCCCTCAGTGTCCCATAGTGTCCCCCTGTCCCTCTCTGTCCCTCAGTGTCCCTCAGTGTCCCCTCAGTGTCCCCTCTCTGTCCCTGTCCCGCCCCGGGCCCGCTGCGCCCCGGGGCGCTGCAGTTCCGGCCGCTGCCGCCAGGCGGCGCCGGAGCCCGCAGAGCTTTTGGGGCTCCCCAAGAACAGAAGCCGGAATTGCGCGGATAAAATGTAAATAAACTAAAATAAATGAAAATGTAAATAAACTAAAATAAATGAAAATGTAAATAAATTAAAATTATTCCTCCCGACTGAAGCGCCTCCAGGCACATTCCGGACCGGCAATGTTTAATTGAGTTGAATTTAATTTAATTTAGGATCGATTCTCACCCTAATATCTCCCATTTAGTTTAATTTAATTTAACTTAATTTGATTTAACCTAATTTAATTTAATGTAATTTAATTAATCTAGGATCCATTCGCACCCCAATATCTCCCATTTAATTTAATTTAATTTAATTTAGGATCCATTCCCATCCCAATATCTCCCATTTAATTTAATTTAATTTAATTTAATTTAATTTAGGATCCATTCCCATCCCAATATCTCCCATTTAATTTAATTTAATTTAGGATCCATTCCTACCCCAAAATCCTCCTGTTTAATTTAATTTAATTTAATTTAATTTAGGATCCATTCCTACCCCAAAATCCTCCTGTTTAATTTAATTTAATTTAATTTAATTTAATTTAGGATCCATTCCCACCCCAATATCTCCCATTTAATTTAATTTAATTTAATTTAATTTAATTTAATTTAATTTAATTTAATTATTTCAGATCTGTTCCCACCCCAATATCTCCCATTTAATTTAACGAGCCCAGAAGGTGCCTCATGGGGTTTGGGGTTATGGTGGTCCCACGGGGTTTGGGGCCATGGTGATCCCATAGGGCCATGGTGGTCCCATGGGGTTTGGGGTCGTGGTGATCCTGTGGGGTTTGGGGTCGTGGTGATCTCCAGGAGGGCTCCAGTGGCCACGGCAGCCCCTGGCCCGGCCCAGGACCCCGAACCGCAACCGGGGCCGGGACATTCCCCTGAGGGGATTGGGGTGGTCCACAAACCTGAGGGTTTGGGGTGACTCCACAAACCCAGGGGGTTCGGGGGGCCCCACAAACCAAGATCCCTTCCAACCCTTTTGGGTTTGAGATTCAAACCAACTTCCAACCACTTCCAACCATTCTGGCTTTGACACTTAAACCAGGAGACCTCCAAGGTCCCTTCCCAGGAGACCTCCAAGGTCCCTTCCCAGGAGACCTCCATGGTCCCTTCCCAGGTGATCTCCAAGGTCCCTTCCCAGGAGATCTCCACGGTCCCTTCCCAGGAGACCTCCAAGGTTCCTTCCCAGGAGATCTCCACGGTCCCTTCCCAGGTGATCTCCAATGTCCCCTCCCAGGAGATCTCCAAGGTCCCTTCCAACCATTCCAGGTTTGAAACTCAAACCAGGAGACCTCCAAGATCCCGCGGTTCATCCATCTGAACGTTCTTGGACTTTTGATGGCGACGAGAAGATTTGGAAACCCACCCAAAAACTCTGGTTCCGATTTTGTCCCGGGGAGGGAGGGGAGCCGGCCCGGCTGACCCAGCCCCGCCGAATTAACGCCGGGCTGCGCATTCCAGGGTATAAATATCGGCATTGTCGCGCCCAGGAATGCGAGCGGCGCGGAGGAATCTAAAATTAAAGAGGCAGCTCGGGTTACCAGAAACAAGACTCCATTGTGCTCCCGGAGCGGTCAGAAACTGCCGGGGTCCAACGCCAGGGGCCAACGAGGCTGAAATGGGAGAATTTGGGAAGATTTTTGGGGTTAAAGATGTGGGCTGGAGGTCAGAGAACCTCCACGAGGGGGATTCTGAAATTCGCCCCGTCTTAACGACAAAATTTGGGGACATCTCTGGAGTTAAAGGCCAGCTCTGGAGGCCAGCGAGCCTCCACCAGGAGGATCTTCCAAATTTCTGATTCAGCCTCTCTTAATGACAAAATTTGGGAAGATTTCTGAAATTAAAGCTCTGTTCTGGAGGCCAGAGAGCCTCCACCAGGAGGATTCTGAAATTTCACCCCTGTTAATGATAAAATTTGGGCACATCTCTGAAATTAAAGCCATAGAGAGCCTCCAACAGGAGGATTCCCCAAATCTTTAAAAATTCTCCCCTCCTAATGACAAAATTTGGGAAGATTTCTGGAGTTAAAGCCCAGCTCTGGAGGTCAGCGAGCCTCCACCAGGATGCTGAAAATTCTCCCCTCCTAAGGCAAAATTTGGGGACATTTCTGGAGTTAAAGCCCAGCTCTGGAGGCCAGAATTGGGATTGGGGATCGGGAACTGGGATTGGGATTTGGAATTGGGATCTGGAATTGGAATTGGGAATTGGGGTTGGAATTCGGATTGTAATTGGAGTTGGGACTGGGAATTGGTTTTGGGGTAGGGGGTCCGGGGTTTTGGGGTACAGGGGATCAGGGTGGGCAGGAAACAGGACACAGTTCAGGGGTTTTGGGGTTCAGGGTGGGAGGGGACAGGGTCAGGGGTGTTTGGGGTGTGGGGTCAGGGGTTTTGAGGTGTGGGGTGCAGGGGATGGGGGCACAGGGATGCGGGGACACAGGGGATTGGGGCACAAGGGTCGGGGGGTGCAGGGGATTGGGGCACACGGATTCTGGGGTGCAGGGGATTGGGGTACCAGGATGCAGGGGATTGGGGTACAAGGATCTCGGGGTGCAGGGGATTGGGGCACAAGGATTCGGTGCGCAGGGGCTCGGGTGCCGCGGCTGCCGGGGACGTTGGGGAGTCGCGCTGGGATGGATGCCGGGGATGCGGGGGATGCCGGGGGTCCGCTCGGTGTCCGCCGGGGATGTCGGGGGTCCGCTCCGTGTCCGCCGGGGATGCCGGGGGTCCGCTCGGTGTCCGCCGGGGCGCTCCGAGCCGCCGCCGCTGCCCTGCGGCCGGAGCGCAGCTCGCCCCTCGCCATCCCCGCTCCGCTCCGCCCCGCCGCGCCTCGGGGGCGGGCTGTGGGGCCGGTGGGCGGTGGGAGGCGGGGGGGCAGCCCCAAGCCAGGCCCCGGCCGCGGCCCCGGCCCCGGCCCCGGCCCCAGCCCCAGCCCCAGCCCGGCCCCAGCCCCCGCCGCCCGCCCGGGGCCGCCGCGCCGCCCCGCATTGTCCGGGCGGCAGCGCAGGATGCGGCGCCCGGCTCGGCCTCCCGGGCTGCGCTAACGGCCCCGCCGGCATGAGGAGGTGAGTGAGGAGCGGCCGAGCCGCGGGGATCCCGCGGAGATCCCGGGGAGATCCCGGGAGGCCCGGCCGAGCATCCCCGGCGATGCCGCGGGCGGAGGAGGATCCCGCCCGGTGCCGCTGCGCGGAGAAGCGGAGGGGTCCGGGGGGGGCTCCGCGGGACCGAGCGGGAACGGGGAGCTGCGAACGGGGAATTTGGGGTACCTCGGCCTGGGGCCGCCCCCTTCCTCCCGCTTCCCCCCAAAAATCAGCGGGGACGCGCCGGTGGCCAGCGGCTCCCGGGATGTGCCGCCCCCCATCCCGAGGGGAGCGCCGGGGGCTGGGTGAATCCTGAGCTGGAAAGCCAAACGGAGCTGGATTGTCCGTCCGTCCGTCCGTCCGTCCGTGCGGGCATCCATCACCCATCCCTCCTCCCTCCCTCCCTCCCTCACCCCGGGAACAATGCCGCTCCCGCAGCCGCACGTCAAGCGCACGCCGGAGCGCTGCCCTTCAAAACACTCGCGGCTCTGAGGATCCGAAGGGGATTTTTAAATGGAAACTTGGCCTGAAAACTCTTTTTTTTTTTAGTGTTTATTTGTTTGTTTTGTTGTTTGTTGTTTTTTTATTTTTTGGTGGTAGGCGTTTTTCGCTCGGGGAAAAATAACATGGGGAAGGGTTTAAAAAAAATCACTTTACGCTGTCGAGAAAATCCTCCTGGGTTTGGAGGCGCCATGTGCTGCTTCACATCTCCCCCGGCATCCCAAAATTTCCCACCCCGGCTGCTCTTTGGGACGGGATTTCGGGAGCGGAAGGCGAAGTTTGGACAAAATTTGGGGCTTTGACGAGGACGCGGCTCGGATGGCTCCGGCTGCAATTCCTGGTGGGAATTTTGAGGAGGTTTTTTGGAATTTTGAGGAGGTTTTTGGGAATTCTGAGGAGGTTTCTGAGAATTTTGAGGAGGTTTTTGGGAATTTTGAGGAGGTTTTTGGGAATTCTGATGAGGTTTCTGGGAATTTTGAGGAGGTTTTTGGGAATTCTGAGGAGGTTTTTAGGAATTGAGGAGGTTTTTGGGAATTCTGAGGTGGTTTCTGGGAATTGAGGAGGTTTTTAGGAATTGAGGAGGTTTTTGGGAATTGAGGTGGTTTCTGGGAATTTTGAGGAGGTTTTTGGGAATTTTGAGGAGGTTTTTGGGAATTGAGGAGGTTTCTTTCCCCTTGGAGGTGCTCCCGGTGCCTCTTTTGCTCCCGCGGTTTCTGAATTCCAGATTTCACTGGGGCCGAGGCCCGGCAGTTTTTATCCCATCAAACATTGGTTTTTTAGCTCATTTGTTTTCGTTCATTTGTTTTCGCTCCCTCCAGCAGGAGCTGTTGACATTTTCTCGTGGGGGACTGCCGGGATAACGAATGGCACCTACCGGGCTGTGCTTGTTTATAATTTGCTTTTATTTTTTATCTTTTATTTTTTAATCTTTTATTTTAATTTTTTCTCTTTTATTTTATTTTATTATCTCTTATTTTAATTTTTTATCTTTTATTTTATTTTATTTCTCTTTTATTTCATTTTATTATCTTTTTTTTTTTTTTTAATTTCCCAGGGAAATTTTTTTTAAATCCACACAGCTTCGATTTGTTATTGATGATGAAAATACAAATTACTGATGAGTTTGAGCTCATTATAAAGGCATAAAATAAAATAAAATAAAATATTTATTTTCCTGCCCACAGCTGTGCTCCCACTCCCTGCCCCAATTTTTGGGGAGGGGAAGGAAAAAACCTGGCGGATTTTGGGTTTTTTGGGGGAGCAGCCACCGGCTCTGTCCCTAAATTCCTCTGCAGCAGGGAAGGGAAAAAACCTCTGGAATTCCTGGAGCAAGGAAGGGAAAAAACCTCTGGAATTCCTGGAGCAGGGAAGGGGAAAAAAAAATCTGGAATTCCTGGAGAAGGGAAAAAAACGTCTGGAATTTCTGGAGAAGGGAAGGGAAAAACCTCTGGAATTTCTGGAGAAGGGAAGGGGAAAAAAAACTCTGGAATTTCTGGAGAAGGGAAAAAAACCTCTGGAATTCCTGGACCAGGGAAGGGATTTCAGTTTTCCAGCTGGGAATTCCTGGAGCAGGGAAGGATTTCCAGTTTTCCCTTTGGGAATTCCTGGAGCAGGGAAAGGATTTCCAGTTTTCCCTTTGGGAATTCCTGGAGCAGGGAAGGATTTCCAGTTTTCCCTTTGGGAATTCCTGGAGCAGGGAAGGATTTCCAGCTTTTCCATTTGGGAATTCCTGGAGCAGGGACGGTTTCTGCGACCGCCTTCGTTCCCCGCTGTGTTCTTGCCCCGTGCCATCGTTATCATTTGTGTTAACGAGAGCGGCGCGGTGCGTCCCATATGGATCGCGTTAAAAACTCCCTTCTCTGCTCTTTCCTCCCCTCTCCCTCCCTCCCTCCTTCCTTTTCCCAGCCCCTTTTCCCCTCCCGAGGCTGGGGCAGCATCCCAGAACCCGAAAATCCGCTCTGTCCCCTCAGAGTCCCTCAATTTCCAGGGAAAAACGTGGAATAAACACGGAGAAATCTCCAAATATTTTCCCTGGCAGCCGTGGGATTTTGGATCCAATTGTTGAGGCTCCCACCCAGGGATGAGCTCCCACCTGCTGCAACTCCCTCTTGATTTTTTGGCTGGGGTCTCTCCCTCCTCTTGATTTTTTGGCTGGGGTCTCTCCCTCCTTTTGATTTTTCGGAATTGGCCTGTGGGGGGGGATTCTCCCTTTTTTTATTTCTTCAGAGTCCTGAGAGGGATCCTGAATCTTTTCCTGCCCCGGGATGAGCTGGGACTCAGCTCCAGCTCTCCCCGGTGCCAGCCTCAATTCCCAGCTCCGAAAGTCGATTTATCCCCTTGCAAATTCTGCCACGCTGAGTTGGTTGCCACGATGACCCCTGGAATTTTGGATTTTGGGGTGTCCCCGGAGCAGGATTTTGCATTGTCTTCCCCAGACAGGATTTTGGGGTGTTTCTGGAGCAGGAATTTGGGGTGTCCTCCCTAGGTTGATGCCTTCAGAAGGCTGAACAAAAACAGAGCTACCGAATAAATTATCTAATTATAAGTATATGATAATAAATATATATAAATAGAAATATAGATAAAAATAGCTATAATATAGATTATAATCTATTATATATGAATATACAATTATATTATAATTGGCTTATAATCTATGCAGCCCCGGGCTGTAGAAGGCTGGTGCTGCAGGGGAGGATGCTCAGGGTCCCCAAAATCCATCCAGAGGCTGGCACAGCCTCGGGCGTGGACGAAGGCAGTGGTGTCAGCGAAGAAAGGAGCCTGAAAAAAAAGGGGATTTCTGGAAAATTCATCAGAGAATGGAGGGCAGGAGGGAGCTGGGCCTGTCAGGAATCCGAGTCAAAGGCTTGTGAAAACAAAAGCGCCGAGAGAGGCCTCGGTCCTGGGCTGGGATGGGATGGGTCCCCAGGGGCTGGGATGGGGCTGGAATATCCTGCAGGGATGGGATGGGGCTGGAATGAATGGGATCCATCATCTTGCAGGGATCCATCATCCTGCAGGGATGGGATGGGGCTGGAATATCCTGCAGGGATGGGATGGGGTTGGAATTAATGGGATCCATCATCCTGCAGGGATGGGATGGGGCTGGAATTAATGGGATCCATCATCCTGCAGGGATGGGATGGGACTGGAATATCCTGCAGGGATGGGATGGGGCTGGAATGAACGGGATCCATCATCCTGCAGGGTTCCATCATCCTGCAGGGATGGGACAGGGATGGAACATCCTGCAGGGATGGGATGGGGCTGGAACATCCTGCAGGGATGGGATGGGGCTGGAATTAATGGGATCCATCAGGGATGGGATAGGATGGGAACATCCTGCAGGGCTGGGATGGGGCTGGAATGAACGGGATCCATCATCCTGCAGGGATGGGACAGGGATGGAACATCCTGCAGGGATGGGATGGGGATTGGACTTTACAGGAAGTTAGAAAGTTCTGGAATGTTCTGCCCGGGAGGTGGTGGGGTCACCATCCCTGAGGTGTTTCGAAAGCCTGGGTGAGGCACTGGGTGCCAGGCCTTGGTTGAGGTGTTGGGGCTGGGCTGGACTCGATGATCTCGGAGGTCTCTTCCAACCCAGAAATTCCCTGAATTCCAAGATTCCGCGATTCCGTGCTCGATGGGTTTTGGAAAAATCCTCCAAGCAGCAGCTAAGCTGGCATGACAGCAGCGAGGTGACCACAGGGCTGGGGGTGACCAACCATGGAGCTGTGGGTGACCACGGAGCTGTAGATGACCATGGACCCTGGATGACCACAGAGCTGTAGATGACCACGGAGCTGTGGATGACCATTGACCCTGGATGACCATGGAGAGCCGTGGGTGACCATGGAGCTGTGGGTGACCATGGAGCTGTGGGTGACCAACCATGGAGCTGTGGATGACCATTGACCCTGGACCCATGGACCAAGGCTGCAGGCAGCTCCGGATGACCACAGAGCTCCAGATGGCCACAGAGCTGTGGGTGACCATGGACCCTGGATGACCACAGAGCTGTGGGTGACCACGGAGCTGTGGATGACCATGGACCCTGGATGACCACAGAGCTGTGGGTGACCACGGAGCTGTGGATGACCATAGACCCTGGATGACCATGGAGCTGTGGGTGACCATGAAGCGCGAGAGCCTTCTACACCGGCAAGCAAACTTGTAACGAGTGTGTAAACCCGCACGCGAGGGCCGGGGACGAGAGCGAGAACCTTTTACACCGGCGTGCAAACACTTAACGAGTGTGCAACGCACACTCGAGGCCCGAGGCCGATCTGCCCCGCTCCGCCCCAGCTCCGCGATGCTCTCCTGCACCCCACGGCCCCGCGGCTTTTCCCGTGGGGGGCTCCACGCCCCATCCCCACGCGGAGCCGTTGGACACCCTCAGCAAACCCGAACAAAAGGCCGGCTCAGACTCGCTGCTGAATAGATTAACGAGATTTCCATAATTAGGGCGGGCGGGAACAATGGGATTCTCCCTGCCCAGCCCCCCCCGGCCGCCTTTGTCTTCTGCTGGGGAGAATGGGCAGCAGCCAGGGTGGGAACCGGCCCGGCCATTTGGTCACTGGACAGTAATTTTCTCACCCTGCCAAGGCGAGCATTGAAACATCTGTCCCGCTCCGCCGCCCTTTCACGTCCCATTTCAACCCTGACAACTCCTCCCTCCCCCGCTTCTCCCTGCGTTTTCCAGCTTTTCCATGGATTTTGAGGGTCTTTTTCTTGCTTCTTTAAGGGTTTCGAGCTTTCAAAGCTGTGCCTGTGCGTTCCCCCCCACGAGCGGCTCTGGATTTGGGATTGGGAATGTTGGTTGTGCTGGGTTTCCAGCCACACCCCAGGGTCTGGAGAAGCGATTCCATCCCTGGGTGTGTTTTTTTGCCGGTGTTTGAGCTGTGGGTCTCATCACCCCCATGGGCTGCTGCTCCCTGCCCCCAAAATCCCGGGAATGCCACTGGGATTTGCTGGTTGTGCTGGTGGCCAGCGGTGGCCAGACGCCTCCCCTGATGTCCCCAAATCCCCGAGCGCTGGACACTCGCAGCCTGACATCTCCAGGGGACAGGAGAGGCAGCAGCACTCTGTGAGGATTTGGGGTGGGATTCCATCCCCATGAGATTTGGGGTGGGATTCCATCCCCGTGAGGATTTGGGTGGAATTCCATCCCCATGAGGATGGTGAATGAGGAGCTGAGCGAGGATGGACACTCCTGGTGTTATAATTCCTTAAAAAAATATAAATACCAAGGAAAACACCTTGTTCATCCCACAAATCCTCATCCTCATTCCTCACAAACCAGCCAAATGCTCCTTTTTGCCTTTAGAGCTCCTGGGTGCCAAACCAGCCCCAGGGGCAGCTCCAGGAGGATCCCCTGTGCCTTTATCCACCAGGAGCACTTGGACAACGCCTGAAAATCCAGGAGTAGGAGGAGGAGGAGGAGGAGATCAACCCACAGGGGGCTGAATCCTCTGGTGGAAGCTCGATATCCAAAGTGGAAGCACAAGTGCCCCATAAATCAATTAAAGCATTAAATAATCTGATTGTGCAGAGCTGCGGGCTGCGAGGGAGCGGGGCAGGAGGTCCCCCCCCGACACCGCCCGAAATTATTGTTGTCACTGATAATGAAGGGATGGGAGCATGGCCAGCCTAGGAAGGATTTATTGCCCAGATAAACCTCAGAGGCTGTGAGATTTTAAAGGAGCAAGCAGTCGGTTGTAGTCACAAGTTTTTTCATTTTGAAGCAATATAAAACTTTCTAACTCAACGAATGGATGCTGCAAGGTTTATTTTGGTTTTCTGTCACTTTTACTTATTTCTGCTGTAGTGAGGGTGCTTTTAGGCTAATCATCTAAAGTCTAATAAGCTTCTGTCTCAGGTGTCTTGTTTTTATTATAGTTTGTTTTATATGCACGTTTGTTTTTATTATAACTTCTAAACTCTTAGTTTAGAATAAACTCTTAGTTTCTTCTATACCACCACACCCCATTAAAAACATTTCACCATCTTATTAACAATTTCTCACTTAGTTAAGGCATATTCTTACAAGAACTGTAGAAACATTATCAGAAACACAAGTTTATGATTTTTCTGCTAAATTGTACAATCGATTTTTCTGCTTAGTGGTGCAATTCTGCCTATTGTCTTTTCATCAATCCAAACCTCTCTTCAAGGCTCCAAATCAAAACTTTCCATGTCCGTGGAAGTTTTTGGTTGAAAATCAATCAAAACCTTCTGTGTCCGTGGAAGTTTTGGGTTGAAAATCGACCAAACCCTTCCGTGTCTGTGGAAGTTTTTGGTGTTTCCCATTCTCACACCCCGAGGCGCTGCACGTGCGGCTGGGAGGGGACAGTGTGGGTGGGGGGACACTGCCACCACCCTTGGGAGCCCATGGAGCAAGAGGCAGAGACACCAAGCTCAGCAGGAGGTGCCCGTGGCCAAGGAGGGTTTAGAGTGGAAGAATTCCTTCGCAGGAAGGAATTCCAACATGGGAAGCGTTGGATTGGACGTCAGGGACGTGGTGGTGTCACCATTCTCTGGTCTGGGTACGAGGACTGCTCAAAGCCTGGGTGATGCAGAAGGTCCTTGCTGACCTCGGTGGTCCTGTGGTCATCCAGATTTGGCTGGGGCAGGCGCTCACAGCCCGGGGGTGTGGTGGGGTCAGCACAGGGCAGCACAGCAGGATTTGGGGATGCCATGTGCGCCGCTGCCATTGCGCTGCTCTCACCCGCGCTCTCCCGTCCCCGCAGGTCTGTCGAAGATGCACTGGTCACCAGAGCATGCCCAGTCCCTGAACCAGTGGCCGGAGCAGCACCTGGACGTCTCCTCCACCACCTCCTCGCCGGCCCACAAGTCCGAGCTGTACCCCAGCACCCGCCAGCGCTTCAACTACGCCTGGGCCAACGACGACATCTCGGCGCTGACGGCCTCCAACCTCCTCAAGAGGTACGCCGAGAAGTACTCGGGGGTGCTGGACGCGCCCTACGAGCGCCCGGCGCTCGGTGCCTACGGCGATGGCGCCTTCGGCCCCGTTAACGGGCAGAAAGACGGCGAGCCCTGGCCGGGGGCGCACGGCTCTGACGGCTCCTACGCCCTGACTCCCATCCACGATGGCCTGGCGGGTGCCAAGGCCGTGGTGCCACCCGCCGTCCCCGCCGGCAGCGGGGCCATCGGGCTGGGCGGCTCCCCGGTGGTGTCGGCCAACCTCAGCGACGCCGTGTACGCCGGGAACTCCTGCGGGGCGGCCGCCGCCGGCTCCGGGGCGCTGGGGGCGTCTCAGGAGTACCCCTCAGGTTACGCTGGCACCTATTTGCCCTCCGGCTACTGCGCCCAGCCGCCGGCGGCGCTGCCCCCTCCGCACCCTCCCGGCCTGCACGGCTCCGGGCTCCTGCAGCCTCCGCACGCCTCGCCTGCCCTGGTGCCGGGCTACGGCTCCTCGGGCGCCGTGTACAACTACGCCGGCGGCGGCTACCCGCCCCAGCCGGGCTACGGGGGCATCCACCCGCCCCACCCCTCCGCCTCCTACCTGCCCTCGGGCATCGCCGCGCCCACCCCCATCCCGGCCCCGCCGCCCTCCGCCCGCCCGCCAGGGGTGCCCGGTTACGGCTACCAGGGCACCGGTCTGGGCACCCTGGCCGTGCCGCCCCTGGGCACCGAGGCGGCGGGCACGCTGAAGAGGAAGGCGTTCGACGCGGGCGGGGAGGACGACGGCGAGGGCAGGTACAGGAAATACAGCTATGAGCAGCCAAAATCCCCCTACCCCCTGTCGGACAACGGCGAGTGCCGGGGCAACGGCTTCAGCAGCAGCGGCGAGTCCCCCCAGGTGGCCTTCAAAGCCGGGAAGCGGCCGGCGGGCGCCGGCAGCGCCGAAGAACACGGTGGCAAGTACGGCGGGCAGCAGATGAAGGGGATGGTGTCACCGTCCTACGGCGCCAGGGACGCTCCCCTGCGGCCGGCGGAGCCCTTTGAGAAGTTCAGCCCCCCGCTCGCCAACGGGGAGCGGGCGGCTGAGCCGGGAGCCCCCTTCCCGCTGCGGCTGCCCCCCAAAGCTCTGGCGTTCGGCGGCGCCGCGCTGGAGGAGCAGCCCAAGAGCGTCGACCCGCTGCTGCTGGAGCTGGTCAACACCAAGGTGGTGGAGCGCGGCCCGCCGGTGCAGTGGGCGGACGTGGCCGGGCAGACGTCGGTGAAGGCGGCCATCGAGGAGGAGCTGCTGTGGCCCATCCTGCGGCCGGGCTCCTACAGCGGCGCCGGGCACCCGCTGCGGACCCTGCTGCTCTTCGGGCCCCGCGGCACCGGGAAGACGCTGCTGAGCCGCTGCATCTCCACCCAGCTGGGCTCCACCCTGCTGCGGCTCAGCGGCGCCGCGCTGCTGTCCACCTGGAAGGCCGAAGCCGAGAAGATCCTCCAGACCGTGTTCTTCGTGGCCAACTGCCGGCAGCCCTCCGTGGTGCTCATCACCGAGGCCGAATCCTTGCTGGCGGCGCGGGCGGGCGAGGACGGCGGCCAGGCGAGCAACCTCAAATCCCAGCTGCTCTCCTACCTGGACGACGTGGCTACCTCATCCGAGCGCGGCGTGGTGGTCATCGGCACCACGGCGCGGCCCGGCAGCATGGACGAGGCGTCGCACCGGCGCTTCGGCACGCGGCTGTACGTGGCGCTGCCGGACGGCGAGGCGCGGCGCCACATCCTGCGCCAGGCCCTGGCGCAGCAGAGCTGCCGCCTGAGCGAGCGCGAGCTGGCGGCCCTGGCGCAACGCACCGAGAGCTTCTCCGGCGCCGAGCTGCTGCGCCTCTGCCAGCACGCCGGGGTCGCCGCGCGCCGCGCGCTGCCGGGACCCCCCGCCTCCTACCAGGAGCTGGAGAAGGCGTTCTGCAAGGTGCGCCCCACCGTGTCCCAGAAGGAGCTGGACTTGTTCCTGGAGTGGGATAAGATGTACGGCACCAGGCACTGATGGGGGTCGGACCCCGAGGCCATGGGGACAGACCCTAAAACTGTGGGGACAGACCCCAAAACTCTGGGGACAAACCCCAAGGCTGAGGACAAACCCCAAGGTTGCAGGGATGGACTCCAAGGCTGTGAGGACAGACCCCAGAGCTGTGAGGAGAGACCCCAAAGCTGTGAGGACAGACCCCAAGACTGAGGACTGACCCCAAGGCTGCAGGGACAGACCCCAAAGCTGTGGGGACTAACCCCAAGGCTGCAGGGACAAACTCCAAAGCCATGGGTAGGGACCCCAAAGCTGTGGGGACAAACTCCAAGGCCTCAGGGACGGACCCCAAAGCTCCAGGTATGCACCCCCAGGCTGTGGGAACGGACCCCAGGGCCACAGGGATGGACCCCAAAGCTGCAGGGATGGACCCCAAAGCTGCAGGGACAGACCCCAAAGCTGCAGGGATGGACCCCAAGGCCATGGGGACAAATCCCACACCTGCAGGGATGAACCCCAAGGTTGCAGGGGCAGACCCCAAATCTGTGAGGACAGACCCCAAAGGTGAGGACAAACTCCAAACCTGCAGGGACGGACCCCAAAGCTGCAGGGACAGACCCCAAAGTTGTGAGGATGGACCTCAAGGCCATGGGGACAAATCCCAAACCTTCAGGGATGGACCCCAAAGCTGCAGGGATGGACCCCAGAGCTCCAGGTGTGGACCCCAAGGCCATGGGGAGAGACCCCAAAGCTGTGGGGACAGAACCCAAAGATGAGGATGGACCCCAAGGCCATGGGGACAGACCCCAAAGCCACGGGGACAGATTTGGGGCATGCATTGGGGTCCGTGGGGGCTCTGCCTCTCTCGGTTTGTCCGGATCCCTCACCGCCTCTCCTCGGGGCATTTCCCCGCCGCGCTCCTCGCCCAGCGCTCAGGATAAACTAATTTATTATTTCCTGCCCCTCCGTGCCCGGAGCGGCGGCGCCAGCGGGGTTTTGGAGGTGTTCCGGAATGTTCCGGCACGTTCTGCGATGTTCTGGGATGTTCCAGGATGTTCAGGGACATTCTGGGACATTCTGGGACATTCTGGAACATTCCAGGACGTTCCTGGTGTTGGGATCCGCTCCAGCGCCTGATTCCGGAGCTCCCCAAAGCTTTATCGTCGATTTATTTTTTTTTTTAATTGTTTGATTTTATTATTGCCAACAAAAATACCTCGGGTGTCTTCGGAGCCCCTTCGCGCCTCAGTCAGGGAAAGGGGGAGGTGGGGGAGAGGCCCAAAATTCGGGAATTTCACCCCAAAACAAGGAAAACACACCCCAAACCAATGGGTTACACCCCAAAACCAGCGGGTTTTGGAGGAAAATGCTGTAGATTGTTGAATATCCTAGACTTGGGTTTTTATTTTTGTAGTATTTTGTTTGTTTGTTCGTTCGTTTTTCTTTTTTAACTACTCAGGAAAAAAGAATTACCTCAGAAAAAACTGAAGAATGTTTTTTTTTTAAAAACACTTTTTATCTTCTCAGAAAAGGAAAAAAAAGATTTTTTTTAAAGAGTTTTTCCGACCTGGGACAAAGCTGCCTCCTGCGTTTGCTTCCAAAGGGGGTGAAGGAAGGAAGAAATAAAAGGAAAAAAAAAAAATAAACTTGAAGCTGTAACAAAGATGAAATTTGAATGTATTTCAGGTGCTTTCCACGTATATTATGCCATAATTTTATTTGAAAATTTTTGTTTTCTTAACACCGTTTCTCGTAGCGTTTGGTGGAGTAACGTGTCTTCAACGGAAAGTTTCGTGCTGTAGCTCGGGAGCTGTCGCTGGCACCACTTTTTGGAGCAAATTGGGCAAATTTCCCCCTCTTCCCCCTCAAAAAATAAAAATAAATAAAAAAAAAAAAAATAAAAATAAAAGCCAGTGGGGCTGAGCGAGGGGCTTTGCATAGAGTATGACCCCCCCCCCCCAGCCCATCTGGCCCCTCTTTGCATCCTGGTGGGGGTTTTCCCCATCTCAAAAAAAATACAATTTTTATTATTTTTAATGCTCTAAAGCCCCCCCAGCTTAGAGCAGCTCCCCCAAACCTCAGGGTCTGCGCGTGCAGAGAGAAAAAATCCCTCAGGGGGCTCCCCCCAAGGTGTCTGCCAGGTTTTTTCCCAATTTTTTCTAAATTTTTCCCAAATTATTCCCAAAATTTCCCATTTCTTCCCAATTTTCCCACAGTTTCCCAATTTTTCCCAAATTTTCCCCAATTTTCCCCCAATTCTCCCCATTTTTTCCCCAATTTTCCCCAATTTTTCCCAATTTGTCCCAGTTTCCTATTGCATCCAGGGCATTACCCCTTTGCCTCCCACCTCCAAAAAGTCGTGCTGGCTTCCTGAAGACTTTATTATTAATTATTATTAATTATTATTATCCTATTTGTACCCTCTCTGTAACCATTTCTACCTCATTTTTTGCAACGTATTGTACACGAAAGTATTTAATTCATGTCTGAGACAGACGAGCTCTAGGGCTGGGATGGTCTACCTCAAGAAATGCTGTATTTTAAAAAAAAGGAAAAAAAAAAAAAGAAACCAGAAAAAAATAGAATATTTCACAGTATTAAAGAGATTACCTGAAAAAATTCCTGTTCTTGGGGTGCTGCAGGAATTCTGGGGGGGGGTTTGGGAATCCAGGGGATTTGGGAAGGGTGGGGATGAGGTGGGAAGGTGGGATGGGATGGTCAAGCTCAAGAAATCAAGAAATGCTGTATTAAAAAAGAAAACAAACAAACAAAAAAAAAAAGGAGAATATTACACAGTATTAAAGAGAACTCCTGTCCTTGGGGTGCTGCAGGAATTCTGGGGGGGATTTTTGGGAGTCCAGAGGGGTTTGGGAAGGGGTAGGGTTGAGGTGGGAGGACGGTTTGGGATGGTTGACATTAAGAAATACTGTATTCAAAAAAACCCAAAAAACCAACCAAAAAAAAAACCCAAAAAAAACCCCAAAAAAGAGAGAATATTACACAGTATTAAAGAGAATTCCTGTCCTTGGGGTGCTGCAGGAATTCTGGGGGGTCCTGGGGGTGGGGAGGGGGGGCAGGCGGTTTTTGGGACCCCGGAGGGTTTGGGGAGGACGGGGAAGGACGGGAGGGTGGGCAGGGCTCAGGGGGGGCACTTGGGGACCCCCTGGTTGGATCCGATTTTTTTTTTTTGGGGGGGGATCCCCGAGGGGAATAAAGGCCGGGAAGTGACCCGGGACAGGGAACTCGGCCTGGAGCTGCTCTGTGAGGTCAGCGCGGGGTTCCACGTTCGGGGCGCAGCCCGAAACGCAGCGAACCCCCGGTGGGCACCCCCGGGCGATGCTGGCACCGCTGGGCACCGCGCTGCCGCTGCTGCTGCTGCCGCTGATGCTGATGCTGATGATGATGCTGATGCTGCTGCTGCTCCTGCTGGCCGCGGGCGGCCGCGCCGGGGACTCGGTGGCCGCCGCCGTGGGCCCGCACAGCGTGTCCCGCATCGCCGAACTCCTGGCCAGCCCCGAGTGCCGCCGGCTGCAGGAGGAGCTCAGCGGCCCCGAGCAGCCGCCGGACGAGCCCGAGGCCACCCGGCAGGAGGAGGAGCTCGCCCGCCGCCGCCGGAGGGGCAGCGATGCCCGGGGATGCTCGGAGGAGCTGCGGCGCTGGTTGGAGACCTGGGGCCAGGCCACCACCTGGGACCGCCTGGTGCGAGCCCTGCGCCGCATCGGGCGCTCGGACATCGCTCGGGAGCTGGGCAAGAACCTCAACCAAGACCGGCGGCTGGAGCTGCGCAGGAACGTGGAGGGCTACCGGAGGAGCGTTCAGCATCTCAGCTCGGCGCAGCTGCGGCCGCCGGGGCTGCGGGCCAGGAGGGCTCCGCTGGCCGGGGCGCTGCTCTTCCAGCGCCGCCCGCCGCCCCGCTACAGCCGCGGGCTGCTGGGCTGGGTCCGCCCGGTGCTGCTGGGCGTGCTGGGAGCCTTCCTCGGCTCCGGGGTGCTCGCGGGCACCGCGATGTATTTCTGCCACTGGAGGAGGCTCCTGGGTGCCTGAGAACCCCAGGAGCTGCTAAACGGAAAAGGGGACTCAGTAAAGGTTCGTGGGGTGATTTTCATCCAAAATCGGGCTCTGTGTGATCTCTTGGGCTCATCCTGGGAGCCTTCCTCGGCTCCGTGATGCTTGCGAGCACCGCGATGTATTTCTGCCACTGGAGGAGGCCCCTGGGCACCTGACGATCCCAGGAGCTGTGGGAGTTGGAAAAAAAGACCCAGTAAAGGTTCGTGGGGTGATTGGCATCCAAAATCGGGTTCTGTGTGTTCTTCTGGGCTCATCAAGGGCTCATCTTCAGCTCCGTGATCCTCACAGGCACCACCATGTATTTCTGCCACTGGCGGAGGCTCCTGAGCTCCTGATGCTGGTGTGGCACCAACCTGGGCAGCTCCCAGGAGCTGCTGAACGCAAAAAAAGACCCAGTAAATTTTCATGGGGGAATTGGTATCCAAAATCGGGTTCTGTGAGATCTCCTAGGCTCATCCTGGGGTCATCTTCAGCTCCGTGATCCTCACAGGCACCGCGATGTTTTTCTGCCACTGGCGGAGGTTCCTGGGCACCTGAGGATCCCAGGAGCTGCGGGAATTGGAAAAAAAGACCCAGTAAAGCTTCGTGGCGGGGTTGGCATCCAAAATCGGGCTCTGTGTGTTCTCCTGGGCATCCTGGGAGCCTTCCTCGGTTCCCCATCCTCACCTGCCCAAAACCCCCATCCTCACCTGCAGGGCCAAGCCACCTGACACCTTCGACACCAAAATCTGACACCTTCAACACCAAAATTTGACACCTTCCACACCAAAACCTGACACCTTTAACACCAAAATTTGACACTTTCAATACCAAAACCTGACACCTTCAATACCAAAATGTGACACATTTAACCCCAAAATCTGACACCTTCAACCCAAATTTTAGAGGTGGGGGAGTGGAGGAACTCCTTGGTTTGGTTGTGAATTTTGGCTCCACCTCCCTAATGACTCCACCCTCTTAATTTCCTCCCAAAACCCCAAATCCAGAACAATTCCATGAAAAAAATTCCATGAAAAATTCGGGACAAATCCCTGAGGCTTTTTACCCAAAACTTCCGCCAACTTTTGCTTCACCCAGCGCAAAAGCACCCAAGAAAATCCCCCATGAATGCCCCAAATTTCTTTTTTTTTGAGCAGAAAATTGCAAAACCTCCTCCCTCCCTTTCCTGCCGCATCTGAAAATGACAAAATATTAAAAATAAATAAAAATATTCAGAGTTGGAAGGGATTTTTTATTGGAAAGTCGTTGAGCAGCTTCATGAGTTGCCAGCACAAACGCCAACGCACCGAGCCTAAGGACAATTATGAAATTTCAGCCAAATCTTGCATAGAAGTGGTCGACTTATTGCACATTGGAACCCAAAAAATAACATTTTTTTTTTGCTGCTGCAAATACCACTTGCAATAAAGCTTTTGTTAAAATCTATTTTGAAGGGTTTGGGATTTTGTTTGGAATTTTTTCGTGTTTTTTTGTTCCCTTTTGGGGGGCATTTCCTGGCTATCTAAAATCTAAGGAGAACAGAAAAGTCTTAAAAAAATAAAAATAACCATGGACAATGGCATAAGCCAGAAGCCATTCTATAATTTTTTTTGTAGTTCTTTTTGTATTTACAAAAAGGCATGCCAATAAAATAAAATGATATATTACAGTATTTATAATATTCTCTTAAAAAGTTCAACCACACTTTTCAGCTATTTTTTTTCCTTTTTTTTTTTTTTGGTTTTTTTATTATTTTTTTGTGCTGTTTACAACGTAGCCTGTACAATATGTATTTTTGTTGTTGTTGTTGTTGTTTTATTTGTTGTTATTTTTATTTTTTGTACATCCCATCCTGGGAGATGCCAAGGTGGCACAGATGGCTGCTGGATGGCTTCCTGCTTGGGTTTGGTTGATTTTGGGTGATTTTTGGCGTTTTTTGGGTTTGTGGGATGATGAAAAATGAGATTTCATCCTCCCATTGAGCTCTGGTCTATTTGGTTTTTGTTTTTATTTTGCATTTGTATTTTATTCTTTATTTTTATATGGGGCCCAAAACCCGCCAGGACCCCATGGTCCAGCTCTGCACCCCCAAAATTCCTCCTGGTCACCCCCAAGGGCCATTTTGGAATATAGGTTTTGGATTTTTGGAATTTAGGTTTTGGAATTTGGCATTTAGGTTTTGTATTTACAGTTACATGGATAAAAAGCCATTTTCCCAAATTTATCCTCTCCCTTTTGGCGAGATCCAGAGCAGCATTTTGGAGTTTTGTTCTGTTTCAATGTGCAAAAAAAACCCAAAAAAAAAAAAAATACAAACCATGGCTGTATGGAAAAGAAAATCAAAGTCATCAAACGGACACACACAATTCATTCACCTCTTGTTCTGGTGGGGTTTTTTGTGGGTTTTTTTGAGGTTTTGTTGGGTTTTGAGCATCACTAAAGGTTTTTCGCAGTGGAGTGCCTGGAATTTATGGCTTAAAACATCTCTGTGGCCAGGTGAGTGCATGTCCCCTGCTTGTGGTTCCTCATGCATGGTCCCTGCTCATGCCATCATGCAAAAATCTGCCAAAATCTGCCAAAATCGCTTCTAGTTAATGAGCACTTTTTGGTTTTTTTGGGGGGGCTGGCTCCAGGCTGAAGATACCCGACTCCCCCATCTCCCAAACCAAGAAAAGCCCATGTAGGAAGTAGAGTGTAAATAATAAATCTCAAATAATAAATCTCAAATAAATAAACTATGGTAGCTCGGTGGGCTTAATGGGTGCTTTGTTTCTTTTTTTTTCCTTTCTTTTTTTTTTTGCTGCTTAACTAAATGCAAATCTAGTTTTGCATGAACGAACCCACTGACATTGTGACTTCTGGGTTTTCCTTCTGAGAATAACCAAGAAAATGGGAAAATAAAATCCACTTGGGGCTGCTTTGGAAAAGAAGTGAATCCCAGCAGCGGGTTTTGTTTTTCTGGGTGTGGTTTTTTTTTGTGTGTGTGTGTGTGTGTGGTTTATTTTGCTCGTTTGTCCTAAGTTGCATTGACTGATGTGGAACATGCAGTATCCACCTGCCCAAACAATAGAAAATCCTTTTTTTTTCCTTTTTTTTCCTGGCGTTTCCTTTGTTTACAGGGTCCTTTAAACAGGTGGAAGGTCACTGCTTTAGATGCAACGCTGTCACACGGTAAGCAGACTAAGTTTGGTATAAGATCTTCAGGTAAGTGTCTCCACAGCTCTTCTGTATTGATATATTTCAGGAAGTTTGTAAACAATTTTTTAAATATTTTCCTTTTTTTTTTTTTCCACTTGCAAATATTTTAATTCTACTATTTTTTTTTTTGTTAATTTTGTTTTTTCTCTGTGTGTGTGTGTTCGTGTTCGTGTGTGTGTCTCAACACTTGGCCACCCTGGCGTCCTTTTGTCTCTTTGCCTTTTCTCTCCTGCCCTCCTCCGCCCGTTGCTGTTTCTCCTTCTCGGGTTTGGTGACGCTGTCGTAGGACGGCAGCGACGCCGTGGACGGCGTCCCCTCCTTTTTCTCCCGGGTTGCTCCCCCGTTCTCCAGTTTGGTGGTGGCGGTGGCCGCCCTTCGGCCGACGAAGCCGCGCCGCGCCAGACGAGCCCGGTACGCCCTCTGGATCACCACCGCCGACACCTCCTCCTGCTTGCGCCGCAGCGTGGTGGTGATGGGCTCGTAAGACACTTTGGAAGGGTTGGACGCCACGAACCTCTCCTCCATCTGCTGCCTCAGGATATCCAACTCCCCGCTGTCCCCCAGGACGCGTTTGGTGAAGGCAAAGAGGATGTCCAAACAGTGGATCCTGTCCCCGCTCACCATGGGCAGGTCCATGGCGATGAGTTCGATGGTGTTGGGTTTGGGGACGCGCAAGGGGTGCTCCAAGGCGTCGGCGAAGTCCGCCAGCTTGCTGTACTCGATGAACTGCGTGGCGTCGGGGTCGAACTTCTCCCAGATCTCGTAGAACGTCTCGAAGTCGTCCTCGCTGAGCGGATCCGCGCTCTCCTCCGTGGCCACGCTGAAGTTCTCCAGGATGATGGCGATGTACATGTTGACCACGATGAGGAAGGAGATGATGATGTAGCTGACGAAGAAGAAGATCCCCACCGAGGGGTTGCCGCAGTCGCCCTTGAAGCCGCTGCCAGGGTGCTCCTTGTCCAGGTCGCAGTCGGGCGGGCGGTTGAGGATGGGCAGCAGGAGCCCGTCCCACCCCGCCGACGTGGTGATCTGGAAGAGGCAGATCATGCTGTTGCCAAAGGTCTCGAAGTTGAACATGTCGTCGATGCCGGCCTCGTGCTTGACGTAGGCGAAGTTGGACATGCCGAAGATGGAGAAGATGAACATGACGAGGAAGAGGAGGAGGCCGATGTTGAAGAGGGCGGGCAGGGACATCATCAGGGCGAAGAGCAGCGTGCGGATGCCCTTGGCGCCCTTGATCAGGCGCAGGATGCGGCCGATGCGCGCCAGGCGGATCACGCGGAACAGCGTGGGCGACACGAAGTACTTCTCGATGATTTCCGCCAGGAACATCCCTGCGGGGACAGGCAGCGCGGGGGACAGGGTTTGTCACTTGAATTATACAATTATTTTGTGTCTAATTGCAATTAAAGCCCCCTAAAATAAACTAAAAAGCACAATAAGTGCGTTACATAAAACCCCCCTGTATAGCACTTAAAAATTCTTCTTTTTACTTTGTGACTATTTTTACTATAACATTTAAACTTCTGTGACCTCTTGTTGTTTTTTTTTGTAAGGTTGGTAAATCATTCTATGGTTTAGATTTTAAATCACAGCTGTTTTCAGCTGCTTGCCAGGGTCTCAAATGCTTCTGACTTGGACCCAGAACATCCAAAAAATGTCTGAGGGACATTTTGAGTTCCCACATGAAGCCTTCTGAAAGTGGAGCGTGCGTCCACGACGACCTCCAGGACTTACCCACGATGGACAGGATGACCACCACGAAGTCGAAGATGTTCCAGCCGATGGTGAAGTAGTAGTGCCTCAAGGCGAACATCTTCAGCACGCACTCGCAGGTGAAGAAGATGACAAACACAAAGTTGATCCAGTAAAGGATGTCCTCCATCTGCTTGCTCTGCGTGTCCGTCTCCACCATCATGGTCACCATGTTGAGGCAGATGAGCATCATGATGACGATGTCGAAGGCTTGCTGGGTGACGAAGTCGAAGACGGCTCCTTGGATGCGGTTCTGTGGAGCAGGGGAGACAAGGAACCGAGTCTGAGCAACCACCATGAAGTGTGGAATGGCTGGACTGGAAATGTCCTTCAGGTGATCCCATTCCACCCTCTGGCCTGTCCAACCTGGCTTTGGATACTCCAGGAGCAGGAGAAACGAGGAACCGAGTTTCAACAAGAACCATGGAGGTGGTTGTTGGTTTGGACATGGAATGGTCTGGACGTGGAAAGGTTTGGCACCACCCCAGCCCCAGCAGAGGATGACTGATCCAAACAGCACCTAAAGGACTCCACCCAACCCCTTTTTTTGGGGGTTTTTGAGGGATCCAAAATCTTTGAGAAATCCAGGAGATGAGCTCAGTTCTCCACCATCGAAGCCCTCAAGGCTGGATGGCCACCAAAGGTTCTCCTGTGAGTTCCAGGAGGTTCCTCCACCCCACCAGGGAAATTTTGGCATTTCTTGATTCAGATGATGATGAAAACCAACCCCAGGACAAATTTTCACCTCGGCAGGTGACACCTGAGTCACGGGGACAAAACCAAGGGGATGCTGAAGCCCAACATGAGTCGGAAAATTTTTTTTTTTTGAGAAAAAAAAGCTCTTTTGAAATCCACTCCAGAGCTTTGTCTCTCATCTACTCACCAGAGGTCGGGGGATGGGTTTTTGGGGCTTCTTGGAGCCCAGTTTTTTCATGGCATTGTAATATTTCTTCTGTTCTTCTGTCATGAAAATATCCTGACCTCCAAAGTAAAGGGGAAAAAGGAAAAAAAACTGGTTACAATCAGCCCATGAAGCAGTTAAAAAGGACTGGTTTGCCTAGAAATTGAAATAGAGGAGATTAATATTCCCTATAAATTGAAATTTATAGGAAATTAAAACTTCCTATAAATGAAATTTATAGGAAATGAAAACTGTATTTAAGTCATTAAAAAAAACCCTAAAATGCACAAAAATCCACGGAAAATGTTTAATTTGGTACTTTAAACCAAGCCTTGGGTCACTTATCTTTTTCTTTTGTTGGTTGAAGTTGTCGATGATGACACCAATGAAGAGGTTCAGGGTGAAAAAGGAACCGAAGATGATGAAGATCACAAAATAAATGTACATGTAAATGTTGTCTTCGTACTTGGGCTGCTCTTCTTGCTGAAAGGGAGAGAAAAATAACAAAAAAAAAAAAAAAAAAAAAAAAAAGACATTTCAAAGACATCCTAAAAACACAGGCAAAATGAGACTGGTTGGGTTCGCAAACTATCAAAGATCAAAAAGCAGATGAATATTTTTATTTTTACACTTTCCTAGCACAGCCATACTTGTTTCAAAGCTGCATTCAGTGCAGGATAAAAAAAAAAAACATTTAAAAATAGATTAAATTAAATTAAATTAATTTTTTTTTTGTTACATATAAAACCCATGAGAATAGAAATGGGGGGGAAAATTGAAAACAAAAAGGAAATTGTGGCAATTTTCCAGCATGCAAGAAGCAGAAAAGTGCCTGAGGAATGAATTCCAACCCAGACATAATTCCCGAATCCATAATTCCCGAATCCATAATCCATAATTCCTGAATCCATAATTCCTGAATCCATAATTCCTGAATCCATAATCCACAATTCCAGCTGTGATGCTCAGACTTCCATGTAGACATAAAATTCATGGCTAATTCCTCCCCATTTTTATTTTAATTATTAAATGTATAATTCACTGTATTCTACTCCTATTTTTGGGGTTTTTTTCCTATTTTTTTTTCTATTTTTTTTTATTTCTACTCCTATTTTTTTTTCTACTTTTTTTTTGTTGTTGTTGTTCTACTTCAACTGCAGTTGGAATAGAACAAAAAAACCCAACTTTTTGAACCCACCCTTTTTGGGATTTCTTCAGCATCTTTGAACTCATCAGAGCCCCCCTGAGCAAATGAAACCATCCCAGAATTCCAGAATTAAATATTTGATACAAATAAAATTCTGCAATTTTCCCTCTGGATTTTAGCCAAGGAAAAGATGGAAATAAGGGGATTTGGGGATTTTTGCAGGTTACCTTTCTGGAATCTACAGCTGCATACATGATGTCCATCCAGCCCTTGAATGTAGCCTGGCAAAGAAAACACAAAATTCACCCAAAATATCAGAATTAAAACATAGGATTCACTCAAAATATCAGAATTAAAACACAGGATTCACCCAAAATACCAGAATTAAAACACAGGATTCACCCAAAATATCAGAATTATGCCAGGGACTCCCTGCCACTCTTGATGTCCCTGTAGAATAAACTTTAATATTATTTTAATATTTCTCTTTTTGAACCTCACGAGGCTGAGGAGGGGATTTGGGGCCCTTTCTTGAGATCCATCAATTAGGGAAGAGAAGAAATAAAATGTGGCAAATTCATTACAGCCCCAACCCCTCAGTTTGGAATAATTTAATGGGGGATGCATCTCCAACCCCTCATTTTGGGATATTTTAGAGCTCCAGCCCCTCAGTTTGGGATATTTTAGAGGGGGATGCATCTCCAACCCCTCAGTTTGGGGTATTTTAGTGCTCCAACCCCTCAGTTTGGGATATTTTAGAGCTCCAACCCCTCAGTTTGGGATATTTTAAAGCCACAAACAGCAGAAACCCAAACTTACAACTTGCAGCAGAGCCAGATATCCTGCCCCGACGTTGTCAAAGTTAATTTTCACGTTCTTCCAGCGGATCTCCGTGGAGTTGGGCGGCATCAGCGCCTCGCAGTCTGTCTTGTTGTTTACAACCTCTATCTCAAAGCGATGCTCAGCTGTTTCATTAAAGCAGTAATGATATTTCCCGGCAAACAGGTTAACCCCCATAATGCTGAAAATCAGCCAGAAGATAAGGCAGACCAACAAGACATTCATAATGGAAGGGATAGCGCCAACCAAGGCATTGACAACCACCTGTGTTGGAAGGGGTGGGAAAAAGTTTCAGTATAAAACACGAGGCAGGAGACTGCAAGCATCAGTACGGCCGGATTTTGGGGGGAATGGGGGAGAGGCCGCTGGCACGTCGGGGGTTAATCCAGGCGGGATTGGGAAGGGAATTCCAAACCACCCAGGGAGGATCTGTTGTCAAAATAGGTGGTTGAATTATGGGTGTGATAATGTATATTTTGTATTGTGTATTATGTATTATATATTATATATGGCATATTATATATTATGCGCTGTATATTGTATATTATATATTGTATATTACATATTATTTATTATATATTGTATATTATATATTTCATATCATATATTGTATATTATATATTTCATATTATATATTGTATGTTATATATAGTATATTATATACTTCATATTGTATATTGTGTATTGTATATTATATATTGTATATTACATACTGGATAGTGTATATTACATATTGTATATTGTATATGGTATATCCTATATTCTAGATTATCTATTTTGTATTTTATATTATGTTACATACTATCTATTGTATATATTATGTATTATATATTACATATTATATATTATACATTCTATATTGCATATTATATAGTATATATTATACATTATACATGATATATTATATATTATATATGCTATATTACATGTAATATTCATTATACATCATATGTCAGCTATTCTATATTCTATATTCTGTATTCTATATTATATATTATACCTCATATGTCAGCTATTATATATTGTATATTCTGTATTCTATATTATATATTATACATCATATGTCAGCTATTATATATTGTATATTCTGTAGTCTACATTCTATATAATATATATATATTATATAATACATATAGATTTCAAAATAATTTTTCAAGCCCCGTTGTTGGCTTTATGGCGTCTGCACTCTCTGCTTTTCACCAAACACTGAAATATTGAATTGCCCAAAGACAGAAGTGGGGCTGCGACCAAGGGGCTCCTGATGGAATTTCCTCAGAGCCGCCTGCGGGGCCCCAAAAAATTGAGTTTTTTTGGGATTTGCTCGGCCTCTCCAGCCATTCCCCCGTTCCAACCGAGCCGTTTTCACTCGGGGCCTGGCCCTGCTCCGGCGCGGGCTCAGGACCAAGCCCAGCATCACTGAGGCACGGACGGACACCGAGATCATCCAGCGGCCGCAGCCGTGCCCGGGCGGAGCTGGGCATGCACCCGGCGGGCGTGCCGGGACACCAAAGCCACGTTCCTCCTCCAAAGGGCAGCCAACGAGGCTGGGTTGGGTCACCATGGGTTGGGTCACACAGGGATTGGTCACAGAGGGTTTGGTCACAGAGGGTTTGGTCACAGAGGGTTTGGTCACCATGGGTTGGGTCACAGAGGGTTTGGTCACAGCGGGTTTGGTCACAGCGGGTTTGGTCACAGAGCTCGTCCCTTCCCGATTTTAGCTTCTCACTCTGTCCTTCACCATCCCTGACCAACATGGATATGAAACCATTAATTAGGATCTCCTAATTTACATTCCTTTGATGGATCAACATCATCTGAACTATCCTGACCCCTCTGCCTCAGTTTGGAAAGGAATCTCAACCACACACGGGGACGTGGGAGGTCTCAAGGGTGGAACCATGGCCACAGCTTGTCCTGGTCACTTCTTCTCCCCTTGCTGGAAGCCACCACCACCATGTGGCCACCACCAGAGCAGCTCGTGGCCAGCTTGGGCTGGGCTTGGGACTTCTGGACTGCTTCTCTAGGAGGTCTCCTGGTCACTTCTCGTCCCATGGCCACCACAGCAACTCAGGGCCAGCTTGGGCTGGGCTTGGACTTCTGGGCTGCTGGGAGGAGTTCATGGGGTGGGACTGGGTGGGTTTTAAGGTCCCTCCCAACCCAAACCCCTCTGAGATAAGAGGAATGGAGGCAAACTGAAGACCACGGTGGTGCCGATGGTGAATCTTCTGTTCCAGCTGGTGAAGGATGCCAGGAGTTCATCCCCATGCCCAGGACAGCACAGGTGAGAGCCCCAAAAATATCTCTGCTCTCAGTCTCCCTTCATCCCAAAATGATGCTCAGCTGCTGGACCAGCAGCACTTTTTGGGTTCCATCCTCCTACAAATTGATTTATTCCAGCTACCACATGAAGCAAAAATAAGAAAGGGCAACATCCTCCTGAAATATAGTAATTTTTGGTCCACTAAATCTACAGAACTTTGCAGAAGGAGTGACAGGAGGAACGTGGCTTTCGTGTGCAGGCTGACAAGAACACATGCACGTCTCACAGCGTCGCTGCCAAACTCCCCGGCCGAGCTCCGAGCACAGCAAGCTCCTGGAAATGCAGATTGCCATGGAGGAGAGAAAAGCAAAGAACTCCAGGTTCAGTCTCCTTCGAAAAGGCTTTTCAGATCTCTGAAATTCTCTGGTTGGACGGGGCACTGACACTTGTCCCCAAAAGAAATCGGAAAAAGAACAGAATTTGGTCTAGGCAGCTGACAGGGCTGCACTTGTAATGTTGCCCTGATTTTTGAAAGCGTTAAGTTTTCTTTTACAGTTCTTTTGAAAGTTTTAAAGTTCTCATGAAACTTTTTTAGCCTTCTGATAACGTTTACATATTTCTACTAGAGTTCTCTCACGCTATTCATGTAAATAATTATGGTTTTGTATTCTTTGTGGAAGGAGAGAATTGGCAGACTGGTTTGACCAGTGTGGTTGGAAAAGTAACAATTTCATCCTCCAATCCACTGTCACTTTTAGAATTCTATATATTGCAAAGTAAAAAATAAAATTGGCTCTTTCTCTCTTAAACTCACCAAACTTCTGTATACTCATTTTGTGCCCAATAAAAACAGTTGTAACTATCAATTTTCCCATGGTGAAAATCCCCCACTTTGAGCACGAGAAATTCCTGATTGTACATCAGAAATCTTCTCCCTAATGTGGTTTAAAATTAGCTTTTAGTTTCTCCAGGTTTGGTGCCAGGCCTGTTCTTTGTGATCAAATTTCTGGGTGGGACCCAAACCCAGCCCAGCAAAAGCTCCACCTTTGCGTGAGCGGAATTTTTTCCATTTGAATGGAAATTTTCAATTTTCAATTGCTCCAGAAGGATCCAGGTGGAATTCCTCCACTCAAACCCTGAGGTAAAACTGATTCTGTCATTCCCTTCCTTATTTTATTATTTAAAATATCTGATTTTCTCTCTGCTTATGAGCTAACTGGGATTTAGCACCAAACCCCACATTTTGTTCTAAGAGCACCTGGGAAATCCACTGATGCGAAACACCCTTTATTTCATTTTTTTACTGCACAATTTATTTTTTTTTTGTGTGTTCTTAGGAGACTCATTCAACCCCAAACGGGGGGGAAAAAAAAGCACCAAAATATCAAATATTAGTGGCAAAGCAGCCAGACTGCAATAATTGAAACGCTGAGGGAGTTTTGCCAATTCAAGCTCAAGTTCAATGCTTTGCTTGTGCTTTGTTCTGGTTCCAGAGCGACAGGACAGGGACCAAAAAAGCGTGGAAAAAAGGAAAAGGGGACAGAAAGGAAAAGTTTCACTGCTGGACAAGGCTGCCAGTCACCAGCAGACTGGACTGAGAACAACAAGGTGCAACAAGAGGAATGAAACCAAATTTTTCAAAGAGCTGAGCTCCCCCCGTCCCTTCCTGCAGTGACCCACCAGAGGCAGCAGCATTTTCCCTCCCCAAAAAAAAAAAAATTTAAAAAAGCTTTTTTTTTTTTTCTTTTTTTCAAAACCCCCTCCGAGACAAAATCTTTCGACCCAACCCCACCAAGAGCCAAGACCTGCAGACCCTGAGGTGGTTCCAATTCTGCTTCTTTTGCACCTGGTGATTCTCCCTAGATTTAAAAAACAAAAACAAAAAAAACTAAAAAAAACCAAAAAAGTTACAGCTGAGAAGCCCCTCGGATGCTCCGAGGTCAAAGCCAGGCCAAATGAGAACAGCCAAGTGTCGACATCGGCTACAAAATGAGTGGTTTGGGCCGGTAATTAATGTAATTAATGTAATGAGGCAGCTCCCTTCGTTAGAGGGGAGGGTGCAGCGGTGGGCAGGGTGAGGGGGGACATCCACGTAGAGGTGATCAAGTCAGCAGCTGCATCATGATTCAGTTTGGAATTTATTTTCCACCGTTTTTTTTTTTTTTTTGATCGGTTCTAGCATGCTTTTTCAAAAGAAAAATGCTCCACGGGCATGCAGAAGGATCAGCTGCTAATGAGCATCTTACCCTCATCCCCTCAAATCGGGACAACGCTCTTAAAGGCCTCAAGGCTCTTAGGGTCCTAAGGGATTTTATGGCACCTAGTTCCGAGTAGCCCAGGGCATTAGCTATAAGGCTGACTAAAGAGACCTACACAGAAAACAGAAAGAAAAAAAATAGAAAAAAAAGAAAAAAAAGGAAAAAAAAAAGAAAAAAAAAAGGACAAAAAATTAAAAAAAAAAACCACAGCAAAAAAATGACATAAAAATAAATTAAAATAAAGTAAATTAAAAAAAAAAAAAAGAAAAAAAAAAGGTTCCAGACTGTTAGATTGGATCCCCTAACCCTGATTGCCCAGCCCAGGAGCCACCTGGGTCTCCCCCAAAAAACAAAACCAACAAAATCCCGAAGCCATGACACCAGCTGCCTACTTCACTTGACTGAACCGACCTGGAAGGAAATAATGCAGTTGAGAAAAGAGCAGAGGGGAGAGAGATCGGTGAGAAAAAGAGGCAGAGACACACACGGAGAGAGGGGCTGTGGGAGGAAGAGCCCAAACCACGAGAAAAACCTCCAAAAAAACCTTACCCTGCCCTTGCCCGGCTGCGGCGTCCCGGCGGCGCCCATGAAATTTAAGCCAGACAAATGTTAAAGGGAACCTATGAGAAAGAAATACAGAGAAATCCAAATTTCTCCAAATTTCTCCACATCTGGATGGGGCCGAGCTCCCTCCGGCAATGCCGAGCCTCGGGTCAGCTCCTCCTGCCTCGCCACCCCAATGTTGGGGGGGTTTGGAACTAAATTCCTCTAAAATATTGATTTTTTTCTCTCTGGTGATGAGCTCCATTCAGCACAAAATCCCATATTTTGTGCTAAGAATACCTGGGAATCTATTGATACAAAATACCCTTTATTTCTTTTTTGTTTTACTGCACAATTTTTAATTTTTTGCGTATTCTAGGAGACTTTTTCAATGCAAATGGGGAAAAGTTCAATTTTCCTTTCAATCCCAAATGGGGAAAAGTTCAATTTTCATTTCAATCCCAAATTGGGAAAAGTTCAATTTTCCTTTTCACCAAATTTCCAAATTTCCAGGAAATTCGGTTTTAAACCAATTTTGGGCTGCTCCTGAATTTAAAACCCAATTTCCAAATTTCTAAAGCATTTCTGATCCCTTTTCCAAGGATTTCCCCATCCCAATCCTGTTTCTATCCCATTTTCCTCCATCCCAATCCTGTTTTTATCCCGTTTTTCCCTACCATTTTCCCATTCTTCTCTATAATTTTCCCATTTTTTGCCACCATTTTCCCTTTTTTTGCTACCATTTGCCCATTTTGGCTACTGTTTTCAAATTTTCCCTACAATTTTCCCCAATTTTTGCTACCATTTTCCCCTTTTTTTCCACGACCATTTTCCCATTTTTCACTACCATTTTTCCCTTTTTCTGCCACTGTTTTCCCCCTTTTTTGCTACCACTTTTCTCATATTTTGCTACCATTTCTCCCTTTTTTTCTCTACCATTTTTCCCCATTTTTCTATACCATTTTCCCCCTCTTTTCGCTACCATTTTTCCCATTTTTTGCTACCATTTTTCCAATTTTTCTCTACCATCACACTTCAGACAGATCAGAAAGAGACATGAACCCTTTTTAAGAAAAAAAAAAAGAAAATAAATCCATGTACAGCAACAAAACCCACTCCTAGAATAGGTGGGGTTAAATTCTCACAACTGAATTCAATAAATAATTATTTTACGTTATTAAAAGTATCTTCTCTATTCAATATCTTATTCAATATATAATCCATATTCAATATATTATTCAATATCTTATTCAATAGATAAAAATATTTTCTATAATCAATAAATAAAAATGTCTTCTACATTTTTAATATAGAAACAATATTAGAATAATAATAATTGGAATTAATAGAATTTATTAGAATGATGATTTTTATTCCACAGGTTTTTCTGAGAAATATCAGACCCAGATTTTAAATGAATAAATGTGGGGGAAAATGATCAAAGTATTTTTAGAGCAGGACTCAGGACTTTAATAAATATTCAAATAATAAATAAGCAAATAAATAAAAAGGCCGATTGAGCCTTTAATAAATAATCAAATAAAAAATAAATAATCAAATAAATGAAAACGCTGTTTGAGCCTTTAATAAAGGATCAAAGATTAAATATCCAAATAATAAATAACCAAATAATAAAAATCAAACAAAAATATCCAAATAATAAATAACCAAATAATAAATAATTTTTTCAATAACCAAACAATAAATAAGTGAAAAATAACGAAATAATAAATAATTTTTGAGGATTATCCCTGAGGATTTCCAAGAAAAGACAAAGCAGGTGCCTGGGTCAGCAAAGGGAATCCCAAATTGCTGAAAATCAAAATTCTGAATTACCACCAGTGAAATCTCCAAATTCCAGATTCCTGAAAATCAAAATCCTGAATTATCACCCAGTGAAATCTCCAAAATTCCAAATTGCTGAAAATCAAAATTCTGAATTAACACTCAGTGAAAACTGGAATTGAACTGGAATAAAACTGGAATAAAACTGGAATTAAACTGGAACGAGACTGGAACGAAACTGGAACGAAACTAGAATGAAACTAGAATTGAACTGGAATTGAACTGGAATTGAACTGGAATTAAACTGGAATTGAACTGGAATTGAACTGGAATGAAACTGGAATTGAACTGGAATTGAACTGGAATTGAACTGGAATGAAGGTGTAATGAAACTGGAATTAAAATGGAATTAAACTAGAATGAGACTGGAATAAAACTGGAATAAAACTGGAATTGAACTGGAATTGAACTGGAATGAAACTGGAAATAAACCCAGGTTTCCCATGGGAACACCTCCAAGCATAGCCAGATGTCCTAAAAATTCAATTTTCAGCTGGACAAAAGAGCAAAATCCCAGAGCTGCACAGGGAACCCCCAAGGGCTGAAGGTTTTATCCTGAATTTGGGAACTCACAGATTTTGGGGTTGTTAAATCTGTGACCCAGTTTTCCCACTGGGAATCTCATCAGGTCTCCTAAAAATTCCATTTTGAGCAGGACAGAAGAGCAAAATCCCAGAGCTGCACAGGGAACCCCCAAGGGCTGAAGGTTTTATCCTGGATTCCTCCTGGATTTGGGAACTCCCAGACTTTGGGACTGTGCCCCAGTGGGACCAGAGCAGGAAACCCCCAAGGGCTGAAGGTTTTATCCCGGATTTTTCCTGGGTTTGGGAACTCCCAGCTATCAGGAGTGTTAAGTTTTGCCCCAGGGCGATCAGAGCAGGAATCCCAGCAGAAAAGCAGAGGATACATACAGCCACGATGAGGAAATCCAGCCAGCACCAGGCATTGGTGAAGAACTTGACGAAGCCGTAGGCGCACCACTTGAGCAGCATCTCCAGGATGAAGATGTAGGTGAAGACTTTGTCCGCGTACTCCAGGATGGTCCTGATGGTTTTCCTCTGCTCGATGTAAATGTCCTCAAAAGCCTGGGGAAACACCAGGTGAAAGTGTCAGCATATGGAATTTATTTATATATAGCTGACATAGGAGCCATTTGTTTATTATAACCTTAATTTTTATTAATTTATTTGTATTTTAATATATTCTATTATGTATATTATATCTATTATATAATATATAATAGATATAAGATATATTCTATAATGTATATACTATACTATACTATAATATACTATAACATAATATAGCATAACATAATATAACATAACATAACATAACATAACATAACATAACATAAATATAATATAATATAATATAATATAATATAATATAATATAATATAATATAATATAATATAATATAATATAATATAATATAATATAATATAATATAATATAATATAATACAATACAATACAATACAATACAATACAATACAATACAATATAAGCTTTTGTGCTTTTGTACTTACAAATTACTTTGTAATTTCCAGGTAGGAATTCCCTCAGTTTAACTTTTTCCCAAAATTTCCTGTATACCATCAAATATCCCCTGAACAACACATATTTTACTCCGCCCCTGAACTCCACGTATTTTACTCACCAGAGCCCCGCTGCTCAGCAGGATCATGAAGATGATGAAGGTCTCGAACCAGTTGTGCTCCACGATGAGGAAACACGTTTTCCTCAAGGTCCACCACGACTTCCCCAGCCCCTCCTCGATGTTCACCTGGCAGCACTTGCAGCGCTGCATGCAACCTGCAACAGGGACAGCTCCACTCAGGAAACACAGATTTAAGCTAAAAACCATTAAATTCTCACTGTCTAGAAGAAGTTTTGAGGTCACCAAGGTGAACCATGATGAATGAGTTCAAATTTTTGCATTCTTGACAATTTTGGTGTTGTTTTGCCACTTCTGTCCAGAATTAACATCAATTTGGGAACAGCTCAGCTCGTTCTGTTTGGTGAGGTCCACGCTCTTGAGGAGACAAATTGAAAACTTGCTGATAAAATAGAATAAAATAAAAAACCTTGAACCATTTAATGCATCTTTGCCTTGGAAATTCCTGTGATTGATCAGCACCAGCAAGACATCGAGGCCAGCTGCAGGGAAAGAAAATTACTCTGCTCCTGAGGACTTAAGGCATCAGCTGCACAAAAAATCCTCTTGTTTTACCACAGAAAATCCTCTTGTTTTACCACAAAAAATCCTCTCGTTTTTACCTCTGATTCTTTAGAAATTCCCCCCGTGGGGCTCGGGAGGCCCTGGCATGGGTAGCCCAGAGAAGTCCTGGCTGGCCCTGGATCCCTGGAAGTGAGCCCACACATCTTGGGGACATTTTGGGTGACATTTTTGGGGACCACAACACCCCAAAAATCTCTTCCTCCACCCCCTTCTCACCTTCTGTGAAACAGGCATCGGGGTCCAGGTACTCCTCCGGGGCCTCCACGGGCACCTCTTCCACCTCAGGCTTGATGTCGATGGTGCTGCCCTCGGAGGAGCTGGTCTCGTCCAGTTTCTGCAGCACAAAAACCCCCATCAACACCAAATATCAAATATCAAACCCCAAAAAATACCAAATTCACGATGAAAAAATACCAAAACCAAAATAAATACCAAACTTCAGCTGTCGTGGAAGTTGTTTCCTGACTTTAATCACTGAGATCCTGACCCAGCTGATGTCTCACATTAACAGGACAGGCGGGATTAAATATTAAATTAAATATTTTAATTATGAAAGGTGGCCCTGTCCATGGAGGGGCTTGCAACTAGATGATCTTTAAGATCCTTTCAACCCAGGCCATTCTATGATTATTTATATTTTACTATAATTATATATTTTTAGTTTATTTATATATATATGTGCGTGTATGTACTTAATTATTTATTCATTTTCACATTTATATATATTTTATACATATTTTATATTTTAATATACTTATAATTTATATTTTATTATTATATCTGTTTTATTTCTTTTATATTTTATTTTACTATGATTACATTTATTTTACTATAACTATAGTACATATATATAAGTATATATATTTTGAATATATCAAGATATACTAAATACAAAATTAAAGATAAACATATTTAGTATATATATAGAGTATATATAAATACATAGTACCCATAAATATATAGTATATTTACATAGTCATTCTATGATTATATATCTTTATTTTATTATATATTATATTCTACGATGATATATCTTTATTTTATTATAGTAACTGTATTTCTATAAGCATTCTATGATTATATATCTTTATTTTATTATATATTATATTATTACTTATATTTTATTATAGTATCTATATTTATCTAATAATTCTTTGATTATATATCTTTATTTTATTATAGTATCTATATGTATCTAATCATTCTATGATTACATATCTTTATTTTATGCATATTTTTATTATATAAGCATTTGTGGCTTTCTACAGAGCACCAGAAATTCCACTTTGAGCGCAAACACAACATCCCAACCCAAACCAAAATTTAACGCTGGAACCACCCAGCCCTCCCTGCCGAGAAGTTTCCAGGAGTTAATTAATTAAATTAAATTAATTTAATTAACTCCCAGCCCCCAGCCCCACCTCCTTGCTGCCGTCGGGGTCGGTGTCGCTGCTGAAATCCTCCGTGTTGAGGTTCTCGAAGTCGGACTCGCCCACGGCGATGGGGACGCGCACGGTCAGGTTGGGGTTGTTGATGAAGGACATGTGGTCCTCGTCGATGATGTACTTCTCCACGCTGCTCCCGATGCCGCTGGTGGTGCCGTTGCCGTTCTTCAGGAAGTCGACGTCGCGGTTGATGTCGGCGCCGGTGTGGTTGGCGATGCAGTTCACCTTCTTGTCGTAGAGCTCGTCCAAGGGCTTCACCTCGTCGGCCTCTCTCTGCTTGAAGTGGGCCTGCATGAACTCCCGGACCTTGGCCTTGGTCCAGGCAATGCCCTTCTTGATGCGGATCACCGAGATCTGCAGGTTGTTCATCTCGCCGTCGTCGTCCGTAGCCGCCAGGTTGTCGGCGCTGAAGGAGCTCAGCAGCAAAGCCAAGAACAGGTTCAGCACCTGGAAGGGAAGAGCTGATGCTGGGCTGACACACGAGGGGCAATTCCCAAAGCTCTCAAACCCTGCTGATGGTGTCTCCAAAACCGGCTCTGCTGTCCCACAAACTCATCCTGGTGCCCAGGTTCAAGGTGTGACCCCCTGATGTGTGGCAGCACATTTCTCTCCCTCTCAGGATTTTTCATAGAGGTGCACAGAGAGAAATGAAAGAGAAAACAATTTCTATTTCTGCTCCTTGTTTTTCCCATGTGGAATGTGTTTGGAGAATTGTTTACCTGGGGTAAATGCTTGGTTGGATTCTGGTGAGGATTGTTTGAGCCTGATGGCCAATCCAATCCAATCCAATCCAATCCAATCCAATCCAATCCAATCCAACCTACCTGTGTCTGGACTCTCAAGAGAGGGTCACGAGTTGTGTTAGAGTTAGAGAAAGTAGTATGTAATTTTAGTATCCTCCTTTTATATAGTATATTAATGTATTTTAGCATAGTTATAACAAAGAAATAATTCAACCTTCTGAATTGAGTCAGACATCGTCATTTCTTCCCATTGTGTTCACCTGCATTTACAATACTGATGCTGCCAAAAGTTCCCTTAACGGGAGCCCTGGTGCGCTCTGAGGAGTCCCAGGGGTCTCTGGATCGAGCCCCTTGCAGGATCTGGGCTGCAAATGTCAGAGATTTAATCCCCACAGGATTTAAACTCAGCCTTACTGATTTAATCCCATCTCTGCCTCAAAGAAAATGGGGAAAATCTTGGCATTTTTTGAGTGATCACTCCCAGCTCTATTCCCTCACCCTACATTTAGCACCCACCCCCAAGATTTATTTTATCCAAACCTTTTGGCAAGACAGGAGCTCTCAGAGAGAGCTCACACCTGCTCTCAAGAATCGCCACCGCTCATGTGACTTCATTCTTGCTCACATTTTTTTCCTCCACAGACTTTTCTTCATGAAATTTAAGGCCAGAAGGAAGCATCACGTCCAACCTCCCACACAGGAGGCCGTGCAGTTTCACAGCCCATTCCTGCACCTCATGACTGAGCCAGTGGGCAGGTTTTAGAGGAAACCTCCATTCCTCATTTTAACACTTCAGGACCTTCCCCTGTGCACCAAATTATTGCATTTTCTGGCAATTAAAATGCCAGGTTTTGCTTGTTTGACCTTCTTTTTCCCCTTCCCCTGTGCACCAAATTATTTCATTTTCTGGCAATTAAAATGCCAGGTATTTCTTTTAGCTTCTTTTTCCCCTTCAGGTCAGGTCTGTGCACTTTGACTTAGGCTTCTATAACTTCAGCTTTTCTTGCAAAATGTTTCATTTACGGGCTACTGTTTAAGATCCTCACTGAGCAAAAAACATCTTTAACGTGGTTCTACCAAAATCTACTATTGATAGACCAAAAGGGACTTCCAGAGAGCAGGAACGGGAAGAAACCATCACTCCCTCATCCTGGGGGTCTCCCCAAGTCCTACCCCACCCCGAGGCAACCAAGAAATCCCATCAGGAACCATTTACTGACCACCAAATTTCCGATGACCATGACCATCATGAAGACAATCAAGCACATGGCCTGTCCTGCCACTTCCATACAATCCCACATGGTCTCAATCCACTCCCCACACAACACACGGAAGACAATAAGGAAGGAGTGGAAGAAATCGTGCATGTGCCAGCGGGGTAGCTCACACTCCGGATTGATCTTGCAGACACACTCCTTGTAGCTTTTGCCGAAGAGCTGCATCCCCACCACGGCGAAGATGAACACGATGATGGCCAGCACCAAGGTCAAATTCCCCAAGGCACCCACTGAGTTACCAATGATTTTTATCAGCATGTTCAGAGTGGGCCAGGATTTGGCCAGTTTGAAGACTCTCAGCTACCAAAAAACCAAAAAAACAGAACAGATAAATATTAAATAAAGAGGAAAATAAAGCAGAACTTCCTAAACCACAACCATCTTGTGTTTTACATAAAGGTTAAGTCCATCCTTCTGCTACTGAGGTTACAGGGAGCAGAGAATGCTTAACCCTTCTGGAAATTTGGGGTTGTGTGTTTTGTACTTAGTTATTCCCCACACACTGATCTCCCTTCCCAAAGGAAAAATCACCCTTCCCTGCCCGAATGCAACAAGCAGCTGCTCAGATCTCGTAAAGAGCAGTGACGAAGAAAGAAGAGACCATAAAAAATGGCACCACTCCATCTCTGTCCTCCCCAAACCCAGAAAAAAAGCAATCTTCCCTTTTTGCAAGGGGAAAAATTCCTTATGTGAGGGGAACAGCTGGGAGTGTGTCAGGGAAGGGACAGGTTGGATATTGGGAAAATGTTCTTCTCCCCCTGAGCAGGGAATGGTCACTGCCCCAGGGTTGCCACAGCTCAAAGGACGTTTGGACAACACTCTCAGGGATGCACAGGTGGCATTGCTGAGGTGCAGGGCCAGGAGCTGCACTGGATGTGCCTCGTGTGTCCCTTCCAACTAAGGTTCCGTGATTCTAAGCTTTGCAGCAGCTCCACAATAATAACTTTGCAAAAGAGCCAGAATTTGGGATACCAATCGGAAAGATCGCAGCACGGAAAGTCCCTCCACATCTGCCAGACTCAGCTCCATCAAGCTCAGGGAGACAATGAACCCATCAAAGATGTTCCAGCCTTCCTGAAAATAATAGTATGGATCCATTGCAATGAGCTTCAGGAACATTTCTGCTGTGAAAATTCCAGTGAAAACCTGGAGTGGGGAGGAGAGACAGACAAAGAACAGGCAAAGGATCATTTTTGGCTTATTTTCTCAACTTCAGGCTAAGTCTCCACAATGCAACTGACTCAAAGTCCAAGCCCACATCAACAATCCAGGCATCCCAGCAGGAGCAGATCCGTGGGGAGCGTTGAGCAGATTTCCTTACCAGGTTTCCTACGGAGAGCACGTGCTCGAACTCGGGGGTCATGGGGTGGTGCTCCATGGCCATGAACAACGTGTTCAGCACGATGCAGATGGTGATGGCCAAGTCAACAAAAGGATCCATGACAATTAAGTTCACGATCTCCTTCAGCTTCATCCAGTACGGGTGGCACTCCCAGATCAGGAAGGTGTTGGCAAACTTGTACCAGCAAGGGGGACACTTCCTCTGGGACTCTTCCAGCTCTGCAGGCACAAAACAAAACAGAGTTCAGGCTTTGTGGGAGTCTGAAGAATCACAAAACTGAGCTTTGTGACAATGGAGGTGACATAAAATAAGAGTTGGGTCAAGTTTGTGGGCAGGCTGGACATCAGGAAGAAATTCTTCATGGCAAGGATGGTCAGGCTTTGGAAGGGCTGGCCAGGGAGGTTTGGTGTCCCCATCCCTGGAGGTGCCCAAGGATGTGGCACTTGGTGCTCCTGGCTGGGTGACAGCATGGGGCTTGGTCACAGGTCAGACCCAGTGACCTTGGAGCTCTTTTCCAACCTCAAAGAATCTCAGATTCCAGGATTCCATTATTTTACTGAGCTCCATGACTTCTCCTTTGTCCCTACACAAACACCTGCACCGGGTCACCACAGCTGTGGTCCTAACCCTGTGCTTCAGCCCCACCAGGATGACTGCATGCAAATTATTCCAAATTAAGGGCTATATTTAACTGGGAACTGATCAAGGTAAAGCAGTTAAAACCAAAGTTACAGATTCCAAACTGCCTTTGGTGCCAGATTCTAAATAACTGAGATGAATTCCGTGCTGAACACAGACACTGTCTAAAAGAGGAAAGAGGTGACATAATGCTGCGAAGGATTTTCAACAGGAATAACCTGATTAAGGCTAACTACATCCAATTACAGAAATCAAACACAGAAATTCTGTGTCCATCTTTTTTTCCCATTGGCTTAAGTGCTTAGGGAAAAAAAACCACAAACGAGGAGTTGCTGGTTGACTTGGTGGTTCCAGTCAGGCCGTGCAGCTGTGCAGTCTCACCTTTTTAATGTTTTAGGGGAAGGGAAAGGACCACAGTGCTCTCCTTCCCATTGGTTCTCTGGTTGCTTAGTGTTGAGTTGCCTTGGAATTTCTGAAGTTAAAAAGAGGCCCGTGGCACTGGAGCCCGTAGGCGTTCGCGCAGGAGGGGAGCGGCAGCAAAACCCTGCTCTGTTTCTAAGTATATTTCATTTTCCTACAATTTCCTTGCAGGAGACAGCAGGAATTTGAGATCATCAACCGCATGTGGCTGCTGTTCACGAATTCTTGATGGCTCCTGCATGACATATTGGGAAATCTCATTTCTGTGTGCTGCCCATTCCAGAATTCCCACCAGGCAACAGCCCCTTTAGGTTGGATATTAGGAAAAAAGTTTTCACTGCAAGAATAATAAAATACTGGAATTGTCTTCCTAGGGAGGTGGTGGAATCACCATCTCTGGATATGTTTAAAAAAAGACTGGACTTGGCACTCGGTGCTATAGTCTGGTTGTGGTGTTAGGGCATAGGTTGGACTTGATGATCTCAGAGGTTTCTTCCAACCTCATTATTCTGTGATTCTGTGATTCTTTCTCTCCTCACTGCTGGCACATTGCAGCTCCAATCCTCTCCCACGGCCTGGAGCAAAGGAAGGTCCCTCCAGAGCCTGGAGATGACAGAAAACCCGGACCTGACACTGCCTTACTCCTCTGATCTCCTCACTGCATTCTCTTCACCGTAAACTTACAACTCTTCTTTGCCTTTGCCTCCATCTCTGTGCAATTCGGATGCCAAAACCAAGTAAAATAAAGTCTAATCAATATTTCTTTATTAATAAAGACCCAAAAGAAGCAGATTTAGGCAAAACCATGCATGAATGTGTACTGCTCTAAAGCAGGGGGAGCTGAATTCCACCGGACCAGGTTGCTCCAAGCCTTGCCCAACCTGAAATTGGACACTTCCAGGAATGGGGCAATTTCTCTGGGCAACCCTGTGGTAACACATTAATGTTTTGCCACACAACCCCACCCTCACAGAGAGGAATTCCTTCCCAATATCCCATCCAAATCTGCCCTCTGCCAGGGGGAAACCATTCCCTGAGTGCTGTCCCTCCAGCCCTTAGTCCAAAATCTGTCTCCCACTCTCTTGGAGCCCCTTTAGGTGCTGGAAGGGGCTCGAGGGTGTCCCTCTAACCCCCCTATCACACCTACCCTCCACAAGGGTGTTGGTCAAGCCAGTCATGACGCTGTTGGTGCGATCCTTCCTTCCGTAGGAGGCGTTCACCTGATCCATTGAGACCAAGAGAGACCCGCCAGGCTTCTTCCTGATTTCGATCTCAGTGGTCCCCTGAGAAATGCAGGTGATGATGATTAATACAGACTGGAGTCTTCTCCCTTACCCATCTCAGCCCAGACATGCACCACTTAGCCTGCATTTCCATATTCTATATTCCCTATATTCTGTGCACTCAGCCTGCATTTCCATATTCTATATTCTCTATATTCAGTGCATCCCTCTGTCCTTCCCACCTTCCTACAAGTGACAAGTGGCCAGGCCAAAACTCAAGCCCTTATTTCTGTTGGATCAGTGCTCTGCAACTTTAGACAAATTAAGGACTGTATTTTAGAGAACATTTCTAATGACATACAATGTCATTAATTCTCTGTACCAAAACCAAACAGACGGGCATGCTTGGCAGACCATGCTGGCCAGACCACGATGGCCAGACCAGACAATCCTGGGCCAGACCATGCTGGGCCAGACCAGACCATGCTGGGCCAGACCAGACCATGCTGGCCCAGACCAGACCTTGCTGGCCAGACCATGCTGACCAAACCACACTTGTCAGAACAGACCACGCTGGCCAGACCAGACCACAGTGACCAGACCACACTGACCAAACCACACTCATCAGACCAGACCATGCTGGCCAGACCAACCATGCTTGGCAGACCACACTGGCCAGACCAGACCATGCTGACCAAACCTGACCATGCTGACCAGACCATGCTGGCCACACCAGACCATACTGACCAGACTGCACTGACCAGACCATACTGACCAAACCACACTCATCAGACCAGACAAGGCTGACCAGACCAGGCTGACCAGAGCACACTGACCAAACCAAACCACACTGACCAAACCACACTGACCAAACCACACTGACCAGACCAGACCACGCTGACCAAACCACACTGACCAGACCAAACCACACTGACCAGACCAAACCACACTGACCAAACCACACGAGGCTGACCAGACCATGCTGACCAAACCACACTGACCAAACCACACTGACCAAACCACACCCTCAGAGCACTCCACGCCCAGCTGCTACCTCGGGCAGGATGCGGCCCCCAGGCATGCTGGAGGGCGGCCCCCCGATGAGGGACACGACGCCGTTGCAGTCCACGGTGCTGTTCCTCTTGATGCTGCGGCGCAGCGTGGGGAAGATGCGCGAGGAGCGGCTGCCCTGGCTGTAGCCGCTGTAGCCGCTGTAGCTGCTGCGCCGGTCGCGGCCGCGGATGGGGATGAAGAGCGAGTCCCTCCTGCCCTCGCTCTCCTCCACCGTGCTGTGCTCGTCGTCCGCAAACTCGTTCTCCGAGGCCGGGTCGCGGAAGCGCCCCTTGTAGCTGAAGATGCTGCTCTTGCTGTTGTGGCGGGAGAGGAATGGGGAGCCCGGGATGCTGAGGAGAGACTGCGGAGGAAGAGGAAGAGGAGGAAGAGTGATCACGAGAAACTCATGCCAATGTATACAATAGAGCAATATAAGTTTAATAATTAATATGTAAGTTATATAAGGATAGAATATAAAATAGGTTCAGCTCGAAAGCCATGTCCGAGTCAGATTTGGGCCTGTACCCCTGATTCCCAGAGCTCTTCATCAATAAAAGCACCTGCAGTTAATCATATCCTGTGATTATTTGTGCTCCTGAATGCTGACACAGGCAGAACCCTTGAGGTGCCAACTGTTGCTCTGATTCTTAAGATTTTCTAAAGCCTTCTGAGTTTACATTCTGTTGGAAAACTTTCTCACACAATTTTCTATAAACAACCTATTGTTTTGCATTCTTTCATAGGGGCAGAGAAATTTGATGTACTGGTAGTTTGTCCAATGTCTTTGGAGAGGTGGCACATTCACTCTCCAACCCACTGTCACCTTTGGAAAAGTGCCAAAGTTGGAGTCAGAAAATAAACTTTTTTCTTTACTTTGCAAATAGCAGCGGCTCGTGTTGTGCTTTCACGTGTCCTACAGCCACAGTGCCAACAGGAATCTAAACCAGAATATTTTCCTGACCTCGAGCAACCCCAAACATTAGTGGAGGAACACAAACCTACCTGGTTCATGATGGAAAATTTCCTCCCCAGCCTGTTATCCGGCAGCCTGAACGCTTTCCTCCTCATGCCATCCTCAGACTCTGACTTGAAAACCTTCTCGTTGTCACACTTCTCGTCTCCCTCCGACAGCTCCTTGTCCTTCCTCTTCTTCCTCCTGTTCCGCCGCTCCTTGGCGCTCTTGGAGCTGAGTTTGGAGATCTCCGAGGAGCTCCGAGACATCCTCCCCCCACCATCATCCTCCACAGCATCTTCAGACACCGTCCCCGCCGAGGTGACCATGGCAGCAGCCTGGGAAGGAAAAATAAATCACAAAAATCACATCTTTCCACCTTTCTGTTTGAAGAAACAGTTTGGCTTAATGCACCTGAGCAAACGACTTTTTGGGGCAGGACTGAGAGGTTTGTTCTCTCCTCAGAAGAAACTTGCAAGCCAGAATTTGTTAGAATTTTTATAGTCTGTAAAATCAGCTTCTCTGGCAACCTGGGCCTCTTACAGAGAGGAACTGCTTTTTTTTTTATTCTCACCTGTGCTTCTTCCTGCTGCTTTTTCAATTGTTCCAACATGGCCTTGAATTCTGCCTCCTTCTGCTCTGCCTCCTCCAGGGTCGCCTGGTTCTGCTCCTCGTAGGCCATGGCCACCACGGCCAGAATCAGATTCACCAGGTAGAAGGAGCCCACAAAGATCACCAGCACAAAGAAGATCATGTAGGTTTTTCCTGCCGCTCGTAAAGTCTGGAAAAGAACGGCAGAGGGATTAGAAAAGGGAAAAAATTAGCAACCTCAGGCTTCCCTGACAGGAGATGCAAGAGCTGATCCCAGGTTTCTTGACCTGAATGTTTCTAAGAAAATCCTGAATATTCCAGAGCTCAGCGTTTTCCCTGCAGGGACCCATGAACACAAAAGGTGACATCCACCTTCCTCCCTTAAGGGAACATCCAAACAGAAGAATTCAGAGGCACAGTGTGAAACCCAACGCTCAGGCTCCCTTAAAACAAACCAAGTGAAGAAAAAGCTGCTTCAGCAAGGTCCCCAAAGCACCCTCAGGTCAGGAGAAATCTCTCTGCCCTCCAAAGAGGCTGAGCACCCTCTGTGAGCGGAGCCGAATGCCCACAGCCTCCTGCAGCCAGTGCTAAGGCTCCTCCCAAATTAATTCCCAGCTTAGCTGGACCCACCATCCCTTCTGGAATTAAAAATCCATCACCTGCTGACAGGCAATGTCCCCTTCCACCCCTTAAAAAACCTCACTGTGAAGGTTTACTCACACTCTTTTGGAGAGAAGGAGTAAAACAAAGCTTCTCACATTTCCCTTTCCTGTTCCGCACCCAAATTCTCCCCAAAGCGAAGCGTTTACTTACTAATTGATACAAGTTTTCCCAAAAGTCCTGAGTCATAAGGCGAAATAAAGCCAGGAAAGCCCAGCTGAAGGTGTCAAAGCTGGTGTAGCCGTAGTTGGGGTTCCGTCCTGCCTTCATGCACGTGTATCCCTCTGGACATTGGCTGGGGAGGGACAACAGCCAGTTCAGGGCTCTCCCAACAAACAGCAGCTCTTTCCATGCCATTTGGGAACAGCAGGCAGGATTTTAGGAAAGCCCTGCTCTCCCTGGCCCGTGGAAACGAGGCCCTAAACCTCAGCCCAAGGCAGCAGCTTGGGCCACTCGGGTCTCCAGAGCTGGAGGCTGGGGTGGAAAACCAACAGCACGTGGCAAATTCCCACTCCTGAACCTCCATCCACCCTTCTCTGATTGGATTCAGAGGGAAATAATGCCACTGAAATAACTGGATTCAGTGGCAGCCACAGCTGCCCCGACAGGGAAAATGTCCCTCACACTGCATCAGCAATGGGCTCATAATTAGGTTAAGAAATTTGAAAACCTGGTGAAGTAACGCCAGAAGCAACAGAGGAAGCGACAGGGAATATTCCAAAGGTTTGGCCAGCTTCAGGTAACATCAGGGAGAACTGACTGTTCCCAAAGCTCAACACTTACCCTGCATCTGAGCTGTTACCACACAGCAAAGGGTCGGGGGCGCCAGGAATGATGTAAAAATTTGCTGAAGATGAAAAAGAAGAGGTTACATTCACACACATATGGAGTTAGAGGATTTAACAGACTGTAACACTATTAAAACCTTCACTTAAAAGCCCCCCAAAAGCACTGCTAAGGAATCTATCAGTAAAAATATGTTTTGGATAAATTATTTAGCTGAAAGTGCACATCCAAACCCTTCTGAAGGATGAACTCAACTAGGAGCATCTCAACAAGGTGAGATCCAAATAAAACAAACTTCTGCACGTGGGGTTTTCAGTGTTGGAACTCCTGGGCAGCTGCACCAAGCCAAGTCAGGAGGTTTTCGGGAGCCTCAGTGCAGAAATACCTACACATATTGTTGGTGTATTCCTCCCAGTCGAAGCCCTTGGAGCCATTATCCAGGAAGGTCTCGTTGACATTAATTGGCCAAATCACACATTTGTTCCTTAAATTGCCCATGAACAGCTGGAGCCCAATGAGGGCAAAGACACTGAGGCAGAAAACTGTCAGGATCATCACGTCCGACAGCTTCTTCACAGACTGGATCAGGGCACCCACGATGGTCTTCAGGCCTGTGGAGAGGGAAACAAGACTAGAAATCACTCCTGCAAAAGAAAAACACACTGAAAATCCAGATTAATACACTACCTAAGACTGAATCTAGGGTAGGAAAGGTTGTGGTTTGAATGGTGGAGGTTCCTTGTGGAAGGAAAACACACTGAAAATCCAGATTAATACACTACCTAAGAGTGATTCTATGGTGGGAAAGGTTGTGGCTGTGAATGGTAGAGGTTCCTTGTGGAATTCCAGCCAGTTCAACACTGGGATGGAGGCAAGGAACGCTCAGAACCAACCCAAATCCCAACCTTTGTCCCTGAGGACTGCAGAACGTGGGGAATCGCTCTCCCCCACACCCAGGGTTTATCAAATGAGGATCAAATTGGGCTTTGCTGCCACCAAAATCCTCGTGGCTGCGTTGCTGGGGCCGAGCTCGCTGGCACAGGCTGCAACAACTCGCAGGGATCAAATGCCTTTAACTCTCCACATCTTGGGTTTCTCCTGCTCAACTCAACTGTCTCAGCACTTCCCCTTCAGGAGCAGAATCTTCCCTTTCAGGAACAGAATCTTCCCCCTCAGGAGCAGAATTTTCCCCCTCAGGAGCAGAATCTTCCCCCTCAGGAGCAGAATTTTCCCCCTCAGGAGCAGAATCTTCCCCTTCAGGAGCAGAATTTTCCCTTTCAGGAGCAGAATCTTCCCTCTCAGGAGAATTTTCCCTTTCAGGAGCAGAATCTTCCCTTCAGGAGCAGAATTTTCCCTTTCAGGAGCAGAATCTTCCCTTCAGGAGCAGAATTTTCCCTTTCAGGAGCAGAATCTTCCCTTTCAGAGGTGGTTTTGGTTACAGCCAGGGCAGGGTTTCACCTGCAGCATCGCTGCTTTGGCATTTACTGAGGCCACAGGGATCCTTAACAGGCTCAGGACCAAAAGGAAGAGATTCCAAAAGGAATCCTGCTGCTTTCCCACACCAGTCTGCTCCCTGAGAGGCAGAACTCATGAGTGGGGAGAGCTCAGAATGAAACACACCTGGACAATCCTCCCCCAAAACCAGATAAAAAAACCTCAAAGTTTTGCCATTTCAGGTAGGATCAGTGTCCCCAACACCCAAAAAGGATCCCCTTGGCTGTGTGTGGCAGATCACCCCTTTTACTCAATCAAAATACAGCAAATTGTCCCTCTAATAAAGATTACATTAAAAATGTGCTGAACTTAGCAGGGCTCAGCCCAACCCCCTGCTATTTGAAATAAAACTCTATAAGTTTTGAATTTTATGGGGAGAATAATCCAAAACTGAGCTGTTCTGCTCAGTTTGAAACAAAACTCTGTAAGTTTTGAATTTTATGGAGAGAATAATCCAAAACAGAGCTGTTCTGCTCCCTTCCAGGGGAACACAAGGCATGCTGTCACACCAGCTCCTCAAAGCTGCATCCCCTCCACGCTGCTCCAATGAAGAAAGCAAAAACACAGGCAAAAAACCCTGGTTTTTAACACCGATGCTTCTCCTCTGAGCAAGCCAGAGCTCTCTGGAGCAGGCTGAGAGAAAGACAAACCACCCCTCAGCAGCAATTCCCAAAGGGTTTTTTTTGGTTCTTAAATATCACCAGAGATGAAGGAAGGCTCAGTAGGAACATCCAGGGTGTTCTCAGTGGGTGAAGGAAAGCATCACCACCACCACCATCATCATCATCATCATCATCATCATCATCATCATCATCATCATCATGCACAACAGGCAGGTGCAGCTGATGGGGTTGGCAGTCTGGGATGGGATAAAAGGGATGTCCCTGGCAGAAAAAACCAGCACTGCAGGATCAGGGAATGCATCAGGGGACAAACCACAAAGGAACTTTGTTTTGAGACCAAAACTCATTATTAAATGAGAATTTATTTCAGGTGCCTGCCTTGGAACAGGTTGAGCACCTGGAAACCAGAAAGCTGAGCGCCTGTAAGACCTGAGCCTTGAGCTTAAAATTAGGGTTACTTTTGAGAAATTATGTGCATGAAGCTTTTCTGTACAAGAATTCAAGATCAGGAAGTGTCCCAGGCCAGGCTGGACAGAGCTGGGATTAAAATTATCTGGTGGAAGGTGTTCCTGCCCATGGCAGGAGGTGGAAAAAACTGAGCTTTAAGGTCCTTCCCAGCCCAAACCAGACTGAAATTGTCATTTTCTCAGTCCATGGTGTCCCAAAGGAAGGGCCACTGCTCACCCCAGAGCAGCTTTGGGAAGGGTGGTCCTGACAAATCCAGCTCTGGGGTGGCACAGGAAAAAGCCTAAAAGGTTTTAATCTCGGTTGGGTTTTGCTCTGTTGCTTTATAAAATTATTCCTAAAGCAACTCCAAAACCACTGACAATAACAGGGCGAGTCCCTGAGCCAGAAACTGTTCAGCCTGAGAGAAGCCTGATCCTTTTCATCTGGAATTAAACTTTACAGCCTGGCTTTAGTCTCAGAGATCAGTATGAAATGTGCACACAAAGGGACAGAAAATACGGAGTAACAGCGTGTTCATCCCATAATTTAGCAACCCAGGAGCCATGATTTCAAACTGCTTTGTTACACAGACTGCAAATCCCATCAAAAAAATAAAATAAAATAAAATAAAAATCCCAGTGCAATTTCTGAGGAATGAGCAGTGCAGGAGGGGAGGGGAAATACAGAGGAGACACACACGAGCCCAGCCTTTAATGCTGAATGCTTCTCACCTGGGATGACAGAGATAGTTTTCAAAGCTCGGAGAACTCTGAAAGTTCTCAATGCTGAGACATTCCCAAGGTCCACAAACTCTGTGACATATCTGCAATGAGGGAGGTCACACACAAAAAGAACACCATGACAATACCACACACCAAAATCCAACAACCACTACAGACAAAGCAATACGTCACTCACAGGGGCCTGTACCCGACAGCTAAAAAACACCGAGCGGGGCCGCCTTACCTGGAATTACAGAAATAGTTTTCAAAGCTCTCAGAACCCTGAAAGTGCGCAGAGCTGAAACATTGCCTAGGTTTACAAACTCTGTTATATACCTGCAGAATTAAACCAGAGTTAATGGCACCGTTGGGGTCACCTTCCTTCGCATCAATCGGCTGCTTTTAAGCGAAACGTAAATTTAAAGGAATTTAGAGATTTTAGAGGAGCTAAGATTTTAGTTAGAGATAAGCCTTACCTAGAGTTAATTAAAATAAATGAGTAGGCCTTGATGAAGTTAGGAGTTAGTAGTTAACTAATAATTGATTGCTTGTCAGCACAATGTTTAGTTAGCTGGGTTTATAAGGAAGAATATAAACTGATAAATTGCTTTTAGGAACATAAGACAATTGTGGGCCCCCTCTGTTCTGAAACCAACTGAAGACAAGGAATGGGAGTTCTACCAAGAGTTTATTTGTTGTATTTGCATTGAAAAGGTAGAAAGGTCAGAAGGAGGAAGACTTCATTGACTTCCTCATTTTGGGACCCCCTCCCCATGAAAGGGACACCAACCCATTTCAAGGAACAAAAAACTACACATACAATACTTAAAATAGCCTTTGAAATGATTAGCATGTGAAACGAGGAATGGGATGTACCAAAATGATGAATATGTATTTGTGTTTTGGGTATTCAATACTTGTATGGATAAAAGGGCTCTGTAATCACCTGGAAGCTGCAGTGTGGATTTGGAATAAATAAATAAACACACAATTTCTAACTTTAAACTGTTCAAGAGTTTTTGTCCCTCACAGTTGGATATTGGTACTAGACCAATATCCATATTTGTTTAATAAATCATAAGGAAAGCAGCTCATGATTTCAAACGCTCCAGAAGTGGCATCGAAATGAGAGAGAGAGAGACAAAATGAGGGTAAAATGAGGTTTAAAATGAGATGTAAAGTGAGTTTTTTTAAGACAAAATGAAGGTAAAATGAGGTTTAAAGTGAGGTTTTTTAAGACAAAATGAGGGTAAAATGAGTTTTAAAGTGAGTTTTAAAGTGAGGTTTAAAGTAAATTACAATTGTAAAAATGCCAAATAATCGAGGAGATTTGGTGACACCACCCTGAGCTGCTGCTCTGATTTTTTAACAGTGTTCAGTTTTCTTTTATGGTTCTTTCAAAAGTTTTAAGCTCTCAGAAAACTTCTTCAGCCTTTTGATAATATTTAGGTATTTCTACAGCAGTTCTCACACACTGTTTGTGTAAATAATGATTGTTTTACATTATTTGTAGGAAGAGAGAATTGACAGACTGTTAGGTGGTTGGAGAGAACTTTTTTAAAAAAACTATTAAAACAAAAAAAATTAACACTTTTAAAAATCAAAACAACACTGAGCAACCTGGGCCAGTGGGAAATTTCCTGAGCTTTAAGGTCCCAAACCAATCCATGATTCCATGATTGCACCTCAGATCAAGATTTCAGGTAAATTCCCTTCACTTCATGTTTTTTTTTTTAAGAAAACATAATCATCTTCTGCTTTGATTAACATCCTTCCACTTAATTAGCATCCTTCATTTTAATTAGCATTCTCCATTTTTAATCCTTTATGAAAAAGCAAAGAAATGTTCAATATTCAGGATTTTTCCTGCTGCAGCAAGGCCTCGAGGGCTTCAAAAAATTCAAGTGTTGGGAGCTGCTGGTTATTGGCTTTTAATGGAAAAATTTTTTAGAAAATGGAAAATATGGAAAAAAACAGGAATTTAATGCCCCTCAGTATCAGCCCAATCCAGCACAAGAGAAAAAAAAACATTAAGGAAAATCAAATTTCTCCTTTCTGACACTGCAGCTTGGTGGGAAATGGGTTAAAATTGGTTATTAATTGGTTATTAATGGGTTATTAATCACAATCCAAACTCCAGTCACAGCCCAAGGAAGGGCTGAAATTTAAAATATTTGGTCCCCATTAAAGGTTATTAATCACAGTCCAAGGAAGGGGTGGGAGAGGCTGGGATTTAAATTTAATATTTGGTTCCTCTGGTGTAAGAACCACCAAAAACCTTGCATTAATCAAGGCAATTTGTAGAAAATCCTAATTTTTTTTTGCAGCACCGCGAACTCTGTGCTGTTGCAGAGCTGAAATCCCATCAGGGTGAAATTTCCTTGGAAAATCAAGGGGGTTCGTTGAGGTTTTCCTCAATTTCTTTTTTCCTGACTCTTTTCCTGACTCAATTTCTTTTTTCCTCACTTTTTTCCCTGACTCCATTTCTTTTTTCCTGACTTTTTTCCGGACTTTTTTCCCTGCCTTTTTTCCTGACTGAATTTCTTTTTTCCTGACCGTTTTCCTGACCATTTTCCTGACTTTTTTTCCTGACCTTTTTCCTGACTTTTTTTCCTGACCTTTTTCCTGACTCAATTTCTTTTTTCCTGACTTTTTTTTCCAACTCAATTTCTTTTTTCCTCACTTTTTTCCTCACTTTTTTCCTGACTCAATTTCTTTTTTTCCTGACTCAATTTCTTCTTTTCCCTGACATTTTTCCTGCCTCCATTCCTTTTTTCCTGGCTCAGTGTTCCCCTCCCACACCCCAAAATCCTTGGAAAAACCCACGTACGCCATCATGATGACGCTGAAGTCCAGCCAGTTCCAGGGGTCCCTCAGGAAGGTGAAGCCGTCGATGCAAAACCCGCGGGCGATGATTTTCACCAGCGACTCGAAGGTGTAAATCCCGGTGAACGTGTACCTGGCACGGGAAATGAAATGAAATAAAATAAAATAAAATTCAATACAATACAATACAATACAATACAATACAATAAAATACCATAAAATAAAATAAAATAACATAAAATAAAATAAAATGTGAATAATTGCATAATTGTAATAAATAATAATTGTATAATTAATTAAATAATAATAATTGTATAATTGTATTTGGCTGGATTGTCACAATATTTATAGCATATGTATTTAGATATATATGCAATTGGATTTATATTATACATATTTATAGGTGTGTATATGTATTTATATATAATTTTTTATGTAATTGTATTTTTATATATATTTATATGTAATATATATAACATATATATTTAGATGTAATATATATTTATATTTATCTATGTATAATTGGATTTATATTATATGTATTTGTATATATATATACGTAATTGCATTTACATTATATGTATATATATATATATATGTAATTGTATAGTATATGTATTTATATATGTAATTGTATTTATAGTATATGTATTTATATATATATGTAATTGGATTTATATTATATGTATTTATATACATATAATTAAAAAAAAACCCCAAAACAAAACCCCCAAAAAAACCCAAAAGAAAAATAAAAAAAAACCCACAAAAAAACCCCAAAAATATCCCCAAAAAAAAAAATACCTTAAAAAAAAAACCCAAAAAAACCCACAAACAAATTTAAAAAACTGGGGCGCTGCAGAAAACAGCCCAGGGAGGACGAGGCTCCTGAAGGAACCAAGCTCAGCATTTTGGGCGGTTTTTGCCCAGACAGAATTTGGGATTTAAGGCGGGAATTCACTCACTCCACGTTCTTGGACCACTCCGGGGGGTTGCTGAAGGTCATGAAGACGCAGTTGGTGAGGATGGTGCACATGATGATCATGCTGAACACTGTGCGGCCAGTCAAGGAATCTCGGCCATTTCCAGCAATTTCGGGAATTTCGGGAACTTTCGGATTTCTGGGTAAAGGGAAACTTCCAGCTGATCCCTCCCCCCATCATGGGAAATGAGGGAAAAACGGGATTATTTCTATTTTTTTGTGTTGTGTTACATACAGTATCTATGTGCTGTATGTACTGGTTTATATTGAATATCTATGTACTATTATATTTTTAATATGCTGTGTTATTACACTATTTATATCCTACACAACACATATTTATATACTATACATATTTAATACACTGTATTATTATCCTGTTTCTACCCTACATAACATATATACTATATGTTGTATGCACTGGATTATATACACTGGATTATATACCCAGCAGGTAAAGAGATTTTTCCAACAAACGGAAAAGATCAGGAAAAAACAACGGAGCTGAGAGATTTTCAACGAATCCACCGAGGAAATTCAGTAATAAAAAAAGGATATGAATGTATCAAAATTTTAATAGCTATTCTTCTAAAGAGATTAAAAGGACTTAAAATGTACAAGGCAGGTGTGGCACTAAATCGGAAGAGCGTTTTCCCTCTGTTTAGTACTACAAAGGTCTGCAGAGAAAAACAGAAAGAAAAAGAGAATTAATGCAGGAAAATCACAGCAAAATTGCGCAAATTAAATAAAATTCAGGATAAAAAATCATTTTTTGCCTTTTTTTAAATTTTGTTTTATGACTATAATGAAAAAGAGAGTTAATGCAGGAAAATCACAGCAGGAATTGCACAAAGTAGACAAAATTCCAGGGTAAAAAAAAGCATTTTTGATGTGTGGTTTTTTTAATATTTTCTTTATGAATATAATGAAAAAGAGAGCTAATGCAGGAAAATCACAGCAGGAATTGCACAAAGTAGATAAACTAAATTTTAATAATCGAATTAAAATTAAATTATGGGATTTGATCTGAGACCTTGGAAAAGGCCTTTAAACTTAAGCGTCAGAGGCGCTTTAAGGATTGGGTCAAAAAACATAAATATCTTTGTCAGCAGTGTTTAATTGGTTAATAACTCTTTACAAGGATTTGTAATTAAGGGTTTTGTGAATTTCTGAATTATGCTGTAAAAACATGAGCTGAACTCGCCCTTCTTATGCAGAAAAAAAGAAAATAAACTGCACCACTAAAAACAACTCAGAGGTCTTGTCTCAAACTTACCCAAAATTCCCCACAGGTGAATTATCACACACCCAAAAAAACCACAACAAATCTGCTGCTGCAAATCCCAGGAAATCTCAAATTTACCCAAAACTCCCCACAGGTGAATTATCACACATCCCAAAAAAACACAACAAAATAAACTGCTGTAAACCCCTGGAAATGCCTTTCCCTACAGAGCTGGCAAAGATGTGAGGTTCATTTCTTCATTAAAAACCTGTGGGATAAATTTCAGGTTAGCTTCTTCCTCGAGAACCTGTGGGATGAATTTAATTTCTTCCTTAAAAATCTGTAAAATGAATTTCAGGTTCATTTCTTCCTTAAAAATCTGTAGAATGAATTTCAGATGCGTTTCTTCATTAAGAACCTGTGGGATGAATTTCAGGTGCATTTTTCCCTAAAAAAACCTGTGGGATTAATTTCATTTCTTCCTTAAAAATCTGTAAAATGAATTTCAGGTTCATGTCTTCCTTAAAAACCTGTGGGATTAATTTCAGGTTAGTTTCTTCCCAAAGAACCTGTGGGATGAATTTCAGGTGCATTTTTTCCTAAAGAACCTCTAGGATAAATTTCAGGTTCATTTCTTCCTAAGAACCTGTAGGATAAATTTCAGGTTCATTTTTTCCTAAAGAACCTGTGCCATGATCCATGCGAGCGTGGGGCAGAATTTTGCTGGTCCATCTCTTTGAAGAGAGCAGCACCAGGAGCAAACCACCAGGACCATCCCAGCCAGAGGGAAAAAATGCAATTTGTGTGCACAAAGCCCTTTCCCTGGCACCATTTATCCCATTTTTATCCCATTTTATGGCCCCAGAGCACAGCTGGGCCCTCTCCTGTCTCCAACCCCACAGGTTCTTAAGGATGACATGAACCTGAAATTCATTTTACAGATTTTTAAGGACGAAATGCACCTGAAATTCATCCCACAGTTTTTAGGGAAGAACTGAACCTGAAATTCATCCCAGTCCCGAGCCCAGCCCCAGGGACTCCACCAGGGCTCTCTGCCAGCACAGGCTTCCCCTGGAGACTCACTCTTAGCAAATTTGTCATGTTCCTCGTCAATGAAACAACAGCTTTGAGCTCGTTTGGTTAAATTAGACCATCGAGCAGTAAATTATTTGCAAAGGAAATCAAAATCGGATTGTGGTTCAGCACCAAGAGAGGAAGGTTTGTTAGAACCACTAATGCATCCCCCACCAAAAGCACTTTAAAGACAGCCCTGGACAGCTCTTAAATTGTAGCATCAAGAATTAATGACCAGATCACCTTGGCATGGACAAACCTCCTAAAAGGCACAAAGTTTTGCAAAATTGCCATTACAGAGAGCTCAGGGGACGCCCAGTTCTAGGAATCAGCTCCCCCCCTTCCCTGACACCACAAAATTCCCAGGACTCACACCCCCTTCCTTTGTAAATCTCTTTGAAAAGGATCACTAAACTTTGTAAATCTCTTTAAAAAGGATCACTAAACTTTGTAAATCTCTTTTAAAATGATCACTAAACTTTTTAAATCTCTTTAAAAAGGCTCTCCCAACTCTCCCACACCTTTTGAGCAATGAACCCTCCAGCAGGACCGTGCTGGACATTTTGTGGGACACGGGAGCTGGAAGAAGACACTGAGTGCAACTTGTGTCCAGCCATTCCTTGGACATCTCCAGGGATGGGCACTCCAAACCTCCCTGGGCAGCCCCTTCCTGTGCCTGACTGCTGCCCTGATTTTTAAAAGTGTTTTCTTTTGAAAGTTTTAAAATTCTGATAAAACTTCTGATAATGTTTACATATTTCTACTGGAGTTTCTCACGCGCTGTTCGTGTAAATAATGATTGTTTTGCCACCTTCTTTGTGGCAGGAGAGAATTGATGGACTGGTGGTTTGACCAGTGTGGTTGGAGAGGTGGTAATTCCATCCTCCAATCCATGGTCACCTTTGGAATTCTATAAATACCAGATGTTTGATTAAAATTTTCTCTTTTGAACTTCTGTGTACTCATTTTGTGTCCAATAGCAACACCTGACCACCCTTTCCAACAAGAAATCCAAGTTTTCATCCCCCTGCCTACCAAACATGAGCTCCACGTCCTTCCTGCTGAGTCCCTCGCCTGTCCTGTGACTTTCTCCCTGTTTTCTCCCTTTTTTTTTTTTTTGTTCCTTGTTTTCTCCCCATGCTCTGCCCAGGTTTCTCCTTTCAGACCACAAAACTTGCTGAATTTCTGCCTGTAAATCCCATTATCCCTGGGCCTCTCAGCACAACCCTCACAGCTGTGAGGTGCCACAATTCCAGTCTGCTCATGGATTACGACAGTTCCGAGATCCACCATTCCCCTGGGTACCCTATAAAATCCTGAGTAAACCTCCACCTGCTCTCATCAATAGCAAGAAAAGCCCAAAAGCCAGGAAGTGTTTGGCAATTTAAATCCCCTCTTAGTTTTCTGTTCTGCTGCTGACATATTAAAACTCCATTTCAAAATGGCTGCAAGCTCTTAAAACATTTTCTGGATCTGGGCCAAGAACACCCTTAAGAGCTTTTAAGATGTGCTGAAGCAAAGCTCAAAACTCAGAGGAAGGTGATACCTGAAAAAAGGTATTTTTGCAGTCAGTTTAAGAAGATGGTTTTGTCTGGTTGGACTTCCCAAAGCCTCCGTTTGTTGTTAGAGCTATGAAAAAAACTCCACCCTCTTTAGTTTCCATCAAGTTCATCTGGACCAACCAAAACCTTGGAAATAGGTTTCATAAAAAGGTTTCATAAAAAGAAGATTTCATGAAAAGAAGGTTTCATAAAGAGAAGGTTTCATAAAAAGAAGGTTTCATAAAAATCAATCAATGCAAAATGATGACTGTGCTCAGGAGAGCAACAGAACCAACTGGGGGATGGCAAGAATCACATCCAGCTCCAGCAATATTTAAAACATCCCTGCTTCCTGCAGGTTTGCCACTGAGCAGTTCTGTAAGGGCTGAGGAGTGAGGGGGAGTGGGCAGGAGATTTTAGAAGCAAACAGCTTCAGGAACAGCCTCAGAACATTTGGGAGCACATTCCTGCAGCAGTGACACAGGGGGAGAGCGGCGCCTTCCTGGTGGCACCCTGAGCGAGGCACTGCTGGAAAAGGAATTTACAGCAAATTCGGGCACCCTGTGGGCTGAGGAGTTACAGACACAATCAGCACTGAGAGCAGCCCTGGGGAGAAGGGTTTGGGGTGCCCCAGGACCCCCAAGCTCCTCCCAGCAGGGGAGTGGGGTCTGTCCCTCTGCCCTGCTCAGGTGAGACCCGCACCTGCAGAGCTGCCCCAGCCCCGGGGGGATGTGGAGCTGCTGGAGAGAATTCCTGATTTTTTAAGTTTTCTGCGCAAAGAAATCTACTCTGCCTCCTGGGCAGAAATAATTCTCCATGCTTTCCCCCAACCACGAGTGGGCTGCAGTTATTTAAGGGATGGGAGCAGAGATCCCACATTTGGCATTCCCTGATCCCAGCTCTGCACGCCTGGATCCACAGCACCGACAGCCACGCTCAGCCAGCAGCTCCATCACACTCTGCCTTCCTCCAGCACCTGGAGGGGATGGAGAACACGCCTGCCAGGGAATCCAACCTCCTCTCTTCACTCCTTCCCTTCCACACCCACTTCTCCTGCTCCTCTGAAGCCAACTGGAGAGGCAGAGCGGAAGAAAAAAAAACCACCATTAAGCACTCAAGACCTGGAAAAGGCAATGAGACGCTGGAAATAAGAATAAAAAGCTGATTTTTGGGATGGTTCTGACTCTTTCCTCTGCTTTGGTGACTTCACTGAAATGCAAACCCGGGAATGGTGCCGTGACCTTGCAGAGTCACCAGCACGGCCACGGCTCCCGAGGCACATTCCAGAGCCAGACGTGCCTCCCGCAGCTGGTCCCTCGCATCCCTGAGATTTTCCTGGGCCAAGGTGACATTCTGGACCCACGGGGCCGTTTCCAAAGCTGGCATGTGACTCGACAAAGCTGCAAGTCACTCCCCTGGCACGAAGGCTCTGGAGAGATCCTCAGGTGCTTCTCTGGCAGCCGGAGGTGACCTCAGGATCCCAGCCCAGCCTCAAATCTCACGTGTGCCTGGATTGCTCCTTTCCCACTGAAATCCACCCACCTCAACTTATCCACAGCCTCAGCTCACAGAATATCCAGGGACCTTCTGCTGCCTCACAGCTGCAGCCTTTGCAGGAGCTCCACCTCGCTCTGCAGCAGGGATGAAATTTGAGGGAACTGGAAATTTGAGGGAATTGAAAACGGCCCCAACCTGGCAAATATCACGTCCAGAGGGAAAGAACAGGGTGAGGAGGTGTTTACAGGAATGGGCTGGGCCACAAATGGACCAGAAGCAGAAAGAAGATGGAAAAGCATTTCAAAATGGAAACCCTGGTAAGGGTGTAGGAATGAAAGAGGAAGATGGTCCTGATGTCTTAAGAAACACTGAAGGATTTAAGGCCATGCTCTGCTCCCATGGCTGGGGTTGAATTTTGGTTTTCCTGAATTTTGTTTGCACATGTGACCGAGGAAGTTCATGTACCTGCCTTTTGCATATATTAATTGAAATGGTTTGGGTTTCCATAATAAAAATGGGCAACTATTGCTCCTCCTTGTTCTTCAGGTCAGGAACTGGGAGGCCATCGCGAGTTGTAAAACAAAGAATGAAAAAATTCTTTCTGGTCCTTACACAGAGACAAAAAGGAGCTAAAGCAGCTCCCTGATGTGCTACCTGTGAGCAAAGGGATTCCAGACTCTCCTCAGAGTCATGACTTACCCCTCACTTCAAGACACTCAGGGGTAGAATGTCCAGAGCTGGGAACAAGCTGAACTTGATCCTGGAGATCTTTTCCAGATTCAAAGATTCTGGGATTCTGGAATTTTGCAAGATGAAACTGAGCAGAGAAAAGAGCAGCACATTGGACAAAACCATTGCTGGGCTACAAACCCAGGACTTGTGGCTCCCTGTGGCACGGTTCTGTTTCCAGGTCACGCTGTTTCTCCTTTAAAGATCAGTTTACAGGTGCTGGGAAGTTCAGCTGCTCTGGTAAAATGCAGTTTCAGTTTCCTTAGACAAACCAAGATCACCCTGTCCTGCTGCAGGGAAAAGGAACCGGCTGCTTCGTCCCTGTGCACGCTGCAAAAGCAAAGACCTGTGATGCAAAACCTTCTGGAGAGAGGTGGGGGGGAAAAAAAAAATCTTGGAAAACTTCCCGTGATTCAAGCAGATTCGCAATTCCTGATGATTCAGAGAAGGGCCTTTTTTATTTGCCTTAAAAAAATTTATTTGTGGAAAGTCACTGCCTGTTGGAAGGAGCACAAAGGCAAGGCCGTGCTGGGATGGACACAACAGGAAGGGAGCAGAGGGTTCAGGGGTGGTGGGGACAGCCAGACCCTGCTCGAGGTCAGCAGGGCTGGGGAGGGGTTTGCTCCCATCTCCAGAACCTTCCCTGCATCTCAGCCTGCCAAGGATTCCACAGAGCACTCCCAGAGATGTGACAGATGCCTTCAGAGAGGGGGGTGCAGCTCATTCCTCGCTCTAAAAATGAAAGGTTTATTAATAGCCTCGTGTTGGGAGGCAAACGTGGAGAGGGATGCAGCAGGAGGGATAAGGGGGTTCCCTGTGCCTCCTCCTTTGGGGGGAATGTGGAGAACCACGGAGCTCTGCCCACTGCCCCTTCAGCCAAAAAAAGCCATGAATCAGCCCAGTTCTCCCGCTGACACCACCCCTCCAACTCACAGAGACAGAGAGGCTTCAAAAATCACAGTGGGATCACAGACACCTCCTAACACCCCTCGGGTGGGTAAAAGGGGTCAAGAGACCTCGGGGTTCTCCTGTGAAGCTGTGGGTGCCCCTGGGTCCCTGAAGCACCAAGGCCAGGCTGGACAGGGCTTGGAGCAGCCTGGGATTAGTGGGAAGTGTCCCTGTCCCTGGCAGGGGTGGCACTGGATGATTTAAGGTCCCTCCCGACCCAAATCCTGCAATTCCATCACCAGAACCAGACTGGTTTAATCAAGAGAAAATATTTGAACGAATAAAGTTGAATAAATAAAGAATAAATAAATAGTTGAATAAACAAAGAAGCATTGCTGAGGATAACCAAGCTGCCTTGCTCCCACAGCAGCTCCTGAAGGAGCACATCAGCTGGGCACCACGCTGCCACACACAGATCCCCAAATTTCAGAGCCCTGCTCTGAGTCAGGACCTGCCCTCAGCACACTCTGGACACAAGAATTAATTGCCACAACCAACCATTAAATTAATCAGCGTGAACACAGCAAAGAAGGGTCAGGTACACTCATCCCTCCCCAAATGCAGCTGATTTCACGTGAACGATGCCCTGGCAGTCCCAGAGTCACTTCTGAGCGTGGCACAAAGGTGTGTCCCAACAAAAACTCACCAAACATTGGTCACCCATGGTAGGGATTTCACATGCAGGCAGCTCTGAGCTCAAAGAGCCACATCCCAGCTCCTGTCACCCACACGCTCAATCTGCAGCTCCCCCAGAGGCACAGCTGAGCCTCATGGAGATGTGACAGTTTCAGCTGGCTCAGTCAGATTGTGGCAAAGAAAGCGAGGAAATTAAACGCTGCAGAACCTCAGCTTCTCAGAAAATCAGTGACCACGCTCCTCACTCCATCACCAGTGGATCCCTCCCCTTCATCCCCAGCTGAGTTTGCCAACCACCCCCTCGCGACATCATCTCTTCAAACACCTCAGCGCCCATAAATGCTTCCTGCCACATCACCTTGGTCCCAGGCAAATTAAAATTAAGATGAAAGAGAGTTAATTAGTCTCCTTTTTTGCCATGATTCTGCGTCCCAGTGCATCATAACCATCAACTTCAGACTGAATTCCAGGTAAGTGATGAAACACACACTTACTGTTACCCCTCAGTTAAATTCTTCTTATTGCCCTGATGGTTAAAATTGGCACATTAGCACAACTTGGACTATTTTTAGTTTCCAGAGCTTGTTCTCCTAACTCCATCCTTAAAGACTGAGGTGATAGAGGCGATCACATCACCTCTATTAAACCTCACAGAAAAATACACAAGAAAGCAAAACAACCAAACCATCCAAGACTCCCTTTCTTTTTATCTTCTCTTTAAACCATACCCAAAAAAATAAAAAGGAAAGGGAAAAAAATAAAAAAAGGCTCTTTAGCAACTCCTTCCTTTGCAGACTCACTTTCTGGGTCATATAATAAGGGTCAAAGTCCTCCAGCGGCACAGCAACCAGCCCTTTGGGGATGTCCCCGTAGATGAAAGGCAAATTCTTGCCCGCCTCGAGGTCACTGTTGGGTTTGGGTTTGCTGTCCTCGTCGTCATCGCGGTGGCTGCTGTCCTGCTTGGAGCGCTGCTTCTTCTTCAGCTCGGCGATGTGCTTCTCGATGTTGGCCAGCGACTCCGGCGTGAAGGGCTTGAAACTCTCGGGGCCCGGTGGTGCGAGCAGCCGCGCTGCCATCTTTTCATCCTGCAGCAGCTTCTTTCCAGGTGCTGCAGCCCGGGCAGGTCAGCTCTGCTGGGAGAGAGCAGAGCACAGGGTGAGAAGGGCCACGGGCAGCCCTGCTGGGCACAGCCCCACAACGGTGACGCCCTGGGAGGCTCCTGGGGTTATTAAATCAGGCTCCTGGATTTATTAACAGGATCTCCTCAGTGGATGCACCTTGGGCAGTACAACAGCCCAGTCGTGGCTCTTGTTATCCACCCAAGATGGACAATGGTCATAAGTTTTTCATACAGTTATCAATTTTGAAGCCCTGAGGTTGTAGGTGATGCCCTGGGAGGCTCCTGGGATTTATTAAATCAGGCTCCTGCATTTATTAACAGGATCTCCTCAGTGGATGCACCTTGGGCAGTACAACAGCCCAGTCGTGGCTCTTTGTCCACCCAAGATGGACAATGGTCACAACTTTTTCATACAATTATAAATTTTGAGGCCCTGAGGTTGTAGGTGATGCCTTGGGATGCTCCTGGAACAGAGCTACACAGAATTAAAGAATAAAGGAGGGATTTATTAAAAGGATCTCCTCAGTGGATGCACCTTGGGCAGTATAAGAGCCTGCCCATGGCTCCAACCAAGATGGACTTTGAGTTATGAGTTTTTCATACAATTATAAGTTTGGTTCATTTACATATCAGGGGTTAATTGTGCAATTCCAGCTCCAGGTGATGCAGTCCCAACCTCACAAATTGCTCCCCTCAATTTGTTGTTTTTGACACTTTTTGGGCCTGAGGCTGCAGTGGTGTCCTTGGTTCTGGGCTGGAAAAGGATATTTTTGTCTGACTGAACTCTGAGGAGAACTTACTAAAACACTTTATATGAAATCCAGAGCTCTACACCAATACAGAACCTGGAAAACATGAAAACTAAGCTGAAGGCATCAGAGTGAGGAGCAGAGCTGCTGGTTTCATTCCCAAAACGAGCTCCTGGCATGGAGAAAAAAACATTCTGTAAAGCAACTTTGTCTCAAAGCCACTACTTTCCTGCAAAAACAGCTTGACCGGACACTGCTCTCAGCAAAACTGATTTTTAGACAAAATTCCAAGCCAGCCCAAGTTGGAGCAGCGTTGTGCCAGGGTACCAGCAGGTTCCTCACTGTGCTAACAAGGGGTTGAGCAAAGCACTCCCTGCTACACGCAGGAGCAGCTTGGGGCTGGGTTTAAAACAGCACCAGCACCAACATGACTGTGCTGAGCATTCCCAAAAAACGCTCCTTGCTGCCCTGTCAGGTGTTCCTGCAGCTGTGAGAAGTTCCCTCAGGACTTCACCAAGTGCAAGGAGAATTCTGGATGCTCTTTTGGCAGGGCCAAGCCCTCACAGGCTCACCTGCCTCACCTGCTCTGGAGCACATCACAGCTCCGAGACAGGAGTCAAACCCCACCTTTTCGTTTTACAGATTTATTTAAAGAAACTGCCCCCTGTGAGGTGGGCAGGCCCTGGCACAGGTGCCCAAGGAAGCTGTGGGTGCCCCCAGATCCCTGGAAGTGCCCAAGGCCAGGCTGGACAGGGCTGGGAGCACCCTGGGACAGGTGAAGGTGACCCTGCCATGGCAGGGGTGACACTGGATGAGCTTTAAGGTCTCTCCCAACCCAACCCATTCCACAATTCTATCAATTATGAGGGTTTCTATTAATCTGAGGCCATAAAAACAAAATAATTTAAAAATACATCCATCAAGCACAAGAGTAATTCCTGAAAGTTCAATTTGCCCTGATTATTTGAGTTAGACACAGGGTCTTGTTGGCATCAGATGCACCACAAAGGACAAAAGCAAAGGCAGAGCTGCAGGGCACAGGTGAGAATAAACTCCCAGAGCCTCCAGGTGCTCTGGCAGGGTTTGTCCCATCCCTGCATGGAGCCCTACTGTAAATGCAGGTGAACCCAATGGGAAGAGATGACGATGTCTGGCTCAATTCAGAAGGCTGAATTATTTCTTTATTATAACTATGCTAAAATATATCAATATACTATATAAAAGGAGGATATTAAAACTACATACTACTTTTTCTGACTCTAACACAACTCGTGACCCTCTCTGAGAGCCCAGCCCCAGTGGGTTGGATTGGCCATCAGGCTCAAACAATCCACACCAGAATCCAACCAAGCAACACCCCAGGTAAACAATTCTCCAAACACATTCTACATAGGAAAAACAAGGAGCAGAAATAGAAATTGTTTTCTCTTTCATTTCTCTCTGTGAAAAATCCTGAGAGGGAGAGAAATGTGCTGGCCACAGGGCCCCTCGCCCTCCTGCACTCAGGAGAAGCAGAGCTCTGAGAAGTTGGTTCCCCCAAAAGCAGCCACCCACCAGCTCAGCTCTGCAGCTCTGCTCCAGAACCAGCCACGCCAGGAATCCCTCGCATTTCTGATCTGCTGCTCTCGCTCCAGGAGAGGCCAAGGGAGGAGAGAGGGATGACAGAAACCCTGCACTGATGCAACAGCACTGCAGTGCTGCAGGCTGGAAGAGAACCCAGCCCCGCCACGCTGCTCGGGGAGGGACCCAAACACCAAATCCAAGAGGAAAGGCACAAAAACCGTGAGGGTTTTTGGCACGGAAGGAATCCCAAAGCTGCCTGGGATGAGGTCCCTCAAGCAAGGAAAAAGATAAGCTGTAAGGTCAGAGCTTTTAAGGCAACACACAAACACAGCATCCAAATAAATATTAAAGATCTGGAGAAAAGAATGACTTTCAGATTCCTTGGAAATGATGACACGGGGTTGAATGGTTAAAAATTCAGCTAATTCAGCACGAGGTCAAGCACCCCCAGCCTGCCCAGGCCAGGAGGATTGTGCTGAATTCACGTGGGAGGAGTTCAGGGAAGCTGAAACTGAGAACCACAACTCTCTGGAGTGCAGTGGGAATAAATAAAACCCAATAAATAACCCAATACCTGGAAATTCCAGCCCTCAACAGAGCATTTCCAAAGCTGAACACCCAGTGCAAACCATTCTGAGGGAGCTCAGGTTATCCCTGGCTGTCACACCCCCAATCCTCACATCAACCTGAAGCTGCACCAGGCACAGAGGGCTCAAAAGCTGTTTCCAGCTCAGGTTTTATTTGGAGATCCAAAAAAACCTGGAGTACAGATCTCCCTCCTTATGTAATTCCAGAGCACAGCAGGGCCAGGGCTCTCTTCCTAAAAACCTGACTGGGTATTTCTGGAGTAATAACAGTAAAGACTCAAAAAAAAAGGCAAAAGGGGAGAGAAGGGGCAGGATCTTGGTCACATTATCTCTGAGACATCACCAAATGGCCTGCTGATATTAAGGAAAATTAATTTATTCTATTCTTGCAGCATTTGCATGCATTTAATTACCAAATTTCCCACATACTGTGAAACTATAGAGCAGCATTGGGGATGTGGTCTAATTGAATGGCACAGATAAATATGTAAGGCCTGAATTTAGAAACCAAAGTAGCTCAGGGACACAGCATAAAAAAGGGGAAAAAAAAAAATGAAGGCATGGAGGAATTTGTGCAAAATTACACAACCCACAACTGGAGGCACCAGCTCAGCTGACTGCCCATTTAAAAGAAAAAAAACACAACCAAAACCAACACCACTCCCCAAATCTGGTTCGCAGCTGCACGTGGCAGCAGCTCCTCCACGTTTTGGTATTTTGGAATTACCTACAGGGCTTTTTCTTGTGTCCTGTCAACACATGCCAGTGACCTGAGGGTCACCCTCCTTGGGATGTTTTTGCCTGTCCTGACTTCATTTGTTTTCCCAATAAATTATCCCACATTAAGGTAGTGGATGAAGTAAGATGTGTGTCTCCACCTCATCTTCATCAAGGAAGAGCATCCACAGCTGGTCTGCCTGGCAAAGCTTCTGGAAGCTAAAAAACCTTGGAAATGTTCTTTTCCAACCAGGGATGGTCCTGCTGGATATATCCTAGGATTTATTTTAGGCCTTTTTCACATCAAGTTTTTCAACCTGTACCAAGAAGAACCTTCTGAAAATTGTGGGTTTTTTCCCAATTTTTATCCATGGAAAAGTGCACTGGGAACAACACCACGCTGCCAAAATCAGCAGGGACAGAGACTCAGCATCCAGGTGAGCTGCAGAAGAGGGGGACTGGGTGAGGGATCCATGGATACCTGCACTGGGAATGACACTCCCAGGGAGCCAGGAATTCATCCTGGGAGCTTGGATTTGGGTGCACACAACACCCACATTGCTCAAATGCCAAAGATTTTCCACCAGAAACTGCTGCACCGAGGTGCCCAGTTGCTAAGCCTTAATTATTTTTTCTGAACGTTCCCAGCAGTCCATTTACTGCTACATTATGAAATATTCCCAATAAATTATTCAAGTTGATCATCCAAATAAATTAAAAAACACTTTTGAGGCAATTTCCTTGCTTTAATACACTTCCTCCTTTATTAATTACCACCAGCCAGCCATTCACAGTGTGTCTTTGAGACTTTCTGTGTGAATTTTTATATAACCCACATGGACACACGTGCCTCTTGATTCCAATGTGAGGAAGGAAAATATGGTGTAGACAAACAAGGAAAGCTCTCATGGCACATTTGATGCTGCAAAGTGGAAGAAGAAGGAGATATTTCCACTCCCAAGCAGCATTTATTGCTTGGTGCTGGGTGCTTCCCCACCCTTTGTGGAAGAGGTCAAGGGCAGACTTGGGACAGGGCAGGGAAGTGCTCATGGTCTTGAAACAGCCTAAATTTGGACACACACCTCTAAAGGTAAAAAAAAAATGAACAGGAATGTACAGAGGAAAGAGAAGAAGCAACCAACAGCAACAGAGAAATGTTAGAATCATGGGATGGTGGGATGGTGGAATGGTTTGGGTTTGAAGGGACCTTAAAGCTCATTCTGGTCCTGCCAGGGGAACCTTCTGCCACCCCAGGCTGCTCCAAGCTGGCTTTGAAGACTTGGACACACAGGAAACATTATTAATTAACAACACTTTAACGAAGACCGACTAAAGACTGGTTCCTGCAGGGTCCTCACTCCCTCCCAGCAGCTCTGTGGTTTCAGTAACGCCCCCAGTAAGTTACAACAACTAGTTAATCCCAGTTCATTAATTAATCCCTACTTCCCTACTCTGTCCTTACTCAAGGCCAACTTGGGTTTATCTCCCAGCTCACATAGAACTTGGGAGGTTCACAAATTAAACAACCTGAAGTGCTTCAACTTCCCCCTTTTAAATTCAAACTTCTGAACAAAGAACTGTTCAAAATAGCTTTTGTGCAAGAGTTCAGCCACTAACCCAAATTTAATTCCTTGTTCAATTCATTCAGCCCATCCATGACCCATAAAACAGGAGTCAGGGAATGGTTATTTTACACTATAATTTTGGGGGAATTAATTTATTCTTGTGGAGCACTCAGATGGTTTGAGAACAAAGGGGACAAATATGAAAGGGGGGAGAATAAACAACCCCTTTTCTAGTGCTGAGTTAAAAATTTCTGACATGTGCTGGAACACAACCCAGGTTTCCCTGTGGAGTGACACTTTTCTTCCCTCCTCGTCACCCCCTGAACATCTGATCAAACATCTCCCTCCACTAATGTCAGCTACTCCTGCTTGTCCTGACACCACCATCCTGCCACTGATTTCACTCAAAAAGTTCCTCTCCCACTGGAATGGCCACATTTGCATCCAACCTCCTTTTCCAGGGCATTTTCCCACCTGGGTGACAGAGATCTCACACTGAGGAGGCTCAGCCTGGAGAAAATCCCCCCGAGCCTCCCTTTCTCACTCCCCACAACTCTCTGCTCCCTTCTCCAGCAAGGAAGGGTTTATTTCCACAACCTTAAGACCACCTGTGTAAGTATTCCTGTAATCTAACACCACTACCTGGACAATTCAGCAGTGTTGTGCAGTATTCAACACACATTCCTCCCCAAATCATCTCTCAGCAGAGTTCATGATAAACTCCTCACACTTTCTGGCTGGGGCAGAAGTACAAGGAACACAAAGTGGGACTTTCAGAGGGCAGCAAGATCGCTGAATTTGGCAATGCTCTGTTCAGGAAGGAGCAAAGCCCCAGCTTTGGCTGCTCTTTCTCCTCAAAATCTCCCATTTTCTGGAGTGCTCCATCAGGAGGGAATAACAGGTACAGGATGAGGCTGAGGGAATTTAGAAGTTGCTCTAAATTTGGAACAGCATTTCAAGACAGAATCCCAGAATCCCTGAGGCTGGAAAAGCCCTCGAGTCCATCCTGTGACCGACCCCCACCTGGTCACCCAGAGCACTCAGTGCCACGTCCACTCATGCTCTGGACACCTCCAGGGATGGGGACTGCACCGATCTCTGGACACTCTGACCACTCACCTAATTACTAATTACTCCTAATAGGAGCACCTAATTACTCCTAAAAAGGAGACAGTTTTGCCTAAGCTAGAAGAACATGTGAAGTGCTAAAAGCCAGGCTGGAACCTGAGCTAATGTCAGGGAGGTTTTGTAATATGCTCCTGCAGCAGGAAGCCACTTCTTCCCTACTTGTATTCTCCACCTCTGCACAGAAATAGGATCACGAGGCACAAGAGGGGCAGTCCAAGCATTCCTGAACCCCACCAGACTCCAGCCAACGTCCCACAGGGAGCAGCTCTCCACCCCACCATCCCCAACGTGAGCCACCAGCCTTTCCTCCCTGTGGCTCCTGAAACTTCTCCCCCCATGCTTGTTCCCAGCTCATTTTGTCGTTTCACTGCCCCTGCCCTAAGCCAGCCCATTCTCTGAGCTCAACAATAAATTATTGATCCCGGTGCATCCGTGGATGTCAATGGAGGCGCAGCCGCTGGGGAAGGCGATCGATGCCCCCGGGCCCGCGTGTGACAGCAGGAGCCATGGGGCCACCACTCAGCCATTGAAAAACAGCAGCTCTCCATCGAGATGGAAACCCAGACCAGGTCACTTCAATGGAAATACACTCAGGCAGCCCCACCAGCAAGCACAGACACGGCCCCAAACGGGAGGAAGATGATTCCGTGATTTGTGTTTGGAAGATACTTCATTTCCATTCAGTGCTGACTTTGTTTCTGCTTTATTTAACAGAACCAAGGCACAGCCATGCTCCATTTCCTGAGGCACGTGATCCTTCGCCCTCCTGCCGATTAGAAACCTCCTCCTACCCAATAGCCACAGGATTATACTTGTTCCACTGAGCAGCACAGTATCTATACCATGATCTACATCTAAGCCATACATACAAGCTTATATAACGATTAAATGATCTGTGATGGCTCCAGGTCCTCCACCCTGGGTGAACAACACTGCAGAAGCACCCGAACACGTTCAAATGATCCAAGAAACCTTCGGTCACGTTGTTAGTTTTACATAAAACACCAAAGAGGAGAACAGGGACTTTCTAAACACACAAAGGGTGGAAAAGCCCAGCACTGGAGGCCTTAGGACAGAGCCAGCAGGGAAAGGTCCCAGCGGAGGGCAGGGGTTTGTTACTCCTAAAGGCACCAACTCCCCAGGCCCAGGGCTATGCAGAGATCCTGAACAGCTTCACCAACTCCATGTGGCTGCCCCTCAAGAGCTCGGGAGGGCGGTGATGGACAGAAACGGGCACGGGGAGTGCCCCATGGGCCCCCCCAGCCTCGCCCACACCTTCTGCCCCGGGCCACCCGCTGGAGGAACCGACCCCAGAGCATCCCAGAACCTCCATCACAGGAGAACAGGAGCATTTCCAGGCCCCATTCCTCCAAAGCAGGACTGTCGGGAAAACGGGAAATCCTGCTTTCCTCCTCCCTTTCCACCTCTAAAAGCAGCGGCAGGAGGGGGACAGGGACCCCCCACCCCCGTTGCTCCCAATTCAAGCTTCCCGGTGTGAAAAGAGGACGTCCCGGTCACGGCTCCCGGTGCGGCTGGAATGCTGCAGTGTGCCAGGCTCGGGTTAGGCGTTCACACCCGGCACGGCACAGCCGGAGCCGCCAAATCCGCCCCAACCGCGCGGCCCCTCGGGGGGCTCCCGCCGCCGCTGCGACACGGCTCGGGGGGACCAGGACGATCCTCCCGCACCCCTCCAAACCCAGCTCGGGGTGCGCACCCGGCTGCTGCCCCTCGCCCGCACACACTCCCCTTGCCAGACTTTCCGACTTCACCCCGGATCATCCGCAGCCGCTGCCGTGGAGCATCTCCCGGCGTCCCCACCCCCACATCACCCGGGCATCGGTTTGCACCAGAACGCAGGGGGAGGAGGGGAGGAAGGCACCCAGATTTTTTAATAGAAAAGCCTCGTGAATGTGCAATTCCCTCCCAGCAGGAAGGGGAAAAAATCATATAAACCAAATCTGCCCTCACCATCCCCCCCCACCTCCCCCCCAAAAAGAAAAAAATCTGTGGCGGAAGGAAAGAGGGAAGGAAGAAGCACAACCACGATGCTGACCCAACATCTGGGTCAGCTGGAACACCAAGCATCCCCCTGCACCCTCCAAAAAGAACTCTGCCCTCCAAAATCCCCCCTGCCCGGGCAGGGGAAGCTGTGTCAGCCGAGCGGTGGGAGCAGGGGGCGGCGGAGGGACAGAGCAGCGCTGCAGCGGGGGCCGAGGGGGAAGGGACAGCGAGGAGAACTCGGGCTCTCCCTTCCTACAGCGATCAGAGCACGGCCCCGAATTTGGGGGCTGGGAGGGGGGTCCCGCGGGCCCCCCGGGCTGCGGGGCGGAGGGGGGATGGAGGCAGGGATGGAGGTAGGGATGCAGGGATGGAGGCAGGGAGGGATGCAGGGAGGGATGCAGGGAGGGATGCAGGAGCGGACGGAAGGATGGAAGGACGGGGCTCCAGGTCGAGGGTGGGCGCAGGGGGTGGTTGCCCCTTCCCAGAGGCAGCTCGCCGGCCGGGGGACGCTGATGCCGGGCCCGGGGTCTCGGGCTGCAGCGGACGGACCCTCCCGGGCCGGGGCAGCGGCTGCCGGGCAGTGCTGAGTGAGCACCCACCCGGCTCCCCGAGCCTTTTCCCCGGCTGCGGGGTGCCCGAGCATCCACCGAGGGGATGGCTGAGAAGGGGCAAAGCTCCGGGACCCTCCTCAGGCAGGGATTTGGGGCTGGGGGCTCCCCGCTATAACCCCGCTATAACCCGGCTCGGGTGCCCGCGGGGCTCTCTGCGGCAGAGCCCCCGCGGGAGCCGCGCCGAGGCGGCCCGGGGGATGCAGCCAGCAGCGCGGGGAGCGGCGGGCGGGGGTCCCGGGGCTGCACTCACCGTGTCGGGCGGGCTCAGCGCGGCCCCGGCGCGGCGCTGCCGGACTGCGGCGCGGGGGGAGCTGCGGGAGGGACTGCGGGTGTCGCCATCTTGGCGCGCGCCCGGCGCTCCCCCGCCCGCGGCCCGGCCCCCGCGCGGCCCGCGCGCGCCGCCGGGGGGCGCTGCTGAGCAGCGACGGACGGAGCGGAGCGGAGCGGAGGAGGGAGCGGGGAAACCCCGGCACGGCCCGGCACGGCCCGGCACGGCCCGGCACGGCCCGGCACGGCCCGGCACGGCCCGGCACGGCACGGCACGGCACGGCACGGCACGGCACGGCACGGCACGGCACGCGTGGGCATCGGCATCGTCCCCGTGTCCATCAGCATCGGGATCGTCCCCGTGTCCCTCAGCAGCAGCAGCATCCATGTGTCCATCAGCAGCATCCCTGTGTCCATCAGCAGCAGCATCCATGTGTCCATCATCAGCATCAGCATCCCTGTGTCCATCATCATCGTCAGCATCATCATCCCTGTGTCCATCAGCAGCAGCATCCCTGTGTCCATCAGCAGCAGCATCCCCGTGTCCCTCAGCAGCAGCAGCATCCCTGTGTCCACCATCAGCAGCATCCATGTGTCCATCATCAGCAGCATCCCTGTGTCCGTCATCATCCATGTGTCCATCAGCAGCATCCATGTGTCCATCATCATCCTTGTGTCCACCATCAACGTCATCATCCCTGTGTCCATCATCAGCATCAGCATCCCTGTGTCCATCATCATCGTCAGCACCATCATCCCTGTGTCCGTCATCATCCCTGTGTCCATCATCATCAGCATCCATGTGTCCATCATCATCAGCATCCATGTGCCCATCATCAGCAGCATCCATGTGTCCCTCATCATCCTTGTGTCCATCAGCAGCAGCAGCAGCATCTCTGTGTCCATCATCATCGTCAGGGCCCGCATGTCCATCATCACCGTTGTCATCATCATCTGTGTCCATCATCATCATCATCATCCTCATCCCCGTGTCCACCCCCGCCCTCCTCCTCATCCCCGTGTCCGTTCCCGCCTGTGCTCTGTGCAGCACTCGGTAATTAAAGCTTGGACTCCATCCTGGAGTCCTTTCCACAAAGGATTCTGTCATTCCCGCTGCTCCATCTCCTGTAGCTGCCACAAGGTGGAGGCATGAAGACACAGCCGAGATCCTTAATGAAGCACCTAATTACTGCCACGGTTAATTGGCTTTATTGCCAGCAGAGGGAGGCGGAGACACGCCGGTGGCTTTCCCAGGACAGCAGAATTCCAAGGCACCCCAGCAGAACTGTTCCACAGTTATTGGGGACCTCATCCCGAGGTTATCAGGGCCCACATCCCGAGGTTATCAGGGCCCACATCCCGAGGTTATCAGGGACCACATCCCGAGGTTATCGGGGCCCACCCATCCCGAGGTTATCAGGGACCTCGGATCCTCCTGGCTGATCCACGCTGCCACCAAATCCTTTGGAAAACTGTCGACTGCAAAGCTGCCAAATTCTTCCAAAATCCGTTCCTGGAGTGGTCAGTGTTGCTTCAACCCGAATAAAACCCCAAACTCCACATGTTGCGTGCAGAACTAATGAATTCATTAATTGTTTTATCTCTGTCCGTGATTCCCATCAGCCTGGGAGATCACCGGCACCTCCTTCTCACCCACCAAAAGATTTAAGGTGTCCTCGAACTGCAAAGATTTAAAACTGCTGTTCAGAGAGAGCACAGAGATGCTGAGCAAACCCAGCAGCTCCCAGGGGCTGGAAAATCAACTCCCTAACAGCTCCTTGAACTGAAACCTTGGAAAATCAACTCCCTAACAGCTCCTTGAACTGAAACCTTGGAAAATCAACTCCCTAACAACTCCTTGAACTGAAACCTTAATCAAACCCCTGACAAAATTCCTGCAGCGATCCAGAGCCCGGCTGAGCTTCCCAGGGCAGCCCAGGCTGCTTTAAGAGACGTGAGTGTACCCGGAATTGAAGGAGGGCACTGGCAGAACTTTGGCTGGGCTCACACCGAGTTGTGCTGTCCAACTTGTTCCGGCTTGGGAACAAACTGGCAGCTCCTCCCCTGGGCTCTGCTCGCTGCTTGGCTGCACCTGCACTGTGCAGTCCTCGCCTGTGACCGGACTGGGAAATCAGCTGGAGAAAAGCGTTCACCAGAGCAACCCCAGCAGCTGACTGGACTCGGAGAGGACACGAATGCAGCTCTGACCGGGCTCCCGAGCTGTGCCACGCAGGAGGAGCAGTTCTGGTCTGCGTGGAGCTGAAAATGCCAGAGGCTGCTGCCAGCGTGCTCCTGCTCCGTGCTGGCCTGGCCCTGCTCGCCTGGCCCGTCTACCTGCTCTCCTTCCTGGGCATCTGGGAGCCCTTCTGCAGGAAGGTCTTTTTCCCTTTCGTCTTAGAAAAGCTTTCTGGAGTTCACGACAAGAAATCCAAGAAGCACAAGCAGGAGCTGTTCCGCAGCCTGCCCGACTTCAGGGGTCCCTCCGGGGAGCTGCGGCTGCTGGAGATCGGCACCGGCAGCGGCTCCAACTTCCAGTTCTACCCAGCGGGCTGCAGGGTCACCTGCACCGACATCAGCCCCGGCTTCCAGGAGGGGCTCTCCAGGAACATGAAGAAGAACCAGCACCTGCGCTTCGAGCGGTTCCTGGTGGCCGCGGGCGAGGACCTGGCCCAGGTGCCCAGCGGCTCGGTGGACGCCGTGGTCTCCACGCTGGTGCTCTGCTCCGTGCGCAGCGTCAGCGGCACCCTCAGCGAGGTGCTCCGGGTGCTGCGGCCGGTGAGTACCTGCCAAAAAACCTGCCAGTGACTCTGACATCTGCTCTGGAGGAGCCAGGCACAAGGAAAGGGGAAAAACAACAAACAAACAAAAAAATCCCCACAAAAATCCACAAAAAAAACCCATAAAAAACACCCCTAAAACAAAAGAAAACAAATTTTAAAATCAAGTGTAAAAGAGTTGGTTTGAGCTTAAAACCCAGATTAAAATTTTAAAAAAAAGTGAAAAAGAATTGGTTTGAGCTTAAAACCCAGACCAAAATTAACAACAACAAAAAAAAAAAACTGAAAAAGAATTGGTTTGAGCTTAAAACCCAGACCAAAAAACAAAACAAAACAAAACAAAAAAAAAACCCCAAGTGTAAAAGAGTTGGTTTGAGCTTAAAACAGACTTTCAGCCTTTAAAGTGGCATTTTCATAGAACCATGGAATGGTTTGGGTTCAGAGGGACCTTAGAGATCATTTAATTCCAAAAAAACCAGTCATGTTAGGAACTAATTGAAACAAAACCACAACAAACTATTGCTGGAGTAAAAGAGGGATCAAATAAGCCGGTCCTTTGTGCTTTTTGAATGGGCATTTTGAATCTTTGGACATTTCCTCCTTTCATTAATTCCAGCTAACAGAGGGAAGGGGAAAAGGAAAGGGAAAAGGGAAGTGGTGTGACCCCCACGCCAGCTACAAAATCTCTGTTCCCAGGGAGGAGCTTTCTATTTCTTGGAGCACGTGGCCGCCGAGCGTTCCAGCTGGACATATTTTTGGCAGCAAGTCTGTTTCCCAACTTGGAAACTTGTCTTTGCTGGCTGCTGCCTCACGAGAGAGCTGTGGAAGAATCTGGAAGAGGCCAAGTTCTCCGAGCTGAAGGTACAACACATCAGCGTGGCCATGCCCTGGATGCCCATCGAGCCACACATCGTGGGCTATGGGGTGAAGTAACCCCCGTCCTGCCAAAATTTTTGTGTTCCCTTCCCCCCAAAAATTCCTGATGGTGACCCACGCACCCTGCACGGCACAGGGTTACATCAGTAACACAGCGAAGGACTTGAATCAGAAACCAAATTGTCAGGTGAGAAGAGAGGGCCAATTTCCTGAATCACACCATCAACAAAGCTGGAAAAGCCCTTTTGGAGCAGAGTCCAGCAGGTAACAGCACCAGAAGCATGTTCACCACTAAACCACGTCCCCAGTGCCACATCCACACGGTTTTTGAACACTTCCAGGGATGGTCACTCCACCCCTGCCTGGGCAGCCAGTGCCAGGGCCTGACAGCCCTTTCTTTCCCTGAAGAAATCTTTGCCTTATCTAATTAAACCTCCCCTGGTGTACCTTGAGGTTGTTTCCTTCCTGAAGCCCTGGCACTGCTGATCTTGCCTTGCTAGAGCTCAGTGCAGCCAGGGAGGATCCCAGGACACAAAAACCAGCCTGGGAAGCAAAAAATAAATGTATTAATGGAAGGGGACTGCTGTCTGTGCCTGGCTGTCTCTGGAACAGGGATCCCTCAGGTGCTCCCCGCTGGGGCTCCATCGCACCTGCTGCCCCCTCCCCACGCTCCCTCACGGCTGCCCTGATGGAACCTGAACCCCCAAACCTGACCCTCTGCCCAGCTGAGGGTGGGACCCCTGACCCTTGGCCCAGCTGAGGGTGAGATCCCTGAACCTCTGCTCCACTGAGGGTGAGACTCCTGAACCTCTGCTCCACTGAGGGTGAGATCCCTGAACCTCTGCTCCAGTGAGAGTGAGACCCCTGACCCTCGGCCCAGCTGAGGGTGAGACTCCCGAACCTCTGCTCCACTGAAGGTGAGATCCCTGAGCCTTGGCCCAGCTGAGGGTGAGATTCCTGAACCTCTGCTCCAGTGAGAGTGAGATTCCTGAACCTCTGCTCCACTGAGGGTGAGATTACTGAATCTTGGCCCAGCTGAGGGTGAGACCCTTGATCCTTAGCTCAGGTGAGGGTGGGACCCCTGAACCTTGGCCCAGGTGCAGCTGAGCCCCCTGACCCTTTGCCCGGGTGAGGGTGAGACCCCCAATCCTTTGTTCAGGTGAGGGTGAGCCCCCCCGACCCCGACCCTCTGCCCAGGTGAAGCTGAGCCCCCCGACCCTTTGCCCGGGTGAGGGTGAGACCCCCGACCCTTTACCCGGGTGAGGGTGAGACCCCCGACCCTTTACCCGGGTGAGGACGAACCCCCCGACCATTTACCCGGGTGAGGGTGAGACCCCCGACCCTTTACCCGGGTGAGGACGAACCCCCCGACCATTTACCCGGGTGAGGGTGAGACCCCCGACCCTTTACCCGGGTGAGGACGAACCCCCCGACCCTTTACCCGGGTGAGGGTGAGACCCCCGACCCTTTACCCGGGTGAGGACGAACCCCCCGACCATTTACCCGGGTGAGGACGAACCCCCCGACCCTTTACCCGGGTGAGGCTCCCTGACAGCGCTCCCTGAGGGCAGTCCGGCTCCTCCGTCCGCCCTCCCGCGCTGTCCCCGCCGACCCAACGGCCCGGGCCCGCTGCCGGAGCCGCTGCCGGAGCCGCTGCCGGGCCGGTACCGCTGCCGGAGCCGCTGCCGGGCCGGTACCGCTGCCGGGCCGGTGCCGGGCCGGAGCCGCTGCCGGGCCGGTGCCGGCCGTTCCCCGCGGGGCTCCCCTCAGCCCCGCCGCCCCTCGGCCCCGCCGGCCATGCGGGCTCGGCCCGCGCTGCTGCCGCTGCTGCTGCTGCTGCTCGCGGGGCCCCTGCCCGGCCGGGCGGCGCCCACCGACCCTGCGGACGGTACCGGGACCAGCGGGGCCGGGCTGGGGCGGAGGGAGCGGGGCGAGGTGGGGCGGAGAAGTCTGTGGTTTATACCGAAATCGGGTGAATTCGGTAACGCGGCGGTGAGTGAGCGTGGTTAACCGCAGATCTGTACACCTGGGTCAGATAAACACGCCCTGTTTCACCTGGGCTGAGAAAAGCGCCGGGATCCCCAGACAACCCGGGATGTGCGAGGACCAAATCCATTGGTTCTGAAGTGAAAACAAGCTACAGCATTGGTGCAAAGTGCTTGATGCACAGTGATAGAACTTAACTGTAAACAATGGGAACAACAAGAGAGATGAAGAATTATTTACATTCTTCTCCAGCTCTTTCCCAGGCTTTTGCCTGGCTAGAAATTCTCCGTTTCTTTCTTTGCATCTGAGTCCCACAGAGTGTAACTTTCTAACACGACACATACAACATTCATTGTGACGTGTGCGAAAAGCCAATAACCAAATGTGCATTTCTGACATTCTCACAAGGCCGCTGTGTTTTGCAGAGTGCCAGCAGCAGCTGCAGCTGGGCCGGAGCGTGGTGTCCTGGATCGTGGGGGGCCACGAGGCCCCGGAGGGCGCCTGGCCGTGGGTGGTGAGCCTGCAGGTGCTGCGCGGCGGCGTCCGCTTCGTGCACCTCTGCGGCGGCGTCCTGCTGGGCCGGAGAGCCGTGCTGACCGCCGGCCACTGCGTGGACGGACGGACGTACGTATGGGCTGAGCCCTGGGCAGCGGCTGACCCCTGGGCAGCGGCTGAGCCCTGGGCATTGTCTGACCCCTGGGCATCGGCTGACCCCTGGGTATTGTCTGACCCCTGGGTGCCATGGCTGAACCCCCTGGGCACCACATCTGACCCCTGGGCAGCGGCTGACCCCAGGCATCGGCTGACCCCTGCGTGCCACGGCTGAACCCCCTGGGCCTCACAGCTGAACCCCCTGGGCACCATAAGTGACCCCTTGGTACCACAACTGACCCCTTGGTACCACAACTGACCCCTTGGTACCACGGCTGAACCCCCTGGGCACCACGGCTGAACCCCCCGGGCATCACAGCTACCCCTGGGCACCATAAGTGACCCCTTGGCACCACAACTGACCCCTTGGTACCACGGCTGAACCCCCTGGGCACCACATCTGACCCCTGGGTACCACAGCTGAGCGCCCTGAGCCCCCAAACCCCCCAACTCATCAGCTTTAACACAATTTCCTTTTTTCTTGTTGATCAGAACCGGTAATCTGGCACTTAAGATTTTTTTTTTTTTTGACAATGTGGTAATAACTGCTCAGAACAGGTTTTGAACTGCACTTACAGCAGCTCTGGAGCATTTCAGCTCCCAGCACGGGTCTGTTTTCCAACCTTTACCACAGTTGCACAATCTGCATCTGTCAGCATCCACTGTGTTGACTCAACCATGACCTGGGGGAAAGTGAACAGTAAAATCCTTGAAACTTGGAATTTTGTCCTTTATCAGGACTTTATTACATCAGCTCCTTGTTTGCATTCAGCAAACATTTATTTTCAAAGTAACGCCTCTTTAAATCATCAATTTAAGTTCTACATTAATTTTGGAGGCTAATTTGAATTTTATAGCTCATCCCAGGCCAAATTCAAAGCTCACTTAATATTTTTTCAACATACTTGACTAGAAATTAGGTCTGAATGACTCTACTCCTATTTCTGAATTTATTATTAATTTGATAGTCATTATTTTGCTTCTAGATAATGGAGCTCCCAGGTCTAGGTACAAGTAGAGTCTTTATGAGCATTGTGGGGGATAAGCCTCCTTTTATCCAACATAAAACCACATTTTCAGCTTTTCCAGACTATTATCTCCTGGTGGCCTCTGCTGAGATGGGGTGGGAGGGAATATCTGGGTGTCATCTTAAATCTTTAATCTGAATTTTCCTTAACATCAAGAGGCAAAGGGAGTGTTCACATGGGCAGAATGGTAATGAGGCAAATTTGTTCCAGGAAATATTTACTGTGGGATTTCCAATGTCTATTCCTGAAGGTGCATAAGCAGAAAACAGGGATAGATGGGATAAGGGAAGAAATTCCTCCCTGTGAGGGAGGCTCTGGTATAGGGTGCCCAGAGAAGCTGGGATCCCTGGAAGTGTCCAAGGCAAGGCTGGACAGGGCTTGGAGCAGCCTGGGATAGTGGAAGGTGTCTCTGCTCATGGCAGGGTGGGATGAAATGAGCTTTAAAGTCCCTCCAATCCAATCCAATCCTGGATTCCACCATGAAAACAAACAGTGAAACCAGTGTAAAACCCACCTGAATTCTTATCTTAAAGATGAGCTTTAAAGTGCCTCCAATCCAACCTATTCCTGGATTCCACCATCAAAACAAACTGTGAAACTGATTTAAAACCCACCTGAATTCTCATCTTAAAAGATGAGCTTTAAGGTGCCTCCAATCCAATCCAATCCAATCCAATCCAATCCAATCCAATCCAATCCAAGCCATTCCATTCCTGGATTCCAGGATGAAAACAAACGGTGCAACTGAACTAAAACCCACCTGAGTTGTCTCGTAGGGACCCGTGCTCCTGGCGAGCCGTGCTGGGCGTGCACAACCTGCAGAAGCACAGCCCCCAGACAGCGAGGAGGAGGATCAGGAGGATCATGGTGCACTCGGAGTTCAAGAGGGAGACCTTTGAGAACGACGTGGCGGTGTTCGAGCTGAGGTCGGCCGTGCGCTACAGCCTCTCCATCCAGCCCGCGTGCCTGCCGCCCGCGGCCCTGCTGCCACCCCTGGAGAACAGCTCCGACTGCTCCATCAGCGGCTGGGGACGCACCAGCGAGAAGGGTACGGGGCTCCGGCCGCTGCTGAAACCCTCCCGTCCCCATCCTCGCCCTCTCCAGCTCCCCCAGTTCATAAACTCACTTGGCACTTGGATTTTAGAGGCCTTTCCTCACCTTTCAAAGGGGGAACGGCACCAGACTGAAAGAGGACAGGTGCCGGAGCTCACCCTAGGCCGTGGGTCGCTCTGTGTGGCGGAAAAGTCTCTCCTCCAACCCGTGCTGCCAAGGAAAGGCTCAGCAGTCTCTGCTGTCCGGTCTCAAGGCAGTTTATTGCAAGTTATCTAAAAGATTTTCTCCTTGGGCTGCTGTGGTTTGCTCACAGCTCAGGCAGAGGCACACACACACCCTGACATCCTCTCTGACTCCCGACTGCTTCTTCTCTCCCCCCACCCAGGGCTGCTGCTGTCTTTTATATGGTACATCACATGTTAAACGTTTATAGTTTTCCCCCCAATGCTTATTACCTATATTAAATGGTGCTTTTCTACTCTAAACCAATCTGTGAGTGCCAACATCACCAAGAACATGGAGGTAAGGAAGAAGAAAGAAGGAGGACAGGGCAGGCCCAAACCCCTCCATCTTAAAACCTCTGACCCCCATGTACAAAACCAAAACCCCCCTGTACAGCACTCAGAAATTCTTCCCTCTACTTTGTGACTACTTCTACTATAACATCTAAACTTTTGTGACTTCTTGTTCTTCCTGCAAGGTTGATAAATCATTCCATGGCTCAAATCCAAAATCACAGCTGTTTCCAGCTGCCTGCCAGGGTCTCAAATGCTTCTGACCTGGGCCCGGAACCTCCAAAAATGTCTGAGGGACATTGTGAGTTCCCACAGACAGGTTCAGAATAGATATTGGTAATTCCTCGCTGTGAGGGTGGTGAGGGCCTTGGCACAGATGGCCCAGTGCAGCAGTGGCTGCCCTGGATCCCTCTCAGTGTCCCATCAATTGGTTGGACAGGGCTTGGAGTAACCTGATAGTACAAGGTGTCCCTGCCCATGGCAGGGGGTTGGAACTGGATGATCTTTAAGGTTCCTCCCAGCCCAAACCATTCTCTGATTCTGACTGGATTTGCTCAGGCCATGGTCTCCTCACAATGTCATTTAACTCTGCAGTGAGGATCTGCTCTCAGGGGTTTTCCATCACAGGCAGGTTAGACCCACACAGCCGTAACCACAGGAATAGACTTCCCAGCCTTTCTCCCAAGTATAACATGAAAAAAAGGAAAATAAACTCAGCTGATTTCAGATTCGTGGTGCAGGTCAACGTGGGCTGCTGGAAAAAGCTATTTTATTGAAAAGCAACAATTCTGATGCCACATGTTGTGAACTGAGGGGTTCCCGTGGGATTTATGAATGACTACAGCCCCTCCAATTCTCTACTCCCACTGGGCACAAATTCAATGCTTGTTGGTGTGTGGGGGTTTTGGGGACAGCTGAGATTGTACGAGCCTGTTTGATAAGTCACCTCTCACATTTTGAGCATTGCATGTGTATTATCATTGGTGCTTCTTCTGAGGAAGAATTGCAAAATCTACATCAACTTTTAAGCCACTCAAATTCCAATCCATTGGCAACAGGCAGGGTCTGTGTCACACCCATGTCTAAACATGTCCAGGGACACACCTAGGCTGGCAAAACAAAAAATAAAAAGAAACCCAAAAACCCCACAATAAAACTGCTACAAACCCCAGCATATTTCACCTTTCTAAATTCTGTCTCCTTTCAAGGTAAACTCTCATCTGTGCTGAAACAAGCCCACGTGCGAATCCTCCCCCCCAGCCTCTGCAACAGCTCGGAAGGGTACGCGGGGCTGATGAACGACAAAGCGCTCTGCGCCGGCGCCTGGGCCGGGGGCACCGACAGCTGCCAGGTGAGGGACTGTGACACACCTGCCAGGTGAGGGACTGTGCCTCCTGTGCCACCTGCCAGGTGAGGGACTGTGCCACCTGCCTGGTGAGGGACTGTGCCTCCTGCCAGGTGAGAGGGACTTTGACACACCTGCCAGGTGAGGGACTGTGCCACCTGTGCCACCTGCCAGGTGAGGGACTGTGCCTCCTGCCTGGTGAGGGACTGTGCCACCTGCCAGGTGAGAGGGATGTAACGTATTTATGCCACAAAGGCAGCAGTAAATTCTGTCTGATACACTTCCTGCTTCTCTCAGCACTTTTCCCTGAGCAGGTGACACGGCCAAGGCACAGGATGTGTGTTCATCACTCGGAGCTCCCACACCATGGGGATGAACCCCCCAGTTAAGTGAGGAGTGAAGGTTTAGGTTTAGGCATGAAAAGGTGCAGAGAGGAAACGAGGATCTGAGTTAAAAGGCACTGAAGCACTGCAGGTCTGGGGCTGTGGTCAGTGCAGTCCTGACCAGAATCAGGAGGAATTCCTCCATGGAAAGGGTGGGCAGGCATTGGAAGGTGCTGGAGTCCCCATCCCTGAAGGTGTCCAAGGAACAGCTGGATGTGGGTGAGAAGCACTCAGGTCTGGTGACAAGATGAGGATCAGGTTAGACCTGATGGTCTTGGAGGGCCTTTCCAGCCTCAAGGATGCTGATCCTGTCTTTCAGCAATAATGCTTTTTCTCTTTTCGAGCCTGGCCTTACAAGCTCTCAGAGGTAAGCATTATACCCTTGATAGCTCAGCTACCTCAGGTGGCAGAAAAGAAGCAGGATGGCTCCTGTGACAGTGTTGGAAACCAAAAGTTTTAATAAAAGGCCAAAATAAAAAAGCTCTTTACAGAGAAAAGCCAGTCAGGGCAAGAGGTTCTTGCTCCTGCTAAAACACTTCACAAAACGAGTAACTTCTTTTGTTCTCTTCTTTTTCTAGTGAATTGCTTAGGTGGGACATTTTGGCTCCTGTCCAATTGGGTATCCTTAAGTTTGAGGTGAAGTCCCCCAAGGTCCTATGAGGTGTCTTTTAACCAAATTTAGGAGAGAAACTTCTGGGCTTTTGTCCTTTTTAAGGGGACAAAGGGTGACCTGGGGGACACATTCCACATTGAGCTGTCCAGGTGCTACTGCCCACACCTTGCTGTCACTGTGACTGTAACTGAGCTGTTTAAGTAAATGTAAAAAACAGATGGATTGCTGCCTGAAGTGTTTCCTGGAAATAAACCCTTACCTGCTGCTGGTTTTTGTGGTGTTCATTCGCAGGGTGACAGCGGGGGCCCCTTGGTGTGCTACCACCCCGGCAGTGACAAGTACTACCTGGTTGGCATCGCCAGCTTCGGGGTGGGCTGCGGCCGCCCCCGGTACCCCGGGATCTACGTGCGCCTGTCTCAGTACAGAACATGGATCAAAGCCAAAGTCCTGCTGACCAACCAGACTCAGAGCCCCACTGGGGGCACCACACTCACCATCCTCCTGGCTCTGCTCCACACGCTGCTCACGCAGGCTTTGTAGAGAGGCAAACCGCCGTGTGCTCCTCCTGCAGGTCTGGCCTCCCTGGAAATGCTCGGAGAAAGCGGCTCCCTCCCTCCTGACAATAAATCCAAGAGCCAAAGGATGTGCACTTACTTTGCAGGAGTCATGTTTGCCATTGTATTTTTTGTTTCCCGCCTCTGATATCCACACTGACAGGAGAGGAAACAGTACCGGCCTCGGCACTAATAAGGAAAATTGAATATAGAAATGTTATCGACTGGAAACACTTTCTTCCCACCCTATTTCTGTGCTTTTCCAGCCATCAGAAGGGTAAATACACTCAGTGACCAGGGCTTGGGGAGGGCAGATGCTCCCTCTGCCGGGTGAAAACCAGCAGAGCACAGGAAGGTTTTAATTAACCATTTAATTAACCGAACCTTAACTGTGGCTCAGCTTACTGAAAACTAAGAAAGTAAAAATAAACCTGCAGGAAGGTAAAAGCTGTTCTGCACTCATGAGTTTTGGCACTGGCAGGTGTGTACACGTGTCACTTAATCCACCAAAATTGACTGTTATTTATTCCTGGCTGTCGTACGACTCGATCCCACACAGGTTTTCACACCTGGGCACCACCACTGCAGCTCCTGACTTCATTAAAAATAAATAGGGACCAGCAGAATGAGAATATTTTAGCGACTTTATTTACCAAGATCAAAATTTGCAACCATTAATTGTTTCAACAAATATTTACAATTCATGGAAAGCACGAACTGTTTGGAACCAACCAGCAGAACAGCATCAGATGCTGCATCTCTTACCCTCAGGAATGAGATTTTACTCTTTAAATTTTGAAAGTAAATCCAAACTAAGAACTTCATGATCAGTGCTTAAAAAGCGAACTTGTGTTACTGTTTCATATTCCCAAGATGAAAAATCAGCTGTTCTTTCCAACACACTATTTTCAGAGTATAAAAATTGACTCCTGGTGTGTCTGGCAGGACAGGTGCTCCGCTTGCTGGATATGAGAAGAACTGACCACCAGTTTTTTACAGTTAACACGTGATAGTTTTTGTTTATTTTTGTTCCATCTTACAAAATGAAAAAAGAGAACACAGTGAGGATCAGCTACCACAGAGTTCCCAGAGCAGTTCAGAACTGTAGCTCAAACAAACCCTCTCCCACACAGCTGAGGAAAGGTCCAATTCTCTGAGGTGCAAGTTCCAGGCTGTTCAATTTTCCTGAAATTCCACCAAGAAAACACCGCCACCTCTCCAGGAGCAGCTCCCTCAGCTTAGGACTTTTCCCAACCTCATTTCTGATGTGTCACAAAGCTTTTTTCCTGACATGATGGCAACCAGGAGTCACACTCCAGCCTGGCCTAAAGGAAACGCGCTGGGACTCGTGCCCACAACAATCAGATACTTTGGAACTCCAGGGTGAAAAAGAAAAATATCCCTTCCTAGCCCACTAACCAGGAGATTGTAGAATGCCGATCCCTCATGGCAAAGAGCTCTGCTTGCTGCAGAATTCCCAAAGGAGTAAAATCAAAAATACTGACTGACTATGGGATAAGCATGACACACCCAGGGAGGGAGCACAGCTTGGAATTCCAGATCTGAGCTAGCACGACACACAGGGAGCTCCAACACCGTGGAACAGCACAGTCCGTGGTGTAATTCCTGCTGACAGAACTGGAAGCAGGATTCAATCCCACCTATGGAAATGGTTTGTTACTCATGCCAGAAGCACTGCAGTCACCTACAGCACCTGCCCAGGACCACAGCCTGACCACCACAACCATGGCCTGGCCACCAAGATCATGGCCTGGCCACCAGGACCATGGCCTGGCCACCAAGATCATGGCCTGGCCACCAGGACCATGGCCTGGCCACCAGGACCACGGCCTGGCCACCAGGACCACGGCCTGGCCACCACGACCACGGCCTGACCACCACAACCATGGCCTGGCCACCAGGACCATGGCCTGGCCACCAGGACCATGTCCTCACCATGTCCTGCCCACCAGGACCACAGCCAGAGAGCTCTGGGCATCTCCAAGAATGGAGACTGCCCAGGTAAAGGAGCCCTGATCATGTCAAACGTTTGATTTTCACCTGAAACAAATTCAAATTGTACAAACTGGACTCTCCGATACAATGAAATCTAATGTGCAGATATTGTCAACTCTGGGGAGTAAAAAAACCTTATTTCTTTTATTTTTCTTTTTTTTTTCCCTCTTCCCCCCCCTCAATACTCTTTAGGATCCATTTTTTTCTGCAAGTTGCCTAAAGACATACAAAATTAATTCAAGTATCTCCTACACCAAAGAGGATCTCATTTGACTTTGTACTATCCATAAAAATATATCCTTGAAAATCTGGTTCACAAAATATTTCATTTGGTTACTAAAATGAAAGATATAAACTGTCAAAATACGTATAGAAACTCAATTTCAGGTTTTGTAAAGATCACAATTTAGCTACAAAATATACCAACCATCTCCCTGTTTGCAATATAGTATTTGCTTACAAAGATACCATTACTTTGCAAAATAGCTCCTACCTTACAAAATGTGGCTGGAAATTGTAATTTTGCACTACTTCCAGCAATAAATCAGAGATCAGAACCTCATAACCCTTTGGTATAGATCTTCCATTTTTTACTACATCATTTTTTTTTCTATTTGGTTTCATGTTCCAAAGCCCAGGAGAATCCCCAGCCAGGACAAGCACTGAGTGTTTAATTGTAGATACGCTCAATTTAATTTTCAAAGATCGATGTTTTTCATGCCCAGAACTAAGAACAAACTCTTGCAAAACGAAAAACTTTCAGAAGTTTAATCTCAGAAATTCTTCAGAACTTTTGTCACCAGTCCTTGTCCCTCACACTGTGCTTTAAAATCACTGATATGTTGAATTCTCTAAGAAAATCAACACAATTTTCTGTGCCTCTGACATTTCCAGGACCAGGCCTCTTGCTGCCTTCTGATCCTTTCCCAATGTGATAAACACAGCAAACATGGAAAAAAAAAATCATCCCAACTTTTTAAATTGTCATCTGAGAAAAGAGTAAAAACATAATTTATACCTCGAGCAAAGTATCAGCTTTTTTCTCATCTGCACCTGTAAATTTCACCTTACAGGTTAAAATAAAAATATTTACAGACAAATAACTGAAGGAAAAAGGCTTGAAAAAGAGTAAGAAAACAAAACATACACTGGTTATAAATGTTACTAATAATGTCAGCTATGGCAAGGATTCTGTTTCATTTATGGTTTTGGTTTTTTTTTGTAACCAAATTCTGCCTCCCTTTTTAGAGGCATTCATAGGAATTTTCAAAGAAACTCTCATCACCTGCCTTGCCACACGTGACTGTCCTTCTGCTGCAGCTGCAGTCTTGAATTTAGCAGTTTCCAGTTGTGCCAGCAGGAATTTTGGTGAGGTTTTCTTGTTTCCTCTTTGTACTTTGTCACCAACATGTTGTAAAGAAAATCTATAGAGTCTTTGAGCTGTGAAATCTAGGTAGAAAAGTTTCATTTTTGACCTTTCATCTAGTTAAAAAAATTCAGTATAAAAAAAAAAATCTCCTCTGATATTTCACCAGTTCCCGAAGGTTTTTACCTTCTCTTCTTACACACTTTTATGACAGTAAAGATCTTTCAAAGTTTTTAGCTCTTCAATTAGAGTTTTGTTCTGATTTTCCAGGACAGCCACTCGATTTTCCAAACATTTCACATACTCCTTCTTCTTCCTACGGCACTCCCGGGCAGCTTCTCTGCAAGAGAGAAGCAGAATTCTTGATTTTAGGTGTGAGATCTATTTTCTGAACATCACAACACTGATCAATAGAGAGAGCTGGAACTGCAGCGAGGAACAAAACCCAGCCAGAACTGCCCGAGGAGAGCAGGACACTCAGCAGGATCTGGTAACACACATGGCAGCACTCTGCAGGGGAATCCCAATTTTGCTTTAGCCACACTGTGAGACTCAAGGGAGCACGTCTGGCTCAGATTTCCCATGTTTGGGTCACAATCTCCCACAAGCCCAGGTGTGCTGAGGTGGGGAAGGAGGCCAAGGACACCTGGGCTGTGCCAGGCGTGGTGTGGCACAGCACCAGGGCAGGGATTGCCCCTCTGTGCTGGACACTGCTGAGACCCCTCCAGTGCAAGGGAAATACGGATGGCTGGAGGATATCCAGAGCTGGGAAGGGGCTGGAGAAGTCCTGAGGGAACTGGGAAAGGGGCTCACCCTGGAGAAAAGGAGGCTCAGGGGAATCTTCTCCCTCTCCACTCCTGACACGAGGGGCAGCCAGGGGTGGGGGGGGTCAGGCTCTGTTCCCAGGGAACAGGGACAGGACAAGAGGAAACGACCTCAAGCTGTGCCAGAGAAGGTTCAGGTTGGAATTTCTGCATGGAAAGGATGGTCAGGCATTGGCAGGGGCTGCCCAGAGAGCTTTGGAGTGCCCATCCTTGGATGTGTCACTCAGTGCTCTGGTGGAGATCTGTCACAGGTTGGTCTTTATGACCCTGGAAGTGTTTTCCAACCCCAACTCAGCAAGCCAGCAGCTCAGGTGCAGGCACATACCTGTTCTTCATCAGCCTGATCTCTCGTTTCAGCTGTGGGTCGTCTGTCTTGCTGCTCTGGGATGTCAGCGTGACAGGGGAGGTCATCACAACGGTCTGGGGCAGGGAGGAGGTGGTGGGCGTGGTGCGGATCTGGTAGGTCTGCATGTCCCCAGAGGCAGCTAGGGGACACAAAGGGGGTCAGCAGGTGCCACTCACGGTGCCGGGGGTGTAACCACGTCCCACAGCGGGTACTCACTCTGCACCACCACCTGGTTGCTGGGCACCAGGATCTGCTGCCCGTCCGAGGTCTGGGCGTACTGCAGGATGGTGGTCCCGGGCTGGGAGGCGCCGGCGTTGGCCATGGTCAGAGTCTGCAGCCCCTGCACCCCGTCTGCCCCCGGCCCTGCCAGCTGCAGCCCGTTGGCCGCGATGGCAACTGCGAGGGAAAGCACATGCACAAAGGGATTTGTAGCTGCACAGTAGCAAATGCAGGGAAATCACAGTGTCCTAGAGGGACCGTACAGGGGCACCTCCCACCAGCCCAGGCTGCTCCCAGCCCTGTCCAGCCCGGCCCTGGGCACTGCCAGGGATCCAGGGCAGCCACAGCTGCTCTGGGCTCCTGTGCCAGGGCCTCACACCCTCACAGGACGCGTGAAGCACCACAAACACCAAGTGGGAACATCAAAGGAACAAATCCTATTTTTTTCTACCTCTCTGATACATCAGGAGCCTTTTAGTGTGGCCTATAATATACATATGTATTAAAAAAAAATTATATATCTCTTGTGTCTTCACTGATGTATTGGGTTAAATCCAGCAAAGAACACTGCTGTGTGCTCCATACCAACACTCTTAAATGTCCTAATGCACAAAAATTAAAATTACAGAGTACTGAGTTTATCTGAAGTCTGTAGATACCAATTACTTCTATGTACTAACTTTAGTGACTACTAGATAATAACCAACTTTTGTCCTTCATCCTACTCAAATCTGTATTTTGAGGCAAGCAGAAGAGAAACTGTGAGGATACTTTGGGTAACGTACTGTACTGTCCAGTGCTTGTCTGGTAGATGGGTGTGGGAACGGACATGGAGGTGACAGTGGAGACCCCAGGGCTTTCCTCATCTCCTTTTCTATCCCGTGTGTCTTCAGAAGAAAGATCTTTCAAAATTTTTCTGTGAAAAAAAAAAAAGGAGTCTGACATTTGACTGCACTCCTCACTTCAGTAAAATGATACAAGTGAGTAAAACTACAGCTGGTGAACATTCTGCCCTTTACAAAATCCTGCCGAGGCCAATCTCCAGTTCGTGGAGTCAAAGTTTCCTCACAGTAACGATGGCTCAGGAAGTTCAGCGCATGAACAGATTCACTGCATGTTTCAAGGGAAAGGAAACAACCTGGTGGGCAGCAGAATATTGAAAACCACAGGAAGGGGCTGTTGTTTCGGTTTCAAATAAAAACACCATGTGTTTTTATCCCAGCCGTACCGGTAGGATGGACGACGAGCCAAGATGCCCCGAGCCTTCTGCGAGGAGCCGATGCTGTCTGAGGAGTCCTGAGAATCCTCACTCTCAGACAAGGAAGATACCTGGTGAGAAAGGGAACAGCAACACCACTGATGCACAGGACAAACACAGAAAGCACCTGGAATCTTGTATGTAGAGGAGGAGCTGTGGGGTTTGTTGGTGAGAGTGTTAAAGTCTGATGAAAATAATATTTAAGGCAGCAGCATATCAGGGAGTAAATATGCTAAGTACTATCACAATTTTCATTATTCCACTGTGTGCCTGTCCAGTTCAAAGTGTTATTTTGTCACTGATGCACCTTATTAGTGAACAAAACATTTATTTGTTCTTATCTGTGTGCCAGTAACAGAGTGCAGGGCCCTGGGAAAAGCCTCTCACTGAACTGAAGAGACAGAGCAGCCCATGATCAGCAGGGAAAAAAAACCTGCTCATGTTGTACTTTGTTTTTGCCTCCATCAAGGCCACAGTGTTCATAAATTACAGAAGAGGAATGAATTCAGTCAGGGACTTTTTTATTTGTTTATTCCCTCAGAGGGAGGGAAAAGGAAAGAGACTTTACAGACACAGGAGCACCAAGGAAGAATTTCAAGCCCGAATGAGGGATCCCGTGGGGTTGG